AATCCTCAGGAAATACTTAATGCATTTGCAACTCATTCTTGGATGACAAATTCATCCTATTAAACTCAAAGGCAAACATGAAACTATTTAATTTAATTAAACCAGAATGTATACATATGAACACGATCAAGCAACTAAATGTATCAAAAATAGAAACTACTGCAAATATTTTAAAGTAATTCAATTAAATCACTTACATTGTTTAACTAGAAAACCAAAGATTATTATTTTAAACATACTTATAAACTTAGATGCATCTATTAGCACTTTGTGAAAAAAAAATTATGAATATAATGTAGATTTAAAAATAGCTTATCCTTGCAAAAATTAATTGAGGAAACAATGTATGTAAATTTGATTATCATTTATTATTTATTGCAGGATCTAGTTTTTATTATGATCTAATGTGTTTTCCTATAAAATAAAGTACACAAATTGTATCACAAATTCGAACATAAATATGTTTTCAAGGACTTCCTAGGATTTGGTTTTTGAACAAAAATAACAGAATTGCTTTATATTTGTCTTTAAAAAATATAAAGGTTGTTATTGGTGCAAAGGCTACCAATATCTAGCTCTAAATTGAAACCGTCTCAAATTTGAATTTGAGCCAAGTGTAACATCATGGAGTTAGATTCTATACTTCTTTGTTTTCTAAATGAATTCAAATGTTTTGTCAGCAGCAGTAGTGGCCGTATGTTGTGCAGGACTGTTCTAGGTACTTTTCAACATTTCAGTATACTCATTCAATATTATAGGGTGTTTCGAAGGTTTAGCCTCTTGTTAAAATAATTTCAATAACGAGATAGTGAAGGTCGCATAAGGCCAAAATATGAAAGGAAGCGCGTTTAAGGGATTAGAGCAGGACTGGACTGGTTAAAAATGACTCACATGACATTGCTCTTTCTTTAAGAGATAATTCCTCCTGTAATTTTTTGGAAACAGGATCTGAATGATTATATCTGCAACTGGTTCCTCTTTTTACCATTTCCAGTTACACGGATGTAACAGGGAACTGTCTTCGCTGTAATACGGATACCAGCGAATGGCTGAAGTGTAGGTTTTAGACTTTCATATCTCAAACGATTACTTTTACCTTATTTCGAATGATTCTGTAATCCATCTGTTTGCACTCTATCCTTGACATGACTAGTTTCGGTATATGGGACTCCAATACTAATAATACCTCAGGCAACTGAAAGGATTCTTCGGAAAACGGAGGAAAATAACTTGATAATACCTTCTACCGTTAGTTGAACAAAGTAAACAGGACAGTGATAATCTGCTTCAAATTGATGATACTTTGGTTACATTGACCAAAAGTAAAATATTTTCTACTTTTACATTTAATTGATTATACCAAATCATTTTGATATGACAGCAAAAGTGGTTTGAAGAAGTTGTCTTTGGACACAAGTAAAACTCAGAAATCTACATTATACATATTTTGTTTTTATAAAAAATAGTACCTATGTTACAGTTTTTAAATCATCGTATAAACCAATGATCGCCAACCTGTCGATAGCGAGCTACCGGTAGCTCGCGAAGGCAATTCTGATAGCTCTAACAACGATTTTAATTTAAAAAATACAAACTGCAGAAATCAGAGAAACTCCGAAAATTCCACAAAAAAATCTAATTATCATAATATTAAACATAAACAGCGGCAACGTCGCGGTGAGCGATCTGCCGCTGACGCCATTAAGCTAGAATCGGCTAGACCGACCAGCCGGACCAGCGCGTTAGTGTTCGAGAACGATCAGGATTGCTTTGAACGGGATAAATACGCACGGCGCGGCGACATTGCGCTTAGTTTAAAACTGAATGCGTAACCAACGTCCAGCGGTTGGGTTAGTAGAGAACAACAAAAAATAATATTATGGCAAGCAGTTGTAAGAAGGTAAAGACATACCACTTTCATTCGGAATGGGAAGAACAATACTTTTTTACAGAAGTTAAAGATAAAAATGTGTGTTTGTTATGTAATATTTCGGTCTCCGTTGCTAAAAAAGGAAATATTGAGAGACATCATAAAACTGTACATTCTAATTTTGAAAAATCATTCCCACTACATTCTGCCACCAGAAAGGAGAAACTGAAACAGTTAAAAAAGCAGCAGTTAATTGGACAACAATCAATATTTTTAAGAACAGTCGACAAAAATAAGGCTGCAACTGAAGTATCGTACCGTGTGTCCCAGATAATTGCACAAAAAAAGAAACCTTATGAAGACGGGGAAATGATAAAACAGGCCTTTTTAGAAGCTGCTGATTCGTTATTTGCCAACTTTAGAAATAAAGACGAGATAGTTTCAGCTATAAAATCTATTGTGTTGAGCTACTTTGTTAATTTTGGAATAAACAGCGAGCTACCCACACGGAAGCCACGTAATGCAACGTAAATGAAATAATCCACAGTTAATTTATCATTATATGTATTTATTTTACTATTTAACTGGTAATACATAATACATGGGTACTAATAATAAACTAATAACAAAATAAAGAGTATGTCTAGTACGTACTTGTTCATAGCTACATTCCTACCTACCAAACGAAGGCCTTTGAAAAATAAACACAAAATTTTATCCAGCCACAACGGCATGTCACGTAAGATTTAAAAATAGTTAATAATAACAACAAAAAAGTAACGCACTATCATGAACATAAACATTGAAACATAAAAAAGCACGTTCAATGAGAAGGCTGACATTCAGACTAATCGATAATTTTTTTAATGTTTGCGGTATAATTTGATACAGCCATTCGAATACAATTATCCAAATGTTCATCTGTAAGTAGATTGCGATATTTATTCTTAATAAACTTCTTATTGGAAAAAGAAGATTCACACAAATAGGTTGAACTGAATAATGCTTTCACTTTCAAGGCAACACGGCATAGAACTGAATATTTGTATTTACTTACAATAGGCCAGATACATTTGGTACTTGAGACTAACGATTTTAAGGCTAAATCATTTTAAAACTCAATTACTTCCATTTCTGTTGCAGCGATGTCTTCGCCAAAGTTCTGCATAATACAAGTTGCAAACTGTTGGATATCAATTTCCATAAAGGGTGAAATAACAAACTGCGCTACTAAAGCCATTTCGTTGAAATCCTTAAAACGATTTTTGAAGTTATTCTTCAGGGTAGAAACTATTTCTACATGATATTTGCTGTCATAGTGTTCTAATGGATTTTGAGATATTTTTTCTGAAAGAATAGGAAAATGCTTGGCATCGCTGTTAATTAGGTTTTGTTCCCAAAACTCCAGCTTTTTGATAAATGCTTTTATATCAGAAATCATTTCCGCTAGTTCTTTGTCTCTCCCCTGAAGCTGCAAATTAAGTTCGTTTAATTTCTCTGTAATGTCCACGAGAAAACCAAAATCTATAAGCTAGATTGAATTTTCTAGTTCCGGAGTCGGTTCATCGCGTTGTTTGAAAAATTGAACTATGCCAGATAGGACATCATTAAAACGTTTCAGCACCCGTCCTTTACTTAACCATCGGACTTCAGAGTGAAGGAGTAGGTCCCCGTATTGACAGTCAACTTCATCGGCCAAGGTTTTGAATAATCTTCTTTGTAACGCTTGAGCTCTAATCTTGTTCACAATTTTTACCACCAGTTTCATAACGTTGTTTAGTTTCCACATAATGCTTGCTGATGGATAATGCAGTGGTAACAGAGAAATTGCGGAAAAGTTTCATCTTTACGACATAACGCCACCAGACCCTTATCACAACCCACCATAGCTGGAGCGCCATCGGTTGTCAAGCCTACCATTTTCGATATTGGAATTTTCTCGGAAGAAATATTATTTTTTAAATGAGAAAACAACTCCTGTCCAGTACTGTGTCTTTTCAGTCTAATAAACTTTAAAAGATCTTCTTTAATCGTAAAATCACTAAAAACCATCCTGACGAACACGCCCATCTGGGCAGTGTTAACGACATCTGTTGATTCATCCAGTTGAAGTGAAAAATATACACAGTTATCTAAGTCAGTTCTTAACTGTAAAAAAAATATTATTGCTCATTACTTCTACACGTCTCATCACTGTATTAGCAGAAAGTTGCATAGATTTTATAGCTGAAACTATCTCGTCTTTATTTCTAAATTTGGCAAATAACGAATCAACAGCTTCTAAAAACGCCTATTTTATCATTTCCCCGTCTTCATAAGGTTTCTTTTTTTGTGCAATTATCTGGGACACACGGTACGATGCTTCAGTTGCAGTCTTATTTTTGTCGACTGTTCTTAAAAATATTGATTGTTGTCCAATTAACTGCTTTTTTAACTTTTCCGCACCAGTCCAATGGACATCCATGTGAAGCTCATGGACATTATTAGGACAAAATTTGGGCGTCGTGTGCTGTCTGGGTGACACATGCTTTCCTGTAAGGTGATGCTGTGACCATTAATTTATATTTTCTAATAAGAGGATATGAGATTAAATAAAAAAAAAATACAAAGTACAAATAAACGTTTATTAAAACTGTGGCAGTATTGTAGCAGTAATATAAATAAATAATAGTACTATGTAGTAATAATGTAATTATGAATCAACATAATATTCTATTAGTTGTAAAAACATATTTTTATTAATTATTTTTACTTAACCTGTTGGCACAATTTCCAAACTTAATTTACTTGGACAACACCAGAATATGATAAAATTATGACAATGTTTATAAATAAGTCAAGGACAAATTAGAAAATCAAATGTGCAAACTTACACGTCGTTAAACTAAAATAAAATTACCATATTTGAGGAGTTTAACACTCTTTTGTACTTATATGCTTTTTGTATTTGTATATAATACCCTAATGTTAATAATGAACGAATTTAATCGATACCATAAAACATTTTAATGCATTAAAGTATATTAATCAAATTACTTGTATTAACTATCAAAAAATATAATCACTAATAATATCTTAAGAATCATGTTAAATCGTATCAACTTAAAATATAAACATAAAGTACACTAACCATAGACGTTATTAACAATACAGAAAACGATCGTTTGAAAGAATTTGTTGAATTGCAGAGGTCGCTGCTACACGTAGCACAAGTATGTTGTCCAGGCAACACTTGACCTCTTCTTCTCAAATCATTAAAAATATCTTCGCATGTTCCACCAAAACGTAAAGACTGACATCCTCTGGTAACGTGAGTGATGGGAGGGGTACCGGGAACAGAACCTAAAATTATTATTTATATTTTTAATAAAGCAGAAGATCATCTAATAGATTTGGAAGGGTAAATAAATTGTTAAATGTCATCCAGTTTAGATTTAGGTAAATACATTTTTAGTTGCAATGAACTCCCCACCAGTAGAACGCTATGCCTATAAAAAGCCTATTCATTTGAAATGCCAAAATAGTAACAACAAAAAAAGTACTCTTACTTTTTGGAAATATTATTAGTGTTAGTGTTATGTACATAAATAACTGTTTCTTACTTTCATAGCGGTAGAAAGCACACACAGAAGGTCCTATGCAACGCACCCTTCTCAATCGAAATTCTTCACCTGTTAGACAAGGACTATTATCTCCTTGGCCTAGACTTGCTGCACACTCATAACAGCGAAGGCTGTTTCCTAAAAATTACAAAATAATGTTAAATTCAAAAAGTAATCGATCTGACTGCTTCTGCCAGAAGAGCTCTAAATAGGAGGACACCGGTCTTGTTAACTTCGTAAATGTCAAATTAAAGAGTTTGTTGTATCGAGTGTAATACCATAAGAGCTCAACTTGTATTGGCAATTTAACGAGTGGTGTTCTAACTAAATGACGAGTGATATGAAAAAATATCTTTAAGAGGCCCCGACACCAATTGTGTTCATAATATATTTTTTCATTGGAAGACATATTACCATTGCAAGGACATTGTAAAAGCTTTCGCCATCTATCAGTTTCCGTAGCAAGTAATTGAAGCAGGATTTTATTTCAAAGGAAACTGTAAATTTGTCGTTTCAGCAAGCTGTCTAAGATTACGGCGTCGGTACAAATTTCTTATTTTTTCCTTGTCTTCTTCTATTGTTGTATGGGTTCACTTTTTCACTATCTATCCAGTGCCAATGTTTCCTTTTTCAAAAACTGAGCTATAAGAGACTTAACAGACGCTTCTTTGCAACCCAGGTAGTCCTCAGATAGTGCTAATGAAAATTAGCCCATACAGCTAAAGAAGAAATTTATAGACGCCGTAACTTTTATACAGATGGCCGAAAGGATAATTTACAGTTTCCTTTGAAATAAAATCCTGTTTCTGTTACTTGCTATTGCAACTGCAATGTCTTCCGATGAAATCATATATTGAAAAAGTTTTTGGACGGCTGCTTCTTTATTTTTAAACTTAGAAGGATGCGGTTTTTATGTTTTGCTAATAAACGGGTTGTCAATTTTTTAAGAAATATTAAATTTAAATAAATTCGCTATATTTTTATAAAAATTTAAAATAATGTAAGAAACACATATTTTTATTTATAAAATTTAAAATTATGCATTCCACTGTCCAAAAATTATTATTTGCGTCCATAATATAGCGCCCTACTAATTTTGTTGAGCGCATATATCTGTACTATCAGTAGAAAGCGAGAATACTTGAGATTCAGTACAAAAACAGTTTTTTATGTTAAAAAGATAAAAATTAAAACAATTTAACACATTCAGAAGTAATTTTGGTGTGGTGTTTCAATATTTTTCGGCTTATTTTGTATAACCTATTGTATCATCTCTATAAATCTTTAGATGATGAACTAAATACATACATCTACAACACACATCTTACACGAAACATTTTTTGTACTGAAAAATTTAAATTTTACACATTTCTTCAAATTTTTCGTTTAAGGTCCATTTTAGAGGAATCGTATGAGATAAAAATAATAGAGAATATCAGAAGCAACTTGTATTTGAAAAATTTTCCTAAAAATTAGAATTTTGCACTTTTTGTCAAATTTCTCGAATACGGACCATTTAAGGAAAATCATTTATAAAACAAAAATTATAGACAATAACATTACAAGCAACTTTTATTAGAAAAATATTCTTCTCCAAGCGTAAATAACAGATATATTTTATAAAGTAGAACAACAACCCCATAAACTACCCCCATATGCTCCGACTATGCCAAATTCTAATAAAATACAATATAGATTAAAGCTGAAGTTTAAAATTTGATGTTCTTCTCTTTATCAATTCAAAAATTATTGAGTATACTTTTTAGTTTTATAGCATGTGCGTAGATAAGCTAATATACAAGTGGGTGTAGAAAAAATAATATTGTATTCTGTATGTTTGCACTAAAAACAGCATAAGCTGTAAGTCATTACAAAAGACAATGATTTATAGGTAAACGATGTCCCACCTTTAACTGTCGTCTTCCCGAAATAGACTCCATTAGTGACGTATAGAACCCCTGAAAATAGGCAATCACATAGTACACGGAGTTTTACAAATTTCGACGCGTTTCTATGGACTTTATGTTCTATGTACGTATGAGTTAAAAATAATTATTATAAAGAACTCAAATTCAATTAATATTAGTTTAAAAAATCAAATAAGAAAAATGATTTAACCTTAGTGAATTCTACATCTTCTTAGAATATGATCTAGTATTTAGAAACAATTAAATATTTTATGTAAGTTCACAAATTAATAAAATCTGGGGCAATGTTCTCACTCTTTATTTTGACTTATTCTGTATAGTTCATAAGGTTCAATTCAGTTGAGGTTCAAAAGTTGAATAGATTTTAAGACTACATGGATGACGCAATTGCATTCGAGGGCATTCTAAGGATTATGACTTAGTCACTAATGTAGGTACAGTAAACGCCAAATCTAAAGAACCAAGGACGCGCATTTATAATGCTAAGAACACGCCTATAGATGAATAGAATTGGTAGCTTATGTAGAAAGTTGTAAACCAGGGACGTAAACAGTAAATCACAAATAAATAATGTTCATGTCTTCGTCAGATTCTTCGTTGGAAGAAGACTCGTCACTGTCGTCACTGGAATCCTCATTAAGATTAATGACGATAGGATTAATTTCCGAACATAAATCAGTTTGTATTTCTCTTTCAAAACATTTATCTTCTACCTTTATAACATGATCGCATCGCTTTTTCCATTCTGCTAATATTAAGGTAACATTCTTTTGACTGACATTATTCTTGCCCAGTTGCCCAAAACACTTCGGTTCAAGTCGGGGTAATATGGGGGTAACCGTAAAGCGGTGTGGCCGTATTCTCGACACAACTCATCAAAAATGCAAATGTTACATGTCGATCCTTATGAGATTTAATCAGTTCATAGAACTCTGGTTTCAAACTTGTTGGATTAAAAGGTATGTTGTATTTTGTCAACCATCCGATCATATCATTCTTCAAAGAATTGGAATTAGGTGCTCGATTTGTCTGTACATTGTGATAACTATTACAAACAATTACTGAATTAGGTGGAAGATTAGGTATTAACTTTTCTCTTAACCATTTGCCGTAATTTTTCGAATTAATTTCGTAATGATAATCTCCAGACTTGGTTCCTGATTTGAATATCAACAAACTATTTTTGATAAAACCCATTTCCCCTCCACCGTGAACTATATTAAGTCTTTGGCTTTTAGAAATAACAGAAAACAAACCTTTTGTTGAATCGTCTGTCCAATTCTTGGAAGAAGTATGTCCGCTGTGTATATATATGTTTCATCTAAATAAACGATTGGTCTATTTTGACTTCTAAAATATTTTATCTGTCTCAAATATTTTACTCATTTTCATTTTTTCTACCAAAATTTTACTATTATTTTGTGTTTTTCTCTACTTAAATTCGTAATTTTTTATGGACTCTTCTTAATGAAGTTTCTGATATGTGGATATCTAAATCTTCCTTAATTTTATTATTTAACCTTTTAACAGTAACACGAGACTTTTCTGTTATATGAAAATCGTAAATTATTCTTCGAATGGCCCTTAATTGATATTCAGGGAGATTCGTAGCGGTTGATTTTTTGACGAAGTTTTTCCTAGGTGTGGAAAATGTCTTTTTTCCAGTTGTTTCCATTGACTGTTTACCTTCCTTCTAAATTATTTTAATGGTAGTATAAGAAACACGTGTTAAATTTAGTATTTTTTTACATTTATTAGGAAACAAAAATCTTTATAAACAGAAGATAAATTTAAAAAATTAAATACAAAATATTAGTCAAAAATAAAATGCATAGATATGTGTGTAAAATACAAAAAAATATAGAAAACTACGCAAGTTTAATTGCAAATAAACTACACAATATGTTTACCTGTTGCTTGAGTAGTTTGAAGTTTAATATCATCTAAAGTAACTCCTTCCTTTTTTGTTGCGTCTAAATATTTAAAAACATTGTATATTACTTCACGACTTTGTCCGTTAATAACAGATCTGCGCTTTTTTTTTTTCACCCACAATATAAGACATTATTAAAAATAAAACCAATCACTTTAGCCAAAACACAGAAACAAGAAACAAACAATGATCTAGTCGTTACGCTACTGACCGTAAGCAAGGACAAGGTTCAAATTGTGAATGGGCGTGGCGATTTTTAAGTAAACGAACTTGAGCATTTGCGCTGGTTCTTTAGATTTGGCGTTTACTGTAAATGACACTCTATATAACAATTTATTGCTTTAACTCCAAAACAAAGCATGGTCCTTTGAAACTAAGTAAAATTGCTTTCAGATGAAATAATTAAAAGCAGATTAATTTAATTACTAAATATGCAAAATCCAAATAAGTAAAAAAGATGGCCACTGTTGGATGGTCTCCCCTACCGTTCAGCAAGTTGATTCTGCTACCCCAATCGTAGCAAGAATTCGATACACTCATTGAACGCAGCTAATTAGAGTACCCGACTATATATAAAATCTACATGTGACATTTTAAAGTTTCACACTGACGTATGACGAGACACATAAATAACGTAACATAATATGGTAACGTAATAAATTTACATTTTTATACACTTACATGTTCCTTTTTATTTAGTCGATAACAAATTACGATTTTTTTTGTTAGCAAATAGTGTTTTTACATATTAGTGAAATTGACTTAATTTTTCTATACGTAGATACACCACATATATTTTCACGTAATATTAAAAAATGGAGTCATCAAAAAATATATCTAAAGTAGGACATAAAAATCAATTTTTTGGCACAATTCATAAAAATCTATACAAAAAATTGGTTCTAAAATAAAATAGGTAGGTAGGATTAGAAGGTTAAATTTTTCACTTATTAGGACGAATATCATGTTTTTAATAAAACTAAAAATAAATATTGTTCCCCTAGTGAACCGTATCAGTGAACACATTTTATATTAAGTAATCAACTATCTTTATAACTGTTTATATTTAAATGCTGTATTTATAATTTTGGCAGCCTTTATTACTACCTAATCGATATTTTTTTTTAATTAGGTACCTACTTTATTATCTGATCCTATAGATACATACCTGAATTTATTAATCCAATGAGAACAGAAAGTAATAAACAAAATTTCAAAATTTCCATTTTTTAACTATCTAAAAGAAATTAGGTAACTCGAAGAGAAAGACTTGAGAGAACTTAAAGAAAACGTTTGACCATCTTATTTTGTTCTGTTTTCAACTTCTAACTAAATTTTTGCGTGTTCTGTTTACGGTTTGGCCCAATAAGGAAATTAATGGGATACTAAAAATCCCAACTGAAGGTTTAAAATAAAAATTTTATACTTTGTTTAGTGCATCAGTAAATATTTTCCGTAAATAGTCCGGTCAATAGCTGCAGTAATTAATTCTAATATCAACCTGAAACCCAAATGTCTTTATCTATAACTACTACAGTTCTATAATAGTTATATCGTTTTTTTATAAATAAATGTATTATTATAGTCCCCATATGACTACAAAAAGTGGCATGTCGTGTTTTTTGCTTGATATTTGTAGTTGGACAACGTGTACTGTTGTGTCACCTGTCAAATTCAAAATAATGTTTTTCTACGAACTCTTACAAAAAGACATCTTTCGCCACAGGATACTTTCAGCGAAAACTTGATTTCCGTCACTAGTGAGAAAAAATCCTATAACGTTTACTTTCGTCTCTAGTGACGAAAGTAAGTTGTTACATATTTTCATATATCAGTCGCCTCGTATAATATTTTGGCAGCTTATAATTATTAATAATGAAATAAAAAGATGCTCATTAAATTCTATATGCGTTTTTACCTAAACTTTATTGAATTAAAGATAAAATAAAAATGTATAAAAATAGTGCAAATTAAACCAATCTACATCTAGTTTCCTGGTTTTAATTTGTTTATTTGAAGTTTTATCACTTTTGAGAACTGTCAGTTTCAGTTCATCCTAAATTTAACACATTTTCATGATGTCTGAGTCAGAAAGCGATTGTACTCTCCCAGAAATTATTTTTAAAGCTGAAGAAACCTCTTCAGATTTATTACCGGCCAAATCAAAAAAGAGATATGAAGAAATTTATATCAAATTTTTGGACTGGAGAGAAAAAAATAAAGTGAAATCATTTTCGAAAACTGTACTACTAGCATACTTTGGAGAAATATGTTCAAATTTTAAACCGTCGACGTTATGGTCCATTTATTCGATGCTAAGAACTACACTCTCTGTTAAAAATGATGTCGATATTAGTAAATATCCAAAGTTACGTTCACTTTTGAAAAGAAAATCTGATGGTTTTAAAAGCCAAAAATCCAAAAATTTTTCGCCTGAAGACATAAAGACTTTCCTAAAGAATGCACCTGACTATAAATATTTAATAACAAAGGTAACGGAATTATTATTTTTATTTTAACAAATACTTAATACATAACTACTAATATTTGTAGGTAGCATTAGTTTTTGGATTATCTGGCGCTTGTCGTTGCCACGAACTAAAAGATTTAACAATAAGCGATGTAAAGGATACTGGAAGTATTCTGTTAGTTAAAATCCGTAATACAAAAACAAAAGTTCCGCGTTCTTTTCATATTTCTGGACCCTTTTATGATATTTCTAAAAAATATATGAGCCTACATCCCGCAAACATGGATCAAATTAATTCAGGATTCTTTATTAACTATCAGAATGGAAAGTGTAGCAGACAGGTTGTTGAAATTAATAAAATCAGTAAATTTCCTAACGAAATTGCTCAGTTTTTAACGCTTCCGAATCCTCAAGATTACACTGGGCACTGTTTCCGCAGAACATCCGCAACGCTATTAGTGGATGCAGGAGGTGACTTGCTTCTATTAAAAAAGCACGGTGGTTGGAAATCTAGTAGTGCTGCGGAAGGATATGTTGATGAATCCACGAACAGTAAAAACCAAATACAAACCAAAATTTTACAATCTGTACAAAATAAGGAAACTACTAGTTCATCCGATTATGGCGCATCATCATCTGAAATGACATTTAACAGTAGAACAAATATGTCGGCATCTACCTCAATAAATAAAAAGCTTGAGTGTGATACCCCCATAATTTTGAACAATTGTTCAAATATAACAATAAATCAATATTTAAATAATAAATAATATTTCTGAAATATTTAATTGTTGGTTAATTTTTTGTTATTCCTAACACAAAATAAAGCATTTGCTAACGTTTGTTTGTTTTTTTTTAATTTTAGTAGGTACCTACATGACATAATAGAGTTCGTAGAAAAAGTATAGTGTTTTACTCGTCGAAAATCATTTTTCGTCACTCGTGAAACAATATACTATTCTTATCGATGGAGTTTTTTATTTTTTGCTGCCAATGAAATAATTTGCTTCTAGACGTCTATAACAATAAAAAACTCCCTATATTCTGTCGTCCCACTTTGCTACTTTCGGTGTAAGTGTAGGAATTTTCCAAAATCGTATAGATATTGATATAATATACAGTTTAAGCAACATTTGATTGGAAGCTAAAATTTTAAGACATTTTCCAAAAAAATAAATCCTTTGTTGAAAATTAAAAAAATAAAATAAAATTGAAAATATTGACTGGATTAAAATATAACCCAATAAAAATGTTTAGTTTGAATCCAACGATTTCCCAAGTTATCTTAAACAGGAAATTGTGATACTTTTATTAATACGCTTGTTCAAATTAGTTGACTTTACGTTTTTAGGAAAACACCCGAAAATATAGGTCAAGATTAAGAGATGTTTTCACGACGCAAATATTTTCGTCGTTTGGGCCAGAAAAATTCCATTAATTGTATTTCTCAAAATGTTTATAAATAAAAATAAAATAATATGTTATGAAAAAATATTTAAGTAGTTTAAACTCGAAACAAACAAGTCGAAATACTTTTAATTGCACAGGAATTTAAATATAACATTAATATATCAATATTATACAGTATGTAGATTTAGAAAGGGAACCGTAAACAATATAAAAAATAAATCCAAAATTTTGTGTATTCATTCATTTTTACTTTAATAACTTTTACTAGTTTCTTCTTCTTGATGCCCCATAGGCAGAGCTGGTCAGTACTCTAGTAAATCGTACTGAAAATTGTACTAGTACTCATCCTGATGAGACTTAGTAGTCGAAAAATTTCGAGTACTTTTCATTTTAGAGTACTCAGTACTTCTTATTCCTACAGCTGACAAGTAATGAGTTAGAGTACCGACGCGCAAATAGGCCTTACATAAGTATTACTGTCTTAATGGTGAATGCTTGTTACTTACTGACTTACTAATAAGTATTATAATTCATATTCGTACTCGTTACTCGATTTTTCATTAGTACTCTCTAAAATTTGCAAAAGTACTCATTTGCTTCGAGTATTATTCATATAAATACTCATACTTAGATGCTTATGAGTATTTTAATGCAGCTCTACCCATAGATCTCAGTCAAATACACAGGTGAACAAAGATTTTCTGCAGAAGAAGAAGTGATGATTACCTAAGCTACATAAAATTGACGTAACCTTATCAGCAAATGAATTATATCGAAGGTGTCTGTCCACAGTTACTCCTAAATATTTTGTTTTCTTTTGAAAAATGTTGTATATCTTTATTATTATTTTTTATTTGTAGGATATCATATGTCGGCAATGAATTTGTGAACCAGCTAAAGGGAATAAAACAAGTTTTGCTATCATTAATGGTAAGTGATTTTGAATTAAACAATTTATTAATATACTTATATATGTTTCTGATTTCTGTTTTAAATCTTCCCACTTTCGTACTGTAGCTAGGATAATGGTTTCATCTGCGAAACTAATTACTGTCCCACTAGGTGAGTATTTCGTTTATATAATGTAAAAATAATATGGGGCTCAATACCGTTCCTTGGGGAGCACCGTATATCATAATTTATTTTTAGAACTTTTGTTGATGAAATAAAAGAAAAAAAAGATGTATTATTTTGATGGCATTCAAAAAAGAGATTCATCTTCTTTTCAAAAATGTGTAGTTTGATATCTTTTGTTTTCTTAACAACGCAGATATTTGAGTTTTCAAGTAACACTGAAATTTTACTTATTAATTAATTCAGTAACAAAATATAACAAAAATGTATTACAAATAAAAAGGTACCATTTGGCAACACGAGACCAAGACAGGCGATAGGCGAAAGCAGCAAGGCAGTAAAAACTGCCGTGTTTAAAGTGCTGTTGCTGTCCCAAATGTGCTTCATTTAATTACATGTACTCAGACGCAAAGAAACCGTTTTCGGTCGCCTTACGCTGTTGCTTGCCTCTGTCCCCTGTCGCAGTCTTACCTTCTAAAATGGCCCTTTAACAAAGCAATCTTTAATAATAAAATATGTAGAAGTTATAAATATTGCTGAACGTCATGGGCGCTGCCACACGAGGGCCCTCTGGATCTATGATTTTTTATTTTTTGCCATGGCTTTCGACTAGTCTGCATCGTTTTGCCATTAAGTCTTGCCCGCTTGGAGATTTTTTTGAACGGCGTCCATGTTTTATGTACCGTAAAGTAAGGTTACTTTGTCAGCCGAGGCAACTTTGCTTAAAAAACTAAAAAATTATTTTATGTAAATCTGGCAACGCTGTTTTATTGCAGTTGGTGGCAAAATACTACGCGATCAACAGTGAGCATCATTAGTCTTACCCCCCCCTAACTAACTCGTTACTGGGGTCTTGTTAGGAAAATCGTCGAGATAGGTGGATTTTTGATTTCTACAATGTACATTTTTGCATGATTAGTTTACCCTTAATTTCATCCCTTACTGGAGGGGGAGCAACCCTTTCGAAAAATTTAAATAGCATGGGGGTGGTGAGTGATAGCTCATTTGAAAGAGGGTTTTATTCTCTATTCAACTGTGTAAAAAAAAATTAAAATTTGCTTCATTACGTGTTGATTTATTAATGTTTAAAAATAACGAAACCTCACAAAATAGGAAAGCAACTAGACTAACAGTGACCTTCTAATGGCAAAAAGTCTTACTTCACGTCTGAACCAAAACCAAAATCATGCAGGGCCGAATTTTAATTCTAAGGATGAGTGCGCTACGTTAATTTCCGTTATTCTGAAACAACAATTAGTCGAAAATTAATGAAGCAAATTTTAAATTTTTTTACACGGTTAAATAGAGAATAAAACCCTCTTTCAAATGAGCTATCACTTACCACCCCATGCTATTTAAATTTTTCGAAAGGGTTGCTCCCCTCCAGTAAGGGATGAAATAAAGGGTAAACTATTCATACAAAAATGTACATTGTACAAATCAAAAATCGACGTGTCTCGGCGATTTTCCTAACAAGCCTCCAGTAACGAGTTAGATAGGAGGTAAGACTTATGATGCTCACTGTATATTAATGTATAGAATATAATAATGTTCACAATACATTAATGTTTAGAATATATTTTGTTATTAATGATCAGTCAAACTCTACACCACAATTTAATTAGATATTTTACGGTTTTTAATATTTTAAAAAGTGTATTGCTTATTTAAATTACTTCTAATTATTGTCTGTTTAATATATAGTCGTGTATTAATAATAATATGTAATAATATGTATTTATTGATAGAAACTTGACCTATTAATAATAATTAATGTATTTACCCCCGAAAAATGAAAAAATATTTTTTTTATCTCAAGGGTATTTGCACCTCAAATAATTTGTACGCCTTCCCTACTTTTGACTCTAACAGTACGTACAAGTATACGGTAAATTCCAAGCGATACTCATCAGCATGTGAAAAACTAAATGTTTAGATATTTTTAGAATCGCATTTGTGTGGGGTTAGAGAGATTCCTTAACCTTTAGCATGTTCTCAAAGTTTTATTTTTTACATGTCGAATGTAGTGTGTGCGGTTTCATTCTATTTATTCCATCGTACGTGATAGACACACACAGACACCCCCCAAAAGGAGACTGAAAATGAAGAAATTGCTAAAGTCTCTTGAGACTGGCGACATCGCAAATATTCAGAGTCCTTAGATATTGTTATCGTGACCTAAATGTGATCAAATATATGGTGAAATGAATTTTGTTCCGTTCTTGTGGATAATTTTTATGGTTTTCGATACGGGTGAGCTGGGTAAGTTATTTTTCAAGTTAATGTAATAATAATAGTTTATTTACCACATAAATCAAAAATATACACAGTAGTAATTCTAAATATACTTATGCACTGAGAAAAATAATTTATAGTAAATAAAAGGTCAAAGTTAGGTCATAAACCGATTCTGCCACAATAAGCTTTTAAAAAAGAGGTAAAAATATATTTAACTTTACAACTCTTAAAACATAATCAGCGCAAAGACGAAAATAACCAAATATAATCTAATTATGTTAAAAATAACATCTAATAATAATAAAGTTTATTTCCAAACCCATTAATACCAAGTATATTATTATTTTACAATTTATTAGAAATAAATAAGAAAGAACACATTTTTTTAATGCACAATTATAATATTTAATAATAAATGTAATTTATCTATCTAAAGAAAATCCTGTCTGCTCCAGCGGCCACCATAATGGGTTTGAACTATGTAATAAAAACAGATAATGGAAGATTCTTCTATTATACACGATTAATTAGTCACTATCCTTTAACTTACAAGATATCCTTTCAAATTCCTTAATTTTTAATATTATGAGAAGGCAGGAATTTAAAATTTTTGAATTCTGCTGATATCGTTAATGTCAATGCAGGAAGAGTAAACAACAGTACAATGATTAAAGTGAGATAGAATTACTGAGTTCATATTGGTTTTTTTTTTCTTTAATTTCATAATAAACTAGTCCTATGTTGATATATCAACTAAGTACGAAAATATGCCCTAAAATTTAATTTATACCTTAAAAAAATAAGACATTACACAACCCTTTGACGGATCAAAAGATAAATTATTCAAAATGCATCAATCACTGTTATTATTTAGGTTTCCCTGCAGTAATTAACAATCTCTAACATTAACTCTTTTCATAACATTCCACATATATCAAGACATTGACTGTGATACACTTAATGATGTCGTTAATAAAATTATTAAAAATAAGAAGACTAAGATTTGAGCATTGGAAAACTCCAGAAGAAATTTAGAAAGTTTTATTAATTTTTTAAATAACTTTCCGCTAATGCATATTCTATTTTGTCGCTATTATTGTGATAATCATGGTAATCACAGCTTTAATGTATTTTTTCTGAAACCATCTGTTTATAAAGAAACAAAACCGTCTAAATGTGACATTTTGTTTTTTTTTTCTACTAAGTGGATTTAAAAGTTATTTTTAAAAATACTCTAATCTGGCATACAGACATTTTACCGCTAAACGTAGATAATATATTATCGAAAAAAGACAGCCCACCGTTTACAGGCTATAAATAAATGTTGATAAATTAGATAATTCATTATTAATTATTCTATCCTTGATGGAGCACTTCAGAATCTAGGTCAAGACTAATAAGCTGTTCCAGAAACGATAATATTTGAAATATAAGTTAAGAAAAATGTAATTTGATTAATATTAATCATAATAATTATTAAACTATATTTACTGTTCTTTTTTAAATTAAACTTTTTCTGTCAACAAAGAAGTTATTAGAACATTGTTTCTAAATAACCTTTACTGTTTTTATTTTTCTAAAGGTTAATATTTAATCGATTTATTAAAAATGCAGGGTGATTCCTCTTGACCTCCATCGTATTTGCGATTATTATCACAAATTATTGGACGTTATTAACAATCACCCTGTAATTTTAACGAATGTTGGTCTGCAGGAAATATGCAAAACGAATTTTATTCAAATTTTCATTATAAGATGTATGTAAAAAATAGGTCACCACTATAATAATGAACAGGATATAGTAAATTACATTATGAGTGTGAAAAGCGACATTTTTTACACGAGTGGAAAATATTGTCTCACGAGGAAATGTCATTTTAAGCTTCGCTTATTTCTTAACTATTAGCGGAGCGAATGGTCTTAAGTTTCCTAAGTGGTCGTAGGAAAATATTGTTTTGAATTTAGGTATTAGGTATTGTGTTTTGGGTATTAGGTATTATGTATTAGGTATTAGGTATTAGGTATTAGGTATGAGGTATTAGGTATTGGGTATTAGGTATTAAACCTAAGTTGTACTTATTGATAGGTATATTCCAATAAAACTTTATAGTGGATCAAATAAGCTGTTAATTATATTAATGTTCAAAATACGAGATATTAGCGTATGAACAAAAGTCATAAGATTCTAAAGTTTATATGTTACGATGTGTTTGAATATTATAAGAACATTTATTATAATTAGGCTGATAATATCAAAATTTGAAAAATGTGGGATACGACCTATTAGAATTAGGGTAACCTTATGTGACATAAAAATCCAAGATCAAATACCATTAATTCAACATATTATAGGTGTTTTAACAAAGAAACACATTTTACAGATGAAAAAATGAATAAACCATCGCTACCTCTAAATAACACTTCCATAACCATCTACATCTTTTTGCTGCAGAATAGACAGTTCTTCTGACTAAATAATTACATTTGTAATTTCAAAACTTCTTTAATTGAAGGACAACCTCGAAAATAAAGCATTCGAAAATGTTTTAGTGATTAAAAATTTTATAAAAATAGAATGTTCAGGACTTGTGATTTTACCACCAAATTCTTTTTTTTTTTTTTTTTTTTTAGGTGAAAGTTTTTATTGTTTCCATTGCCACCAGACTTCAAAAGAGTGCAAAAATGGGGTGAACTTACATATGGTAAATTGCAGCACAAATAAGTGCTTTATATTAAAATATGAGAGTGAGTATCAAACAAAAATATTTATAGGTAGGAACTATCATTTTGTTAGTTTTGAATAAATTAGGTTTAAAAGTTTTAACCTACATTAAAACAACTTGAAAGAAAACATTTATTAAGTGGTAAAATATCATAGATTGTGGTACTATAAACATAATTATTACCAGAAATAAAAGAAAATAATAATTAGCAAATGTATAACTAGTAGAACAATTTTTTTTCTGTACTTAACCTATTTTGGATGAAATTAGGAATTCAGGAGAAAAAAAAAGATAAGTGACACTTATTTTGTTTTGCACTCTAAGCATACTAATGTAACATAAAATAAACTGCAAAAATGAGATTATTGACACTTATGACTTATGACAAATTATTAATAATTGATTAACATATCTATCTAGGTGAAATTCTTTTCGTGGTAGACAACGACGTACAATTTCCCAAATCTGATATTTCATACTATTGATGGGATAATTAATGTTCTTTTCCTGCAACCATTTTATCTTTTATAACTGCCATTATCGATTATAATCAAAGAGGAATGTTCTAGACTAGGTATATATTTCGTTTTAAACCATTTTTCAAAATTTTCTGTGTTCATATTACTATGGTAATCCCCGCTTTTTATTTGACTTTTAAATATGAGATCTTAATTTTTTATGAACCCTTCTCCATTGTCACCATTGGCAGTTATGTATAAAATTCCATTTCCTGTTTTTTTACTTGCCAACTTTTTCTGTCATTTCCCTTGCTATACACCCAAATTTCTTCCATAAATACAGATACAGGCTTAAAGTTACTTACCTCTCTCCTTGCCTTTCACCGTTGAATTACAATATTTTATTCTGTTACCTTACTTTAAAATATAACTTTAACTTTAAAACATAACATATCTTTAACAGTTTGGACAATATATAATTAAAAAAGTAAAAAAAAGAAAAACTATAAAACATGACAACCATATACTGCTTTGGTTCCTTGTCCAAAAATTACCAAGCTAAATCAATAGTGTGAAAAATTATTTGACAATAACTGTTTGGTTACAACACTAGTAGCAGACTACCATAAAAATCATTGGCAAATCGCTTGAGAACTTGTAAACTGATCCTAAGAAAAAATTGAGTAACAATACTGATTGATTTCTATTCTATGGTACAGTATTGAATGTAATTTTCTCTCTTCTGTTTTTCTTTGGATATAATTCAATGCCTGTTGTAAAATTGACCAAAAGAGTGATTGTTTTCCGCCGGAAAACTGTCTCTTGTTTCAACAACTCACATTTTCTTGTTTCTCTATGTTTTATATCTTGGTCGCATTTGAATTTTAGGATATTACAATATACATTCTATAACAACATTGTGATCTATATTTTTTCAGCTGAAATGCCAGGAGTAAAAGTTTTGGCAACATTTCGAGGTTGTTACGTCCAGCCGGAGTTCGAGATTATGACCTCAGTGATAACGGAAAAACACGCCGTCACCGAAAAACATTTCCATTTATGTAACTACACTTTATGTAATAAATGTGTGGAGAGTAGACTTATTAGCTGTAGTATTTGTATTTTTCTCTTAGTACAAACGTTTTTGTTACTGTTTCGATAATGTTCGTATAGAAATAAATAAAATATTTTTTTCATGTTCATGTATTTTAATTCGGCTTTTGCCTATTAGTTAAATTAAAAGTCCTTTATAATATTAGTATGATTGTTTTTAAAATATGTAAGCTCAAAAATTGTAGGAGAATTTTGAGAGACTGTAAGTACCAAAACACAACGTTTATGGACAAACTAGCAGTCTTCTACGTCCAAAAAACTTGTACGTCCATCTGTCATATCGCAAAATAGTATTTATGTCGTCTCTACTTTGTTCTATCTCGATGGGATAAATAATATTTGTCACTTTGTACTAATTTGACATCATAGGCGCCGGAATTCAAAAATCGCTTTGGGTGCCCGGCTTCTATAATATGCGGAAAATGGGGGCTATCCCCCCCCCCCACCCTCCACAACTCACTTAAAGGCACCACCGGTTTTTTAAAAAGCTATTTTAAAGTTGATTTTATGAAAATTTTCTTCAAAAAAAAAAGGTATTGTCAAATGGCAATTGCTGGATAGGCTGGAGGCTCCCACCTAAAACGGGATATCTGGCAACCCTATATGCTCGGTGCAGCCACCACTGATATTTTGAAGGTATTTTTAAATAGATTATAACCTCCAAATTTTAAATCGCCACTGTCTTCCTAGCCATTATCTTTTATTTTCTGTAAAAGCCTACCAGTTAATCGAGTAAATGCTAGAAATGCTGATTCTGGGCCTCCATGCAATAATAGAGGTTTTGTTCAAAATGCTATCGGACATTTTGAAGGTTCTATGGGGTTATTTGATGACATTCATCAATTATCCGTCGTTGTCGCAGATTTTCCAGTGATGTTGGCTGGGTGGCATAAATTTTAGTTTTTAAGTGGCCCCATAAAAAATCCAACGGGCTTAGATCCGGAGACTGTGGAGGCTACTCAATACTTTCTCTTCTTCCGATCTTGAAAACCTGGAAACGTTTGATCAAATACTGACGAACAGTGGTGCACCGTCATGGTGGAATATTAAGTTGTTTGCTATGTACTAATCGTCATTTTCAATCAACTCTAGTAATGCTGGATAAATAGCGTTTTATAATAATTCCAGATACATTTCTGCGGTTAAAATTTCTGGTAAAAAAGGGGCCCATTATACGGTTACCAAAAATGATAGGCCCAAACATTCAGTTTTTCCGGATGTTGCGTATGTACTTCATGAAATATTCTGGGATTTGAATCGGACCAATAACGACAGTTGTGACGATTTACCATACTATTTAGGAAAAAAGTGCATTGTCTGAGTAACACACATTGAAAAAAAATTGCTGATCATTTAATACCCGTCCAGTCATAATTTCACAAAATTGTAATCCCCTATTAAAATCGTCTTCATTAAGTTTTTTTACCAGATGTATTTTGTAGAAATAAAACATTCAATATCTTCTAAATACTACGTCTCTTAATACCAGATGTTATCGCCAACTGTCTTGTACTCAATATGGGTTCATGAACAACATGTCCTAAAATCGCAACCTCTGTAGCTTCATTTACTACAGAATTTTCCATTTCACGTTATTTGTTAGCTACTGACCCCGTTTTCCAAAATGTTAGGACTAACTCCAAAATGTAATTTCGATGGACTTGTCGATTTTGATGTTGATTGTTAAACAGTTAGGCAGTTCTATTAGCACATTTATTGTTCGCAAAAAAATGAAATTATTTGCACCCTCTTAGCAGTAGAGTAAACCATTATCACTGATATGCCACTTTTATGCCGACTCTACAACGAAATAAACTAAACCTTACTGGGGCTACATAGATAGTAGCGATGTAAAACTCGGGGGTTATTATCTAGGTAAAAATACCTTCAAAATAACATATCATTCGACCAATCTTTCCATTTAAGATATAACTGGTGAGTCTCACCCACGATAGAGGGTTTTCGCTTAGGGGGTGCAACTGCCAAAACAATGTTCCCCCGTAAAAAACAAAATTGACTGGTCCAAGCGTTTTTTAGTAGATGACCTGGTTTCTCGCCAGCAATACTAGAGAGAGAGGGTGCTTGATCAGTAGCAACTTTCAAATGTTCTCCCTTTTCCCCTTGAGCATTTGCTCAATGGCATATGTACAAAGATCTTATCTTGATAATTGTAGACCGTTAATAATCTTTCTTTTTTGACGTCATAGGGTTTTATACACCAAAAATAATAAACCCTTAAGTTCAACGCGTTGTCTATGACAAGTTACGGCGACTTTTTTATCACAAAAAATATAGCTCCGAACGATAATATTTTATTGAGGCATCTGACGCTATACCAACTTGGGCCACGACAGCTTCTTCATTTCACTTATTGACACTTTTTGTCCTCGTTGTGCTCTGGGTGCTCCGCACCCTGTTCAAAACTGCTCTGGGTGCTTGCGCACCCGGAGCCCCGGGGATTCGGCGCCTATGTTTGACATTGAGTCCTATGATTGAACGTTTACGTTATCCGTAACGTACATGTTAGGCCGAATTTTAAAAGTAACGAGGCAGGTTCGTATGATGGAAAACTGTTAAATTAGAACATAACAGACGGAAAATAACAATAATGTGTTGGAAAAAGTTTTCCATCATACGAACTTGCCTCATTACTGTTAAAACTCGGCCTAACATGTACGTTACGGATAACGTAAACGTTCAATCATAGGACCCATTATATCTTCATTATCATAACAGTCTATTGACTTGTTATGATGATTATCCAGTATCTTCCACAAAATTAAAATCGAAACATTTTTTAATATTCAAAAAGTTACTTTTTTTACTAATTCCATTGCATTCGGTATTTTTATACAATCAACAAAGTTTTTAAAAAAAATCAGAAATAGACAAAATCGTTTACAATATAATTTCTCATTTCTTCTGTTCTACTATTGATAGAAATAAATATAGGTTAGGTACCTCTTGTTTCTTTAATTTTTTAAATATAAAGGAGCTAATAGTTAGATATTTCTTACATAAGTTTTCAAAAAATTGCATATTTATGGAAAAAAGATGCCAATTAATAAGAATTTTTAATTTTAAATTTAATAAACTGAGCACAACAAAATTATGAAGCTGTAGATGTATTAGGTGAAGTGGTGCTGGAGGTGCCCCCTTCAATGTACACTGCAACTTTAATCAGATTTCTATTTCTCATCCTAAAAACCTCCAAGAATCAAATTTTCTGCTAATTATGCTATTATTAAAATAAAGTTTGCTAAATCCTCATATTTTAGTCTTATGAATTCGTGCTAGCATTCTGTATATATACCTTTTAGGAACCCTGTATCAAATCGTTAATTTCTCAAAAAATATTAAATTTTAAACTGAGTTAATTATATATAACACATCAATCTACAGGTGTAGAAATCATCTTGGCAATGACTTCTAAAAAATCTAAAGAGATATTTGAATATGATCTATTTTTTCTCCAAAAACCCCAAAATACCATTTTGAAGCGATCTCTATTTTTAAATTAAAATCCCACGTATACAAATACCTGTGAAAAATGCTTTATAGAAATTTCAAGTACAAATGATCCATCTATCAGTATTAGCCGGCAGCTGTTTAGATAGTTTCCATTAAGCTGATAGGCACATGTTAAGTTTACTATTTTTAATCAATATCAAATAAATAAACGAATTAAAAATAAAGATTTTTAAGATCTATAGCCACACATGTGTTCTAACAAAAAACATAATCATTCACTATTTTAATTTGGGTGGAATTTTGTTTAGATGAAATAAGCATAAAAAACTTTTGATGACTTTCTAAATGCCTTCCTTATTCCAAAAATTAAAACGAAATAGGTTACTGAAAAATGGTTTTTATAGTGATAATCTACAGGCCAATAGAATCAATCTGACTCCATTCATTCCTTGCAGAAAGTTTTTACAAGCTAGGAGTTTCTTAATTTATTTTTTCTTCGTTCATGCAAAAAACAAAACTTTATTGAACTATATTTAGTGAAAAACTGGGTCTTTATTGCACTAGTGCAATAAAAATTTTATTGCACTCATCTGTCATTTTACTACAGCGTTTTATGATCATGACAAACATAAATATTCAAATCAACGCCAAATATTTAGTTCATTTTCATTTTCTGTGTTACGTTTTAAAAACAATTGCATATTTTATATTATTTTCAATTATTTAATAAATAAATTAATGAAAAAATGTATTTTATTAAAAATGTCATTACAAATTATGAACACAAACGTAAATAAATGCCTCAAACAAAGGTACACGATCACGCCCACTTTGATTTGTTTAATACAACTGCAGTTCTATAAAACATTTTTTTGTAGAAAAAATATTGTATGCAACTCGTGCAAAAAGTGTTTATTGCACTCAACGTGTTGACCATTCGGCCTGACGACCTCGGTGGACAAATTCACGTCGCGTGCAATAAACATATACTTTTTGCACTTTTTGCATAAATAACTATTAATCAATTATCAATCCAAAAATTTTATAAAAAAAAACGCATCGAATTTGAAAAGGTGATTATAATAATGTGTAATTTTTTTTTTTTCACTTTGGGGGTTCAAAAATAATTTTTAGCAGGTAATTTTGTAACTTATTTACCAAATAATTTATTAATCTATATTTTTGGACAGTGTGTAATTCATTAAAGTATATTTCCCATCAATGATTGTCAGAATCATTTATCAATAAACAAACAGAAAAAATTAACTGTTGACTAAAGTTTATCAAATTATCAATGAAAGCCGTCCATTGTCAAAACTTGGGACAATTTGAACAGAAAAATATCGATTTATCTTATCTTTAGATGTAGATATGTAGAAATTATTAGATTTTTAAAAACTTTTTATTGATTCATCTGGAAATATCTCTGAAAGAGAGAGCTGTAAAGGTACAAAATTAAAATGGCGAATTTATTAATAATTTCGTTAGTGTTGAGTGTTTTTGTAGCTACTGGTAAGTTTCTGTATACTTAAATTATATTAAATGTGGATATTTAACCCAGGTAGAGATATCTACGATACATTTTTGTGTTCCTTAACAAATATCTACTCAGAACAAAAAGATGTACAGACTTGCTAATACGTTTGCAAACAAAGAGAAAGTAAAGTCAATTTGATTTTTAGTAGAATGCATTAGGAAAGAAAAACTCATTCATATTTATCTACCATAGAATTTATTTGTAAGGTTACATAAATTAAAGAAAATCTTAATTCCTAGCTCAAAGTATAGGATTTTTTTTTGCTTTTTAATACAATTTTCATTTTTCACTTAAACTTACTTTCTCTTTACATTGACTCATAACATCAATATCTACCGGGCTCTTGATTTATTACTTCAAATAGACTTTTCCCTTTCGTTAGGATACTCGATCTTGGTTCCTAGCATTAATGTATATGTAGAAAAAGAAATTCTCTTGTACAGATACATATTTAACATATTATTTTTTTAGCGTTGTCCGAGCCATTAGTGTGTTTTGATTGTGATCCATTGAACGATGGAGTAGAACAATGTAAATATCCAGTGACATATAACGCACGTAATCCTTTTTGTAACCCAAAGGAAAATCATACACCATTATGTTTATCGGCGTATATCCAACACAAAAGTAAGTTTTGTACATTCATTTTGTTTCCTTTAGAATTGGAATGTACTGCAAATAGTTGATTAAATCAGTAAAAAATATTCAAATTGTATATAAATCAGGTTATTTCCTGTATCGTCTTCAGTGGATACATGTTCAATAATTATTTTTCCTACGACACCTATCGCACTATTTAGTTTTATAGAAAGTGCCCTATATCACACTCGTGTGGATAAATCTTCTTTCCACCCGTGTGAGAATATAAGCTGTCAAATATGTCACGACCTCTAATTTCTATTTTGGTTGATGTAATGTCCATCTTAATAGTAAAATGGATCTGATGATTAAATTGTTTACATAGATCTTAGATATTACTTTTTAACAAATTATTAAAAGAATTTTAAAGTAATTACTTACATTATTTTTGCTTTTTCCTGGTTCATATACAATATTCTTAGAGCCATACAAACATTTTGAGAGTAGTAAATATTCAAATAATATTATAATTTCCTGTTTTAGATGAATCATTAACTGGAACCTACAGGGGCTGCGTATACAAACCTTTAGAAGTAGGAGATGTATGTGATTGGTTGAGAGAAACAAATACCAACAGGACATACAAATCCTGCCATCCATGTAACGAAACAAGATGCAACACAGTATTATTATACGCAGATGGAACAAGTGATGCAGGGTCCGTTTATAATATGTATTTCTTGATGATTATAAATCTCGTAATAGTTATGATTTTTGGTAATTTAAATAACTAAAATTGCATTGTATAGGTTTGTTCCAACAGATCTTCCAAACTAGATAAAAAGTTACCAAGCATAGGACTACATGCACAGATTTAAAATGTACTTGACTGAGCATGCGTGAAACGTTTAAAACTTGTTGCTGGAACAAACCTTCAAGTATACTTTATAGAAATGAGGAACTCTTCAGGTAGTTATATTAAATGGCATAATAAAATTAGTAAAATAAACAAGAATTTGTTTTTTAATGTAGTATGTATGTACAGCAGTTTATTACCCAGACAGCACACCAAATCCTTTGGATATCTACTGTACATCCCAATATCCACTGAATGTCCAGTCCATGGTCGATATCTATTTTATATCCAGGAGATGTAATTTATAGACATGCAAATGTCCATAAATAATAGTAATTATACAGTGATTCTCAAAAGTCCCCTCCCCCCTCTTTTCTTTTGAACGGTGGTAGTTAGACTGATGAAATTTGGAGGGTAAAAATGAACTTTTGTAAGCTTGTCTACTAGTGGTAATAGGTGACGTAATAGGCATCGGTGACGTCACCAGGCAACTGAAGCCAATAATATTAAATAGGACCTTATGGCAAGTGACATCTCGTTTGAAAGGTATTTAGAATACCTATACAGTCATACTATTTTTTTTTATTTATTTACGATGTTTTTTTTATTATTATTGGTTTCAGTTGCCTAGTGACGTCACCGATAGTGACGTCACATATTATGTCACCTGTTACCACTAGTAGAGAAGCTTACAATAGTTCATTTCCACCCTCCAAATGTCAACAGTCTAGGTATCACCGTTCAATAGAAATGAGGGGGAGGGGACTTTTGAGAAGCACTGTATAGTAAATTATTAAAGAATTACGCCATTGTGGCTAATAGTACCGTTCAGATATTTAAAATTAATTTTTTTTTGAGGTGTATTCAATATCCCATGGACATCCACTAAATATATCAAAGTCTAGGCGCGAACGCAAACCATGGTGGATATCCACTAGATGTAATTTTTGATTTTGCCCGCTAAGAAGAAAGATGGCGATACCACTTTCGCTCGTTGAATATCTACTCATGCTCAACCCGCCGTAATTGAGTTCTATCGAAATTGATATCGCAATCAGACTCCATTAGAGACTGGAGTCGAGAATTTCCATTTATTGCTGAAGAGTCCTAATAAGGATGACTTTCTCCTTAGTGGGAAAAATCAAAGGCAGTGTGTTGAAAATCTCTGCTATTTTCTTTCGACGTCATTCAATAATCATTGGTTACTTATGAACCTCTACTAAAGATAAAATATTTTGCTGAATATCCGAATATCTTCTATATCCTGGGATATAGACGGACATTTGGATATCCATATTAGATCCACTGGATATATTGGATATCCACAAAATATATTCTGTGGGTATCTCTGGGATTTCTTGTAATGTCTGGAAGATACCCATTAGATATTTTGCTGGATATCCATAGGATATCTTCTATATTCTGTAAAATAATTGGAGTATTTTATTATATTTAAGTAAATATATATTATGCTTGGGTTATCAATGTACCGATTACTACCAAAACTCGCAGGCTTGTCGAAGTCTGACGCTTCATCTCCATATTATATTATGAGATTACAAAAAATGCATCACGTCTGCAACTTTACAGATCTGCAAATATGGCGGACTTACAGATGCAAGATACACGCAAGGATATACTTAAAGTATCCTTGACTTGACTTGTTTATGAAGGGTTCATATTTGTATGTGCATGTCCGTAAATAAGCGGCAAATACGTCAAACTGAAATGTGTTAATAATTGTCAATTTACTGGCGGTTGATTGCTCTAGTCTGATTGTTTTGATTATTTGACCACTCCAACATCAAAGGAACTGAGAGACCATGCATGATGGGTACACAATAAGAAAAGCTGTGATTTTTTTGCTGTTGATATAGATCAGTGGATAGCAGAAGATATTCGTTGTCTATGTAAAAGATCTTTTAGATACCCAGATAGGATAGGTAAGTATTCGAAATTACTAAAGTCACAGATCTTTATTTCAAATATTTTGAGTTTATAAGAAATAAGAACCATCAATTATTGTACTATACTCATTTTATTAACGTAAAGAAAGAATATTTTTCATCAGTAAAATAAAAGACAACTAGTGTGACTAATATTTATCACTAAAAATGTTTATATAAGTATTAATCATTCCCTGCTCGGAGCGACAAGTTTCTGGGCAGATTTTTGTGTTTAAAAGGATTAGTCTGAAATAAACCTTCTTTGTTATAAGTTCGTTTTATTATTTTGGTTGGGTCGATTACACAATAAATGAGTTTACAACTTGATAAATTGTGTTTAATCTTATTTTCTATCCAAGGATTATTTCATGGTGGACTGCAGGTTGCATACATTCGGGCGCATTTTTACCCCTCAAGTTGGTTTTTAAATAAAGTTACCTTTCAGATAAGGAAAGTATAAGAATCATGTTTTTTTTTACTATTTTCGCGATGATATCTGTGTGTGCGCGTCTGTATCCTCGATAACTCATGAACGGATACACATAAAAATAGCAAATTTTAAACTAAAGCTCTGTTCCTGCCTCTAGTGAACTGATTAGATTTTGGGCAGAGTCAAAACATCTAGAGGGGTACTTTATGGGTGGTCATTTTTATATTTTATGGAATATATGTTATTTACGTTTGGAGAAAAAAAAATCTTAAAATAAAAGTTACTTAAAATATTATTATTTATAATTTTTGTTCTATACAAAATTTTCCTAAAATGGTCCGTATTCGAGAAATTTAACAAAATGTAAAAAAATAATTTTTTATGAAAATTGTTCAAATAAAAGTTGTTTGTAATATAATTCTCTACAATTTTTATTCTATATATAATTTCCCTAAAATGGACCGTATTCGAGATATTTGAGAAAATGTGTAAATTACGAATTTTGAAGAAAATTCAAAAACGGATAAAGGAAAAAACTTTAAATTTTAGTTTTATTTCAGCCTGAGGTGAAATGATTAGATTTTGGACAAAGTCGGAACATCTGGGGGGGGGGTACTTTATGAGAGGTCGTTTTTATATTTTATGGAATATATGTTATTTATGTTTGAAGAAGAAATTGTTTAAATAAAAGTTACTTCTAATATTATAATTTTTGCTTCATGCCAAGTTTTCCTGAAATGGTCTGTATTCGATTAGATGTATGTGGAAAATGTATTTTAATTTATCCTCTAAACATTTATAGAGGTGCTGCAATAGGTTGTACAAAATAACTGGAAAAAGCCTATTATAACTAGTTAGGAAAGTCATGTGTTAGACACATCAGATTTTTACTTTTAGTCTAAGGTCAGGCAAAAAATAGCCTAGATAAACCATTACATCCAAGAACCTCCTGATATTTTAGGAAAAAGTTTTATCCAGAATACAGAATATAAATCCAATGGTTGAAACAATTGGTAACAAAAAAATAATAGCATTGTCTTTATTGAATAAACCCTATTAATACACAAAAGTACACTAAAAATTTTCTAATCACAAATATTAAGGAACTTCTTCTTCTTCTAAAGCACTCTTCTTCTCTTCTTCGATTTCCTTTAACCTTTTTACAATAGCTGCAGACTCCTTTCCATGAGCAAGATTGTATTCTAAAGACTGTCTTAATTGAAGTTCTTCTAAGCCTTCTATTCTGCTATACAAATTTCTACCAAGATCTTCGTCAATGTCATTTTCTTCCCTCAGAAACATAAAATAAACCAAAAAGACGGATATACTGGTCATGATTACATAGGGTTCATACCATAAACGTGGTTCATAGTATCCCGTTCTTGTTGATCTGGCTTTGTATTTACTTGCAGGGCTAGCAGAGAATTTAATAGGACCTATGTCTTCGGGATCATCTTTCAACAGTTTCGTACTGAGACCAAAATCTCGTTTACAGACTCTAAAAAACTTTCAATCATTTTCAATAATTTAACATTGAATTTAATTAATTTACCTTTTAATGTGATTTGATATATTTGATCTTAAAATAGGGACCACTTTAAACATCATTAAATTTATAAAAAAATAAATTTGAAATTTTTAATAAATAATTTAGGTTAAGTTTATCTTCTTATTCTTCTTCTTTTAGCTTTTAGAAAAAGAATGATTGACTGACGATAAAAGTCATAATTAAAAAAGAAGATATGTCTAGATTAGAAATGCGTAACTACTCTGTGATAACTCTATTGTACATTCATATTTTGTTGTCAACATAAAAGTAAAATTATAAATTAGTATTTATGTCGTACTAAAGAGTAATCCACAAAAAAAGATTTCTAAAATAAATCACATGACCGACAAAGATACGAGTCATGTTCGTGATAGCTACTCACGACTGTGAATTAAATCAAAAATTAAACTTTTGAGAATAAGGAGAATTTTATAATCCGTCATGCCTGTATTTTTTGTAGATCAGTTCTTGTTCTTATTATCTAAAGCAGTGGCAACATTTTTCTATGAAAATTAGATAGGTATTATATTTGTATTTTTAATATGTATATAATGGACATTCAAGACATCTGCCGTCCATGAACACATGGGGAAATACTTCCAGGGTCATGCCATCTAAAGAAATACCGCTTCAAATTGCGCTTAGGGTCGATTCCACCCGTTGCGTGTTAAACGGAGATTAAAATGACATTGTTAATGTAAAAATGTCATTTTAATCTCCGTTTAACACAACGGTGGAATCGGCCCTAAACTCATTTCCTTTATTGCCTTGCTCATCTAGTTTATAGAAGGTCTTTGATATGTCAAGATTCTTCTTTAAATTTTAGACTCTTTTTTGAGTTGAATCTCTGACTATGGTTGTAAACAACTAGTTCTGTTCACATGGTAACGATGACTTATGTCAAATTGTTTATAAATGTCGGAATTTCGAATTAACATTCCAATTTCTTAGAGAAATAGTAAAATTTCTCAAATTAATCAAAATGACTAACGATGAAAATACTGAAAATATAACCACAGAAGATAGAATATTAACTGTGAAAAAATTGTGCACTGGACTTCAAAGTCTTGATAGAAAAATAAGGAAACAAACGTATGTAGATTTGCAAAAATATTTATCAGACAAGAATATAGAGTTTAACAACCAAGATCTTAGAACCATTTTCATTGATATACACATTTATGTTTTGAATGGATTGAGAGATAAAACTGAAACCGTGCGAGAACAAGCAATTAAATTTATAACATACCTTGTTATTGACAAACTTCCTTTGAATGATTATTATCTTACATACATTCTTCCTGTATTAGTTGAGAGAGTAGGCACAGTAGAATTGATTGAAGAATCTGAGGAGATAAGGCTGCAGATTGTTGAGTTGCTAAATGCAATAATAACAAGGTAATATAAATTCAAAATGTTACAAATATTTTCGTAAATATAGTGAATAAACATTATTAATTAATATTATATATCAAGATCTTAATTTTAAATTATTGTTTTTTAAAGTTAACTTTATAGCCTAGTTTTTTATGAATAAAAAACATTTTAGGTACTCAAATACCGCTCAATTGGTACCATTTTTAAATGACTCTGTTACAATACTTGCTGAAACTGTTAAAGATAGATACCCTTCTATTAAAGAACTAAGTTGTCATACTATTATTAACCTCGCAACTGCTTTACCTAATGACTTTCACAAACAAGCTGAATCACTGATTAAGCCAGTATTAACTTGTTTTTACCACCAGAGATATAAAGTAAGAGTCGAGGCTATATATGCCACCGGTGAAATTGTTATGCATAGTACCTATAAGGCTATTGATGAGGTTGTAGGCCCTTTAGCTGAGAAATTATTCGATCAAATTCCTATGGTCAGAAGAGCTGTTGGTCAGGTAAGTTGATATAAACAGAAATTAAATCATGATCAGCTTCAAAATCTGATACTATGTACTTCTTTCCTGTTTTATCAATGATTTTTAACTCAAAAAATTATTTAAATAATCAAAGTCTAAGTTTTGAATCGTACAATTTCTAGAACTAGATGTTAAAACTGAAAAATAAACTCTTTAAGCTTTATAATTAAGAGTAATTGACACATTAATTGTAATTAGTGACACAAACTAAAGAAAACATTTTATTATACTTAAAATTTTAAAACCTAAGTACACTAAAAGAAAATAAACTGCAATTCACAGCTGAGTCTGTGTATAATTTTTTGTAGGTGCTGTAATTGTAACAAAAAAATGTGTTCCAGTTATTGACACTTCTTGTACCAATAATTGACACCCTGACAATGACTGGAACGAAAAATCTGTTAGATCCAATGATGAAAAACTACTAGACTAACCCATTCATCTATAATTAAACCTGTATTTATTGCAATCATTCAGATTGTGTTTTATATTATACAGAAAGAGCTGACACATCAGCTGCCACATTAGAATAATGAGACTGCTGCTAATTTGAGTGGGGGTGGTTTGTGCGAGTTTGTTTATCTGAGCAACGAGCATGCTTTTTATGAATGAATAAGTACTTATGTCTACGACGTTTGCTTTACCCTGCTGTCATACTTCAAAATTATTAATTGCGTACTTTCCTGGAAATCACCTTCAACTATAATAGTTGTAATGAGAAAAATACACGAAACTGATAACTGGCGTTTTTATGCAAAAACAAGATGTACTCTATAAAAAAACGATTATTTTCTATTTCCTTTCCTGAACATTTTTAGAAAGTTACTAGTACTCCTCTTGCGCCCAAGTCTTCAGTTATTATAAAAGATTCTACTAGACTATTATATAACATTATTAGTAATTTTCGTTTAAGAAACTGCATAAAAAGATAAAATTTATACATAAAAAATCCAAGTTTTTTGCTACATAAGTTGAAAATTGCGTTTCATGAAATAAACATTGAACAAAATTTTACTTTTAGGTAGCAGCAAGATGGCTCTTAGAATACCGAGACAGATATTCGTTTTTTCATAAAATTTTGCCATTAATTTTGACAGGTTTGAACGACGAAGTCCTTGAAACTAGAACTGAAGCTGCCCAGTTATGGGAAAAAGCTGGTATTCAATTTCAACAAGAGAACGAAAAAGATTTTAAGGACGAAGTTGGTCAGTTATTATTAGAATTAATTTAAATTATTTTTATTTCTCGACATTATTTTTTGAAGTGAAAGAATTCGTTTATAAATTCCAGAATCTGAGAGGTGATAACAAACCAAAGAAAAATTGAAGTTGTTTTTTAAAAAAAATCTGCAGCATGCAAGGCTCGAACTTGCGCCCTCTGGGTTCCCGTCCCTACGTCCTAACCATTCCCAGCAAACATTTTCTATAACATTAGTTATAACTCGACTTTGTTAAAGACGAATTTACTTATTGAAGTAATTATTACGTAAAATTGACTAGAAAAATATACCTCTAATGTAAATTTACCAAACGGTTTTAATTTATATTTAAATTTACGTAAATTATACCAAGAAATCTCCCTTTTACACAAATCTGCTTAAAATTAACTTTAACCATATCAGCAAGGGAAAAACTACTAAAAAAAATAACCAACAATTACTTCAAAGTTGAATTTTCTCTGTAGTAAAATTAGGTGCCATTCATGTAATATCTACCTGTTTGGCAACTAAAAATCGTCTTTATAGTAGAATATCCAACTAGGTAGATTTGGTTAAAAATTCTACGTAATTTTATGCCTCCATAGTAACCTATTTGGCCGCTTTTATTTACTCTCCTTTAAAGTAATATTAGGTCGAGATCGTAGCAAAATTCTACCTGTTTATCTACCTAATTTCAACCAAATAGTCGAATACTCATTTAGTTGACCTATAAGTCATCTTGTAGAAATATTTATTAACTTTGTTGTAGCAATTACCTGAAAAATCTACCACAAAGTAAATTCGACTAAAAACCACCAATTTAAAAAGAGTCATACATGACCTATTTGTAAAATTTATATTATTTAGGTTATTTTAACAATTAGGTTGTTCAGTTACTGTCTTCGTCATTATTCTTAAGAATTTTGGCCATTTTAAAAAAACCATTACAGTCGTAATCTTAATTTACGTGTGGTGTAGATAGAGCTTTAAATGAGTGCGAAAAATAATTAATAAAATGAGTTCGAAAAATACTTATACTTCCGATTTTTATCGTAAAGTGAAACGTCTAAAATCTCAAGTGCAGAAAAACGTGACCTAAATATGTTATATTTACATATAGGTAAATTTTTTATAAAACCTATAAGTTATTATTTCTTTAAATAGGTAAAGTTAAATAATATGTCGTGAAATTGAAGTTAATTCAACTTAGTAAAAGGTATTTTTAAAATACGTAGATTTCCTTAGTCATAATAACTTTTAGGTCGAATTCGCACAATACGCCATATTTTCTTAACTAGAACTGTTAACATGCACGACAAATTTTTCTTCGCATTAATTTCAACAAGCGTGAACTGTATATTCAGCGCAATTACATTACATATATTTTTGTCACCGACATTTATTTATTTTCAATCTTTCATGTGAATTAGGTATATGTTTTAGTTGTGTTGGTGACTTCTTACAATATTTCTACTTATATATAAATAAAAATACCAAATAAGTATAAAATTTCTTTTCGTACACTTGGAGGCATACGTCATCTGCAAATATTTTGGTAGTTTCTACCTAAACTTAGTTAAATCAACGTCGAATTAACGTTATACTGACGTCAAATTTCCCTAGAGAGGTATTACTAACCAAACGTACTGGGCTACTACAATGTGGATGTAATTCTACCTATTTTGGTAAATAAAAGCAAATTTCGACGTCGTCCTATTCTCCACTTATGTCGAATCCACGTCGAGCCAACTTACATTTTACTTAATTATGGTTAAATCTAATTTTGCGACCAAATTTATTATATATAATTTAGGTAGTATCGACGTCAAATTACACCAAAATGTTTGCTGGGTTAGACCACCAGAGCGTTATACATCTGGCGACCTAATTCTTTATTTGAGTACAAGAATTGACCTCAACTCAGTTTATCGGAACTTCCAATTGTATTCTGGAAAAAGATGATGAATTCTTTCACTTGTCTTTGTTTCGGCAATTAAACCGACAAAATTTCGTTTATTTCATCATTTCATTATTTTTTTTGAGCTGAACTGAACAAATTTTGTAGATTATTTGATTCAACCCCCTAAATATTACCCGGAAAATGTAATTCGTCCCAACATAGGTTGCAGAGGATTAGTGAAACGGAATATTATCAAAATAGCTCCGGGTATAGCTAATGAATTGATGAGCTGGCAAGAAGATGTCAGACTAAGGTGCGCCCAGCTTTTATGCGCAATAGGTAAGGTCTATGAATAAAATATCCTATAAATTGTACCATTTTTTTAAATCGAATGTTTCCGATATCGATTCGATTTTATCGACAATCGATCTTTTTGTAACGATTTCGATTTTTTAGAATCGATTTTTTTAAAGATATTAATCTAGAGATCGGTGGAGATTGATTCTAGCCTACCTCTATATGTCCATAATTGTCCACGTGTCTTTTGCCTTTGGTTACCGCCACAAACTTAAGCTCAAAAGATAATAAAGTCGTGAGAAAATTGAAATTTGAGTAAGTGGTTTGCGATTCGGCTAAGCGACCCAAAATGGCAGCCAAAAAGACACGATCCGTATATTATTGGTCCTATTTACATGGTGAAAACAATAAAGAAAAAAAGTCATGCACAGTGACAATGCCATGAGGGCATTAGTCAATATCTCCGTTATTATTGGTCCGATTTGCATAGGACAAAAGATATTATGAAGGAGACGTGACAGATTAATGTTGAAGAACAAAATAATGCGCAGTGGCAATGTCATAACGGCATTAGTTAATATATCCGCTATTATAAGTCCGATTTGCATGCGGCAAATGATTTAACGTTGAAGAGGAAAATCATGCACAATGGTAAAGATAAAAGGGCATTCACGTATATATCCGCTATTATTGGTTTAAATCGAATGGGAAAACGGGGGAGTGGAGGACATTACATAATAATGTAAAATATGACAGCTAATGCGCAGGGACAAAGCCAAACGTCAGTAACCTATATCTCTATTATTGGTGCGATTTGCATGGGACAAAAGTCGCTAAACTTGATCTGTATTATGTCAGATCAGACGTCACCATTCATCTGCCATACCAAACTGTCAGTTGCACTACCAGCGTGTTGGGGAGTCTGCCATAGTGCCATGTGCCAAAACGCATTACTAACCTAGTGGACCGACAGTTAGCCAGTGGTAAACAAGTTATTTTAACGTCACGCAAGTATAAATTCATAGAAATTCATAGACATTCATAGAAATTCATAGAAATTCATAGAAATTCATAGAAATTCATAGAAATTCATAGAAATTCATAGAAATTCATAGAAATTCATAGAAATTCATAGAAATTCATAGAAATTCATAGAAATTCATAGAAATTCATAGAAATTCATAGAAATTCATAAAAATTCATAAAAATTCATAGAAATTCATAGAAATTCATAGAAATTCATAGAAATTCATAGAAATTTATAGAAATTCATATAAATTTATAGAAATTCATATAAATTCATAGAAATTCCTGGATATTCATAGAAATTTATACAAATTCATATCAATTCAGATAGACAGGTGTCTAACTTGAACTGTCATAAAAAAGCATTACCAAAAGGACCTAAGTTTATACGGTTAGTGGGTGTCGCCAGGTCAAACTTTACGTCAACACTTTGCGTCAAACCTCTCATTCATTAACAGTATCGACTGCTAGCTGTCTTAATGTCGTGTCAAGCTTCACACCAAATGTTAACGTACATGGTAAAGGCAATATTGGACAACTACTATTTGAATCGATACTAAGAATCGATCTTTCCTATATGAAAATTTGACCTATTTTTGTATATTAATTCAATTTTATGAGATATATGCTATGACGTTATTTTCAGCTATATCATATCAGCTATACATTAATATCGGACAAATAATTAATATACATACCGTTGAAAATGTCTGATTTTGAGATTATATCTATATTTCTCAAAAATATATTGGATGGAAGATGGCCTTAATTCGTGAAATGCAATACTGGTGCCATCTACCAACAGATAGTCACACTATCGAGTTGCACATATTACTTGTAGATGCCGAAACATGATTTTAAATTAACGCACTTTTCTCTCACGCTCATGGAGAAACGATTATTACTCACGTTCAGGCCTCGCAACGAAATGGAGGCAGGCGTAACAAAAAAGCTACAAAAAACTTACAAAAAATGAGCCTGGTCCGAGCTGGTGCCGCTACAAATATCCGCTAAGCTAGCGGATTCGGGCTTTTCTCAGGTTCAGTACAAGCTACAAAAGGGAGACTAGCGTAACAAAAAAGCTACAAAAAAGTTACAAAAAACCAGCTGGGTCTGAATCTGTGCCGCTACTATGGAATTTATGGAAATTCAAGCTAGCGGATCCGCTGTTTATTCGGACCTGGGCAAAGCTACAAATTCGCAAATAGCGTAACAAAAAAGATACAGAAAAGCTACAAAAAACCCGTCAGGTCTTGAATGGTGCCGCCACAGAGTGCCCGCTAGCTTGATAGAGCCGTTATTTTCATCATTCGAATCAGCGCTGCCAGGTAGTCTTGTATGAAAAAAATCATGGATCTAGAGAAATTTATGAGTCCATTTTAAACATGTCACTAAATTGGCAGCAAAACTCATCTCATTTACAATTTAACTGTGACGTTATCCCTGTTAAATTATAAATTTTCGCCAAATTTGGGATATAAAGTATGAATATTTGTCTTTTCTCAAAGTGTAGTCAGTAAATGATTCCTTTTTATCCCACTTGCTATAGACCAGTGGTTCTCAAACTTTTTTGAAACGCGAAATATTTGACGGAGCCCTAAACGCATTTTTTAAATAAAAAAAGGTCCTGAAGCAAAATAATATCCTCTTTCCTCCTACTGACTTCTAAAAAAAAGCTCCTCAAACAAATTCATACATTCGTTTTTCCTAGTGACTTCTAAAAGAAAAAAACAAAAGGTACTTCAGGCAAGTCCCTCCCTTTTGTGGCGATAGTACTACTTCTTTTTTATTATGACTATTATTTTCTTCGCGGAGCCCCCGAAAAGGCTTTGCAAAGCCCCAGGGCTCCGCGGACCACACTGTGAGTAACGCTGCTATAGACTAAAGTTTCTCCGGCTCATTGATTTTTATTTAGTTTAATATTTATCTTCTATTTGTATTTATTCTAAAAAATTCTTTTCCTTTTATCGTTTTTATTCCTCATTTTTATCTCGCATTCTATACAATATCTATCTTTATTTTTACTAATATGTATTTATATATGAGTTTGAATACATATTGTCAGTTTGGTACAAGAGAGTCACATCTAAAAATTTTCATTTTTAGAGGTTTATTGTTGTATCAACTTAAAATATTATGTGTGTAAAATCGTTACAGGTTAACGTTGATTTGTTTCTGTTAAAGCGCGCTATGATAAAAGGTCACATCTTAAATAAACGTTTTAATTCTCCTGTAAACAAAACCGTCATAAGTCGGTTGTGTTGTGACACTTGTAGATGTTATATGCATATTTTAGGAAAGAAAGTCAAATATGATATTTAGGTAATAACATAGTTTTTGTTTATTTGTCATATCTCTTATTAGACCATTCCTTTTTTTATAAAATTAACTATTACATTTATTATAAATAATAAATAATTTTCTGAAAATTCAAACTTTATAGTGTTATTTTTCTCCTAATATTTACCCTACTATCATTATTTTATAAAACTTTAATAAGCCTTTCTAAAAATTTTAGTTTTTTTAATATATTACTGTCTATTTTCAAATTGACGATATTACAAACTTAACAGGTTTTAATTTTAAGTTCCCTGTAGTTTTCGTTTCGGTACTTCTTTTCCTTTTTTCCTCCATCTTCCTTAAAAATCTCTATGTCGCGTTTATGCAGCTTAATGCCTCTTTGATAAGGTCCAAGACTTTCAATCAGAGTTGGTATAACTTCCTTTTTAACTATTTCTGCTTTTGTCTGTTTCGGCGTTTAATTTTTAATCTATATATTTACTTTTTTACTTTAATCTTCTTCTTATTTGTCCTAAATCATTACAGTAATTAAATGTTTATAACCTTATAAATAACATTCGAAATATTTTAAGCTTTACACGCAGAAAGCGACATAACTCAGAATCTCCAAGCGTTGCTTCCGTCTATGTACTCTGCAGCCAGAGACGATGATACCAGAGTGGTAGCGAACATTGAAAGAGCCAGCGAGATTATCGGTTGTTTTGTCAAATGTAACGTATGGTCCGAACTTATGTTGCCGATTGTCGAAGACGCGCCGCATTACGGCCATTTGACGGTGTTGAACGGATTGGTGAGAGGAGCGCCTCAGGAATATTTTGTACCTTTTGTGGAGAAAATCTGTCAAGTATTGAGCACGGATGCTATTTGCTGCAGCAGAAAGGTAAGTTGTGAAAGCAGATCAAAATTTAGAGAAATCTGGAAAATCTAGATAGGGTACGATTACAATTAGAAGAACACAGCTACATCATCATTTGGCAAAGTAATTAATTGGTTATCGCCGCCTAATGAGGGTTTAGTTGAGTGTTAATTTTATAGGAATATAGGAAATATTGTTTTATACATAACAACTTACTTATTTTTTATTTATTGATAGTTATGTATTCGAAATTCAAAGTAACGTTTATGACATAGCTGTGTTCTTCTAATTGTAATCGGACCTACTGTATATGTTACTTTTGTTGGGCTAAGGATGTCATCTACGTGTCTTCATATATTATCGCATTTATTCTTAAATACATTTACTTAATTTAAAAAAAAACTCTATCAACTTAGTTTTTAATTTCAGAACAAATATCAAGTTGAACTTATAAAATGCGTGAAAGCGCTAGCAGAAAAGAACGACAAGGGCACCGATAACGAAACCGGATATCATCTGTTCAAAATAGCTGTATCAGTATTTTCTCTTAAACATCCGGACAACGTCAACAAAATAAACGACTTAGAAATTCTGGAAGAGCTAAGAACGACTTTAAAATTACAAAGCGTTCAAGATTTGTGGAATTTGTATTCGGGTCGACTGTTAAAGCATATCAATAAAAACCCGAAACTTTGGGTGACCGTTACGGAGGAGGAATGTATATTTTTGTTAACTTTATCGAATATGGGCGAAGCTTTCGGTCAGAATTTGGATATTATTAAAGACATATTAGCGGAAGCCTTAGATACCGAATGTGACGGTGAGAGTCGACTTAAGATATTGTTCGTGCTGGCTACTGTGTTTGAGAAGAAAGAAGTCATTTTCGATAAGGCCCAAAATGTGTCTGGATTTTTAGAGAAACTGGTAGAAGGTATTTATTTATTTTTTTTTTCAAAAAACGAATTAAGGGGCCTATTCAGTAACTCTGAACGACGTCGTTAATAGACAATAATCATTCACAGAGGACTTTTCTTATTCAGTAGACAATGATTATTGTTAAATACAGGGTGATTTACATAAGAACCGACATAGAGCAGGGGCATATAGGGGGTCCCAAAATATGGCAATTTAACGCAACTTACCTCTATACCAAGTTGCTTCCCTAAGGAGTTATAGGCTTTGAAAGTGAAGTTATAAATTTTGAAAAAAAACAATATCTCCGTTATTCTTGAACTTAAAGCAACCAAATTTGGTACACTTTGTGGATGTATTTAGGGCGTTACTTGACAGTAACTAGAGTTTAATTGAAATTTCTAAAGGGGGTATGCTGCCCTCCTAAGCCAAAAAGCGGTATCTCACTTCAAGTGAGTTTCGAGAAAATACACATTTTCTAAAAGTTGTTCTCGCGTTCCCTCGAGCCGAAAAAAATAATTTAGGTACCGCTGGATTACTTTGAATTATTTTTTGTTTATTAATATTATTTTTGAAATTCTTATATCGCATGTGGATATGTAGCCATTTAGCTTAGTATTAATGGCATACCATTAAGCCTTTTAGTACATATAAGTGAAGTTGAGATAATGTGAAATTGTTATAAGTTTTTTTTATGTTCCGATTGATATTTTGCTATTTTTATTAGTTCATCTGAGGCGGAATTTTTCAAGCTATCTGATGGGTTAAAAAATAGAAAAGTCGCTTTTTTTTAGATGCCGCTTTTTGGCTTAGGAGGGCAGTATACTGGGTGGCGTACCATTAATATTCAACAGAATTTTGTTAACCCTTGATGGATTTTAAAAATCTTTGCTTTGTTTTGTGGGCAATTCAATTCTTAAACTTTTCTTACTCTAGTAATTTTTCGAAAAAACTCATCATTTTCATCAAAAACTCGAATAACTTAAAACGCGCGCTCTAGGTGTGTTATTTAAAATCAGCGAAAATTCAAAAGTTGGCTATGAAAATAAACGTCAAACAAGAAAGTAGGTAATTTAATGTGATCAGTAGGAATTGGCTGGCAAATTATTATTTAGATACGTAACAAAATAACTTAAAGTAAGTACAGATACTGAAATGTGAAAAACTGGGATTAACAACTAACCAAAATAAACACAAAAAACTTAAACAACAACCAGAACAAACAATTGTTTATTGATAAATTAAAGAAATTGTTCAAAATGATCGCCGTTTTCTCTTACGCATAAATTTATTCTTCTTCGAAAATTAAAATCCACCCTATCTAATAACTGTTGATTATTCCTAATAGATGTGCATTTATGAATAATGCGATTCCATAATTCTTCTTGAGACGCAACGGGCGAAGAATACACAAATTCTTTCAACGTTCCCCACAGAAAGAAGTCACATTTGTTCAGGTCAGGTGATCTTGGGGGCCAACGTTGTGGGCAATTATTTCCTCTTCCTATCCATCTATTGGGATACTGGTGGTTTAAAAAATTTCTTACGTTCATACTAAAATGAGGCGGTGCTCCATCGTGCATAAACCAATGTTGCAACCTTAGTTGTAAAGGTACCTCGTCAAGTAGATACGGAAGGGTGTTTTGTAGAAATTCTAAATAATTTTCACCATTCAGCCGATTCGGTAAAACAACAGGACCAATTAAATACCGATCAATAATTCCCATCCAAACATTAATTTTGAATTCACGTTGGAAATGCCGAGGAGTTATTGCATGTGGGTTTACGTCAGAATACTCATGATAGTTATGGAGATTTGTGATACCTCTGCGAGTGAAAGTCGCCTCATCCGTAAAAAGAATTTTCTTTTGGAAGTTATTATCTTGGTGTAGAATAAACTGACAAAAATTGACACGTTGAACCAAATCTCCGGGTAAAAGTTCTTGGACTTTTTGTACATGATAAGGGTGTAGTAGATTGCGACGGATAACTCGATGCACAGAACTCTGCGATATACCAATTTGTCGAGATAAATTCCTAGTACTAATATGTGGATCATCTTGAATAGCATTTAAAATGGCTACCTCAACTTGTGGCCTGAGTGCGACAGCACGTTCTCGAGTATTATTGAGAAACTTGCCCGTTTCTCTAGCTCGTCTTTCAACATTAGAAAATGTTTCTCTATGGGGAATGATACGGTTAGGAAATCTTCTACGATATTCTTCTACACTTCTTCTACAGTTTCCTTCACAAAAACCTAGCACTAACAGCATGTCAACTTGCTCGTTAAAAGAAAACTTCCCGTTCATTTTAAAAACACTCAAACAACAATTACTTAATTGAACAACTTACTTGCTTCATTGTCAAGTTTGACGTTTATTTTCATAGCCAACTTTTGAATTTTCGATGATTTTAAATAACACACCTAGAGCGCGCGTTTTAAGTTATTCGAGTTTTTGATGAAAATGATGAGTTTTTTTTCGAAAAATTACTAGAGTAAGAAAAGTTTAAGAATTGAATTGCCCACAAAACAAAGCAAAGATTTTTAAAATCCATCAAGGGTTAACAAAATTCTGTTGAATATTAATGGTGCGCCACCCAGTATACCCCCTTTACAAATTTCAATTAAACTCTAGTTACTGTCAAGTAACGCCCTAAATACATCCACAAAGTGTACCAAATTTGGTTGCTTTAAGTTCAAGAATAACGGAGATATTGATTTTTTTCAAAATTTATAACTTCACTTTCAAAGCCTATAACTCCTTAGGGAAGCAACTTGGTATAGAGGTAAGTTGCGTTAAATTGCCATATTTTGGGACCCCCTATATGCCCCTGCTCTATGTCGGTTCTTATGTGAATCACCCTGTATAGACAAATATGATTGCAAAATTGTCGTTCATCAACGATAGCCGCAGAGCTATTGTTAATATTATGAAGTGTCGTTATAGTGACTTTTCCATCCCCTTTTGTTTTAAAATACCTATTAGGTTTCACCGAGGAACAGGATGTTTTCTAAATAATAAAAGCACTACAACTAAATGCCCATTGACCTAGTACAGCAAGTACAATTTGTAAGGGAATTTTTTCTAATTAAACTATATCTGATTCACAGGTAGGATTGCCCATTCGACCATATACTGTTGGTTTCTAATTAACAATGCTGTTCCTAAAGTAGCACTGCAAAACAGTAACAAAACCTATATTATGGAAGTACCTATATTATAGTACTAGTACTCCGTAACCTACACAGCAAACGAGGCTAATGGCAGCTAATGTCCTGAGTTGTTGAAGCCGATGACGATACCAACAAAAAAAATATCACGATTGACAGGATCGAATTTGATATCTCTCTTTCAAATCCAACAAATTCAACTGTTCTTGAGTTGTTTTTTGTATTCTTTTGGAATAGGCGGTAGTTTTCAATTTACTCATTTAAATAAACCCTACAATACGACCAGCAAATCACACAGCAAATGGCCCGAGAGAAATAGATGCATTAAACATTGGAAGCGATACGTACGATTAGTATTTAGATTTCTCCCTAGTTGTTTTAATTTTTTATTGTACGCATCTCACGGTAAACTTCTCTGATCGTGTTGAAGTAGAAGTAGAATTTATTCATCTTTGAGAATTATACACTATACAAAGACACTAGGTACATAATGTAAAATCCTATCAGACTAGTCAAAGAAGTGTTCAAGTAAAATATATTAAAAATTAAAATATATATATATACAGGGTGTTATTGAAATACACGTACATATTAAAACTGGGTATTGCGCAGATCCCCACTGAATGTAGAAAAATATTATTTTTTAAAAATACCCCTTATTAAGGGAGTTATTAATTTTTGAAAATTAATTCTAAAACAAACGTACTTCACTGATATGTTGAGGATGACCTATATAAATTAGGTTTATTTACCTATTTTAAACATCAACAGTAATTAATATGCAAGTTTTTGTCAGATGATAAGAAAACTAGTCTTGTAAGAAATAACCATGTTGCCAAGATTTTCGAATTAATTTCTATTTCCGAAGACTGGTTTTTACTACCCTCGTTATCAAAAAACTAGAATATTTGATAAATGATTGTTTTTAAACTATACATTTTTGAAACTATAGATTATTAAAATTTTAGTTGATTTACGAATCTGGCTAACACGAGCGCGTCATTTCCAAGTTGGTAAAAAGTGTTGTTACGATTACTTTTAAATATTTTTTTACGATGCCACTATTTACGAATATTGAACTAACGGATATAGTGCTGGTTTATGGGGCAGCTGGAGAAAATTCTCGGCAAGCACAAATCCTGTATCGCGAACGGTTTCCAAATCGGAGAATTCCGGACTGTCGTACGTTTATTTCAACTGTTCAGCATCTAAGAGACCATGGAAAATGTGAGAGTGTCAATGCAGATCGAGGGAGAACAAGAACACAAAGAACATTGGCGGCCGAAGAAGAAATATTGGAAGCTGTTGAAAACCGGCCTCAATTAAGTTGTAGAAGACTAGGTCTTGAAATTGGAGTGTCCTCATTTGTTGTGTGGCGGACACTTAAAGAACAAGGTTTACATCCTTATCACATCCAAAAAGTCCAGGCCTTATATCCAGGTGATGAAGAAAAGAGAGTGGAGTTTTGTGAATGGATGATTCAAAAATGTGTTGATATTCCTGATTTTCTAAAAATATTATTGTATACTGACGAGGCTTCATTCACTCGCGATGGCGTGTTCAATATGCACAACACGCATATTTGGAGTGATGAAAATCCTCACGCCATTAGGGAAACTGGGCATCAAAGAAAATTTTCAATAAATGTTTGGGCTGGCATAATAGATCAGTATTTAATCGGGCCTTATGTTCTCCAGAACAGATTAAATGGGCCAGGATATCTCCACTTTTTAGAAGATATTTTGCCAGTACTGCTAGAAGAGATACCGTTACAATTAAGGCAACGGATGTGGTACCTACTAGATGGCGCTCCTCCTCACTTTGATTTAAACGTACGGCAGTTTTTGAACATTAGATTTCCTCAAAAGTGGATAGGCAGAAATGGACCTACTAAGTGGCCTCCGAGATCTCCGGACTTAAATCCATGCGATTTCTTTTTGTGGGGTCACATGAAACAACTGGTTTATAATGAACCTATTAATAGTGTTGAACAATTAACCAATAAAGTTAATGCGGTAGCCGAGGAACTACGACAAAATCCAAGACTAATTTCTAATGTTCAAAGTTCTTTGGAAAGACGATTGCAAGTGTGTGTAAATAATAATGGACGGCATTTTGAACAATTACTGTAATAAACTTTATTTTGAATTAATTGGTTTTGATACGGCAACAGTGCAATTTCTATGGGTAAGTTCAATTTCGATTTATTTTACTTCTTTAAATATGGAAACTAGTAGGTCGGAAAAGGGGACTCTTCCCCAATATTTAAATTTTAGAATTTGAAGTTAAAATTGGTGCCAATCGTTTTTGGTCATTACATACTATTCCCCATTTTAATATGTACGTGTATTTCAATAACACCCTGTATAATAGACAATTCATGTTAAGATTAAGTGTTAAAATTTGCGTTTCCTTGAGGTCCCTATTTTATCAGGTTTGAAGTAGAGGCTAGGTTTGAAAAATTTTCTTCACTCTTATGCGATCTCTGGTTTTGTGAATCTTCAAGAAATCGCTGACCTTGTTTAAAGTTGAATCGGCAATAAATTATATTTTTCAGCCAAAAATCTGATTTATATACTTGCTCCTGAAAATGAGGATCTATTCCCACTAGAAAAGCTTGATTATTCTGTCTTACAAAATATGTGTCTAGTTTCTTCACATAAATGTCTTCTGCGTTTGTGCGTTTATGAATGTATTTCTTAAGCTTCTCTTCATTTACAGTGTCTGATACTCTAGATACAAAGAGCCAAATTTGTTTGTTTGATTTTTCCCTTCCTTTAAATTCATCATCACCTTCTCCACTTCCCATAATTGTTTTGTTTTTTCTCCTTTGCCGTCTTGTTACTGTGATATAATCATTCTCATGACTTCCTTAATTGGTATCATCTGCTAGATTTATTATTTCATTAGTTTTTTGTAGGGTTTGAATTTTCATTAGTTCTAATGCAACTTGTTTCCTTTGGAAGAATGAGTCTTCCCGTACAGGGGCATTCCTATAATCGCTTGTGTTTTTGTGTGGTATTAAATGTTTATTTCCAACGGTATATTCACACTTTCAGTTTTTGTTTGTTTTGGTTTTTCTATAAAAACTGGTATTTTATTATCACTGATAGATAAGTTTTGATTTTTATTGTCAACTCTTATAAATTTAGGATTTATTTCGTTATATTGTGTTTGCAGATCAGAATATTTTAAGATTTCTATTTTTTCACTCATTAATTGGTTTGCTAGTTTTTGTTCTTCTACTAGTAATTTTAAAAAGTTGTAAGCATCAATGCAAAATACATCACCTTTACTTTTTTCTTGATCCATAGTCTTAGATTTTTCAATAACTTTTGGTTTACAGCATCTTATGATAGCATTTACTCTTTGTGCACACGATGGATGATATTTCAAGTCACAAATTTCACATTTTACACTAGCAGTTACTGATTTTTTACAATAATTACACTCATCAGCATTTTGCGCGTGCGGTTCAGTCGGCGCCATCTTGTTGTAGGTTAAGAACAATTATATAGTGAAAACAAGATTAATAAACTGGTAGAATTTTTATTTTACGTCTCAAAAAATCTCAAATATAATCATCAACGTATGTTCTTTTATCACAAAACACTAAATTATAATAGCAACTTACTAGAAATCATCGTTCAGATTTAGTAACTAAAAATAACGTAACGACTTTGTTATTGAATAGAGTTTCAAAAATTAACGTTATAAAAGTCGTTGGTTGAATTTTTAGCTTAACGATGTCGCCTGTAAAAGATAAATTACTGAATAGGGCCCTAAGTATCTTTATACTTAATGATTTCAGTACTTTATTTAAATATCAGTTTCATATTTGGAGGACACTTGTTAATAATTTCAGATGTCTTCGTACCGTCTTTGGTTTGGCACGCAGGAGCTACAGCTGAAGCCATAAGAACGATGGCGGCCTCGTGTCTACAAAGCGCTCTTTTACCAACAGATGGCGTTGAATTGTTCACACCACAAACTTTACGTCCTGTAATTGTAAATCTCTTACCCTTATTGGTTTCTCTTTTGGAGGACGCGTCTTATAGAAGTCGACAGATAGCTGTCGATTGTTTGGCATTGTTGAAAGAAAATAGTTGCAGGAAGAACATTTGGGATACTGACGATTTGGTTTCCGTTTATCCAGGTAAAGCTTTGGTTTTAACAATATTCCGTCGCGAAAATCGCTATGTTCGTTTTTTTTAACAATTGTACATGCGGTGTAACAATGTCGTAAGTGCAAAAATTAATTTTTTACAGGGGGAGCCATTTGAAAGTGTTTCTTGACAGAAACTAAAATGTATTATTTGCTCATGTATTGCATGTTTTTACACACTGGTACCGAAGCAGATCTCGCATAATTTGTGACTAAAAAGTAATTTTCTAATATTTTTGCACTTATGACGTTGTTGCACCAGATGTGCAATTGTGATGACCTTTTATTAGACGGAAATTATGAATTTCAATATGCAAATCAGTATACCATCTATACTGTATTTTTATTTTATTACCACCTTTGTATAATTCATGTGTAGTTGTTTTCCAATATTTTCTTTTAATTCCATGTCAACTTTTGTCTTTGACACCATACAAACGAGGGTTTTCTTTCCTCAAATCAATTAATTTCTTCTCCTTCTCATTAAAAAACTATTGATAACTTTCATTGGGCATATTTAAGCAATAATATCCACACATCACAAATTTACAGATAAGAATTGACGAGAAATGACCAAAATGTATCTGATAACAACGAACGTCAACGCATTCCGTTAAAATTAAATGCACCCAGAACTTCTGGCGATATAGAAATTATAAAAACGGAGGACTCTAATATGGGGTATTTAAATTTTTTTGGTAATAATTTTACAATTATTTATAAATAGAAAATATATTAACAGTAAGTAAGTTGATTCACCAGTTATTTGAAGTAATTAGTATAATATATTGTACATCGGTGTAGAAGGTTAAATCACCAAATGAAAAACCCTTTTTCACCTTTCTCTCCATCGATTTTCCTCTTGATATCACCCGAACTCACTTCGTGTCCGTCCGGTATTCTTTGTGACATTCACGGTTATTGAACGATAATGATTGGCTGCTTTTAAAATAGTCCAGTTACACATATCAAAAGGACGTTTTTTTTTATTATTCTCATTCAAGGGGGACGACTTTTTTGATTAAATACAATTCCTATTAACACCATTTTGAATTTTTTTTAACTTACTTTGGATTTGTTATCATTTACTTCCAAAATACTCAGATACCATGTAAGAATGGACAGCTTTGAAACTACATTTTTAAATACGGCGATTTTGGCGACGGAATGTTCTTTAAAACCAAACCATTTAATGTTTAAAACCATTTCACTGCATTCTAACTGTAACATTTGTGTTTTTAGAGGTTCTGAAGCGACTGGATGATCCAACGGATAAAGTTCGATTGTGCGCGCTCAGAAATTTGCCTCTAATACTTAAAAATGTACCGGAATCGTTTAAAGATGGCACGTACAGAGCACACCACGAAGTGATCATCGACACTCTAATGATACATTTTGACGATGATGATGAAGCGGTACAAGATATGGTCAAAGGTAATAAAGTAATATTTTTATTTAAAAATTCTACGTCACAAACTAAGCTATCTATGGGGGTTTAGTGAAACTAATATTAAAGGACCCCGCACTGTTTACATTGATTTTGGGTACTGACAGAATTTGTTCAAATTTTAGTTTGTCAGGTCATTAGGGGCAACTTTCTTATGGACCTTAAGTAGGCAGATCTACAGGCTGAGCTGTTAGAAGGATTCAAAAGTAAGGACTGTAGAATTTATATTTTCAAATATATATCCACCACTCTTTAGTAATTCTTGTTTTTTTCCATGAAACTTATGGCATGTTTTACACTTGTTTATAGTTTGTTCATGCTTATTTACACTTTGCAAAATAAATTATACAGCGTGTTCAAAAAATTAGGAATATCAGTTTCTGAAATATGGTACATATTACATGTATTACCACAGTTATAATATGACTTCTGACCATTTTTTTGTTTCATTTCATATTAGATAATTTTTATAAGTAATACAGGGTGTGATAGAACTACGTAAACAACTAAGAATTACAAAAACGCATTTAACGAAAAATTGGTATGCCTAAAATATTGTAGAAAGTCTTGAAACGAATTTAGTTTGGCTCGTATTATAGTCATAGCTCTGTTTATCTAAGCAAGTTCCGTTCTACGTCTATTTAAACGTAAATAATTCTACTAACTCTTGACTTGAATGAATAACTTATATTCTATTTGAAAAGCTCTTTTTGATTTTTATATACAGTACAGATGTCAACATTGTCAACTTATCACTTCTAAATATAATTTTATTTTTGAGGATTTAGTAGGTTAATTTTAGTCAAATTAAAACATAAAAAAAACTTTTACATTTTTTTTAGTAGTAATTTATTTAAAAACTTCGTGATATGAGTACTCATGATATTTAATTCTGGCCAATTCTTATTGTTTATCTATTTCACATCATTATATACTTTTAGCTTGCTTTAAATTGTTTTCTAAGTCTATAATATAACTTTTTGTATTTCTTTGTTTATTAATCAGAATAATTACAAAATGATTCTACAAGATGAAAGGTTGGCGAGTGTTAAATTAAATAACAGCTAAATTAACATGATTGGGTTAACACGTTGCTATCTTTGCAATTTCAGACTACATGTGCTGTGTTTGGTTATCCATAACGGATGCATCTGAGATGTTGTGAATCTTTGATCATGTGATATAAGGTACGTAAATTAGTTGGATCAGATGCGTTTGATGTGGATAAATAATCGTCCGACAGGTATAAAATCGGATGTGGATATTCAAACGTAGCAATTCCATTTTACTTTGTATATTTTCTTCTACTTTTTTGGGCTGTCATTGAAAAAAAATTCAAAAGTTTGTTTAAATTTTGAATTTTTTGATAGTAGGTAGTTTATTTTTGTTAGGTAACTCTCTATGTGGCCTGATTTCTTTTTTGCAATATAGTTGACATTTGCGAATAATGTGAAGCATAGAGTCCAATAAAATTCAAGAGAATCCCCATTACTAGATATTACTGTACATGTAAGACTGGTTCAAGAACTATATGGATGTGTGCTCATATTTCAATTGTTTTGTGGTACCTGGAATATGCACGATTCGTAAATTAAATAAAGTACCCTTTAAGTGTTTTATTAAGAACTACTTTAGATGCTGTTGAAAGATGAGTAAGATTTTGAAGATGTGTAAATAGTTCATGTATTTAATAAAACATGTTTTTAGAAATGTAGTTTCTTTTATATGGCTTTATAATTTAGTGGAAGTCTAAAAATCTTTGTAAAGAAACTGTATAATTTTTGTATTAAATATCATATGTCTTTCTGTCACATCCTGTATTATAAGTAAATAGTATCCAGTAATTTATACAACAAATAAATGATCAGAAGTCCTGTGTTAATTATGGTAATACATGAAAATGCACCTTATTTCAGTAATTAATATTCCAATTTTTTGAACACTCGGTATGATTTATTTTACAAAGTAAAAGTAAGCATTAACAATCAATATACAAGTGTAACTCATGCCATAAGTTTCATGAAAAAAACATGAATTACTTAAGAGTGGTAAAGATATATATGAAAATATTAATTCTGCACTCCTTACTTTTGACTCCTTCCGACAGCTCACCCTGTAGAGCTGCAAACTTGATGTCCATAAGAAAGTTGCCTATTATGACCTAAAAAGTAACATAATAAAATGTTAACAATTTCTGTCAGTACCCAAAATCAATCTAAAAAGTGCGGGGTGCTTTATTTGCCAAGTCATAATCACTTATCTGGTTACCCTGATCATATAATAAGTTGATTATATGATTTGTTGTTCCCTTTTTGCAATTGCCTAATCACTTCCCAGGTAGCTTTAGTCTTATTTTCAGAGTTTAAAATGAGATTATCATAGTATTACTTACAGGCCTGTTCTAACCTAAGCTTATAAGTATTATTTAACATTTTACTAATTTCAACATATCGTCGATCGTGCTTAGCAAGAGTTTTATATAATGTCATGAATTCCTAAGCCGACCCTGTATACGCACGCAATCAATTCGTGGCCGAAGCAACGCTGACGTGTGGAAACAGCCGGACCGCTCTCGAATGTCTGCCGCTGATTCACTTGAAGCATCTGGAATGGCGGGGGAGTGCCGTTTAGTCATCTTCGCGAAGTCTCTAGCATTTTCCAGTAGCGGAGTTAGACTAATATAAATAGACGACGTATCAGCGACGAGTTCAATTTAATATAGAACGTTGTATTGAAAAGTAAAAGTGTAAGAAATAAATTAGAATTGTTAGTTAGTGTTCAAATATTATATAAATTAAATAGTACGTCTGAAATAAATTGTAAATAGTGTGTTTTTAAATAAATAAACTTTAAATAAATTAGACTTTCATCACAATAATGACACATTATTTTTCAATTCCAATAAATCTGCATTATTTCTGGTTCAAAATCTCTTCATATTTTCTTATTCAGCTATTATTTTTCCTTCTTTTGTTTTTATATATGTTTGATGTTATATAGTGTTAAGATTTCTATAAAATAATTTTTGGTTGTTCGTTATGTACTTACGTTTTTACGTTTAATTTTGTTTCAGATGTTTTGAATCAAATGGTGGATATAAATAAAAATGAATTGTTGAAGAAGATCGATCGCCACAAGCCTTTGCTACGCAATCAAAAAGGTTGCGAGGAAATTTTAGAAAATATTGCAGGTTTAACGATTACCGAAGTTTGATTATTTTTTTTATTATTATTTTCGAGTCTAGTCATTTTTTACATTCATTCATTTACTCACTATTAAAGATGCTTTCTCTATTATTATAATTAGTCTAAATTTATTTTCATTTTGAGTATGAGGACGGACCTGAACAATTTTTTATGCTATAATTACTTAAAAAACATTGTTTTAGCTTTTTTGGACTGAACTGCCTTATACTGTTCATCATATACCAATGGTCATGATTTCAATATGTACAAAGTTAGTGTCTCAATATTTTTTTGAAAATAATTAATCAATAAAATAAAATTTTTGTATTGGTAAACTAAAGAAGATAAAGATTGTTTATCAATATCTATTATAGATATCAATTTTGTAAGGTATATTGTCAACAAAAAAGATGAGTTAATTGAAGAACTTCGCGATAAATATATTTTAAATGAACAAATTGTTCTGTTGAAGGGAATTCAATCAATTTACCAAAAAAATTCGAATAAGGTCGATGAGAGACGCAAAACAAAAACCAGATCCTAATAAACTAATTTTGAATGTATCAAATAGAGGTATAATAACTTTAAATTTTTTTTTCCAACGATTTAAAAATATTTCTTTACAGTCTACAGGAAATTCCAAGTGATAAAATGCAAAAAATAGTTGGCTTAAAATTATTTTTACTTATCTGTCACTCTTTTTGTTACAATAAATAAATAAATGCTCCAAATTAAATTTGATCGGAACTTTTATTCTAGAGTTATTTTGCCGGCGCACATACCCACAAACGACCATAAACGGTTTTTCCGAATTTTATGTCGGAATCGTCCATTTTCAGAGCTATAATAAGTAGGAATAATCTATTTTTCCGAGTTGTAAGTCAGAAAACTCGATTTTTCCGTGTTCTATATCGGAATAATCTATTTTTTCCAATTTCAAAGTTGAAATAATCTACTTTTGTCAGTTGGAAGCCTGAACAATCGATTTTCCCGAGTTCTAAGTCGGACTAATCTATTTGTCAAGTCAGAAATATCAATTTTCCCGAGTTCTAAGTCAAAATAATCTATTTATCCGATTTCTAAATAGGAATAATCTATTTTTCTGATTTGTAAGTAAGAATAATCAATTTCCCTGAGTTGTAAGTCAGAAAAATCGATTATCTCGAGTTTTAAGTCGGAATAATCTATTTTTCCAAGTTGTAAATCAGCAAAATCGATTTTTCCGAATTCTAAGTCGGAATAATCGATTTTTCCCAAGTTCTAAGTCAGAATAACCTATTTTTTTGAGTTATAAATCGGAATAAGCTATTTTTCCTAGTTCTAAATAGGAATAATCTATTTTTCTGAATTGTAAGTCATAAAAATCGATTTTCTCCAGTTCTAAGTCGGAATAATCTATTTTCCAAGTTGTAAATTAGCCAAATCGATTTTTCCTCATTCTAAGTCGGAATAATCGATTTTTCCCAAGTTCTAAGTCTGAATAATCTATTTTTTAAAGTTGTGTGTCGGAATAAGCTATTTTTCCGGATTCTAAATCGAAATAATCTATTTTTCCTAATTTCTAAGTCGGAATAAGCTATTTTTCTGAGTTGTAAGTCATAAAAATCAACTTTCTCGAGTTCTAAGTCGGAGTAATCTATTTATCCGATTTCTAAGTAGGAATAATCTATTTTTCTGAGTTGTAAGTCAGAAAAATCGATTTTTCCGAGTTGCAAGTCAGAAATATCAAATTTCTCGAGTTCTAAGTCGGAATTATCTATTTTTCCAAGTTGTAGTCACCAACATCGATTTTTTCGAATTCTAAAGCTTAATTTATAACCGTCGTAACGTAACTTAAGAACTTAACGTAAGAAGTTGAAATATTGAATTTACGTATACTTATTTATAATGTTCGTAACGTAACTTAAGAACTTAACGTACCGTAGAAAGTTCGCCAACTTTTAACTTAACAACTTAACTTAATTTAAGACCTTACGGTTAACCAATGAGATAATTCTGAGTTCAGCATGTGATAATCAATTATTCTCTTTTTATTTCTTTTTATAAATGAATGGACAAATATACCATTTGTAAACTATCATTTTCCTTTTTTATGGACATACATTATCATGAATGATTTGTGTTTATGTTATTGGGGATAAACTATTTATGAGATATGAGTGTTGCTGCATATACCTATAAACATTAAGTCTAGAACTGAAATAATACACAAAACTAGTTAGCTAGGAAAGATTAAATTCTCATTATTGCTCAAAAACATCTTCGGTAAACTATTCTGTTTTATTATATTTTTATATCATTGCTTTTAAAGTAGTTAATATATTCTTTCTATATAGCAAAATCATAATTTATAAGTTTTATTTAGAGGTTAGGTACATAGTTTACCCTTGTTTATTTCATAAGGTTGTCAGTAAGTTGACAATTTTTGAAATACAACACGCATGCTCAATTCTTACGTTACAGACATTTATAAATAGACTTTATTTTTATATTTTAGGTTAAGTTTCTACGGCGTTAAGTTAAGTTACGTTACGGTGGTTATAAATTATACTTAAGTCGGAATAATCGATTTTTCCAAATTCTAAGTCTAAATAATCGATTTTTCCCAATTTCTAAGTCGGAATAATCGATTTTTCCGAGTTCTAAGTCGGAAAATAGATTTTTCTTAGTTCTAAGTCGGAATAATCTATTTTTGCCAATTTATAAGTTGGAATAATCTATTTTGTCGTGTTGAAAGTCAGAAAAATCCATTTTCCACAGTTTTAAGTCGGAACAATCTATTTATCCGAGTTATTAAATCAGAATAATCTATTTTTCTGGGTTGTAAGTCAGAAAAATCGATTTTCCCGAGTTATAAGTCGAAATAATCTATTTTTCCTGAGTCTCAAGTTGAAATATTCTAATTTTCCAAGTTATAAGTCGGAATAATCTATTTTTCTGAGTTCTAAATCGGAATAATCGATTTTTCCGAGTTCCAAGTCGAAATAATCGACTTTTCTAAGTTCCAAGTCGGATAATCTATTTCCGAGTTCTAGGTTAAAATACTCTATTTTTCCCAATTACTAAGTCGGAATAATCTATTTTTCCCAATTTCCAAGTCGGAATAATTTATTTTTTCAGTTCTAAGTCAGAATAATCAATTTTTCTGACCTCTAATTCGGAATAATCTATTGTTTCCAAATTTTAAGTCGAATTGGTCTATTTTTCCGAGTTGTAAGTCATTAAAATTGATTTTTCCGAGTTCTAAGTCGGAATAATCGATTTTTACCAATTCCAAGTCGAAATAATCGACTTTTCTGAGTTCTAAGTCGGATAATCTATTTTTCCGAGTTCTAGGTTAAAATACTCTATTTTTCCCAATTACTAAGTCGGAATAATCTATTTTTCCCAATTTCCAAGTCGAATTGGTCTATTTTTCTGAGTTGTAAGTCAGCAAAATCGATTTTTCTAAGTTTCAAGTCGGCATAATCGATTTTTCCAAGTTCCAAGTCGAAATGATCGATTTTTCTGAATTCTAAGTCAGAATAATCAAATTTTTCGAGTTCTAAATCGGAATAATCTATTGTTTCCAATTTTTAAGTCGAATTAGTCTATTTTTCTGAGTTGTAAGTCAGCAAAATCGATTTTTTCGAGTTCTAAGTCGGAATAATCGATTTTTCTGAGTTCTAAATCGGAATAATCTATTTTTGCCAATCTATAAGTTAGAATAATCTATTTTGTTGTGTTGAAAGTCAGAAAAATCTATTTTCCACAGTTCTGAATCGGAATAATCTATTTATCAGAGTTATTAAGTCAGAATAATCTATTTTTCTGGTTTGTTAGTCAGAAAAATCTATTTTCCCGAGTTGTAAGTCGGAATAATCTATTTTTCCCGAGTCTCAAGTCAAAATAATCGATTTTCCCGAGTTATAAGTCGGAATAATCAATTTTCCCGAGTTATAAAGTCGGAATAATCTATTTTTCCGAGTTCTAAGTCGGAAAAAATATGTTGTGGCCTTTTTACGCTTCCATATCATTGCAAAGAATTTACAGATTTAAAGGAATTGTGGTAAATGGATAGTAAAAAAATTCTGTGTTAGATCATTTGCAAATAATATCCTAGTATTGAACTTTGAAGCACACATCTCGTTTCACTTTTATATTTCTGCTTACATACAATAAATAGATAAACTGAATAATAGTCGAGTTTGATATTACAGAATACAGAAAAAAATATATAATTAAAATAAAAGTTTATTAAAATAAAAACTTCACAAACAAAATATACTACTCAAGACTTAAAAATACAGGATTATCAACTTCATCTCCAATATGGAAATTATAAGAATAAGCAATACTGATTTTGCGTTGCTCGTCAACGCAAATACCTATACATATTTTACCCATCGTCGCCTCGAAGTTCCTATCGAAATACTCGCAGCATTTTTTGTCCAAAATTTGTCGATGGGCTCCAGTCGCTACCGATTGCTTGGTATCGCCCCTCTTCTCATTCAGTATCTTCGTTTCAATAAAAATGCCCACTCCGGAGTCATTAACTGTCAAAATATCTACTGAACTACTCAAATTACTCTTATAAATCTCCGATTGTGTGATACAGAACTTGCTCGCCAAAAACGTAAAGAGAATGATCTGTAAATCGTTGGATTCTTTGAGGCTTTCGTAATAATTGGAAGTCGAGAACAAATCGTTCAAACTTTTACAAAAATGTTCGAACTTGGTTTCGTCATACGAATGTATATTGAACGAATTTGCGGAGGAATGCAGAGTTCTGATGTAACGTTCTTTAAAGGCGTATTTTCGAACGTACGTATCTTTAAGAATCCTGGCCAATTCTAACCTAATTTCTGAATTGGGGATTTTCAAAAACATCTCTGATGGATCCAGTGTTAAGCTTTCGTTCCCACTCATGTATCCTAAGTGGTATAAAATCTTTAAAAATATATTTTCGCTAGCAATCACTTCTTCGCGGCTCGAAAGGTTGCCCAACGTTTTAAAATTGATAACGGACAATGCTTTTGAAATATCCGTACATCTTGACATGCCTAACAACAATAATTGTATCTCGTCTGATATATCTTTGATGGCGAAAATATCCCTGAACAAATCGTAATGCTCAGACTGGCACCAGTAGTTTAAAGGTACCCTTTTATTTTCTAAGTAGTTCAAAACGGACCACAAGTTGTAAATGTTGTTATTCTGCGATGGGACCAAATATCCCCCATAGTATTCAGCTAAAATCCTTTCAGTTTTTTCGCGTTCGGTTGTATCCGAGATGAACTTTTTCAAAACCTCCGACAACTCTTCTACGGTAACTCCGTAATATTTGCAAAAACAATGGTTATCCAGGAAGAAAAACTGCTTTAAATTCAACGTTACCGTCGATATACCCGAACTGGACACCGGAAAGACACCTGTTAAAAAAGCGCGGTCCACAAACTGGTTGGACTTGAGCATCTCTTTTACAACCAGTTGTATAAAATTAATAATTTTTTCGGTATCAGGATTGTTCTTCATGATTAAACTGTCTACATACGAGTCAAAATTATCGATCATAACTATAGATTGTTTTCTGAAATGCAAAAACAACATTTCCGATAAAAATACAAAGCCCATTTCAATTTCAGGTTCGGTCAAAGTTGAATTCTGAGCGGGGTCGCAGTATTTGTGGAACAATTCATTACTCGATCTTAAAAGTAACCCGGTATTTTTCAGTAAATATCTGTGTTCGATAAAGCTTCGCCTTAACACCAATTTGAATTTGTTCAACATGTCATCATAGCTCTGAATGAAACACAACGGTTTGAAATTTATCGATATCACAGGGTGTTGCCCCATGTGATCTTTGCAGAATTTCGCTCTTTCCGTAATGGCTAGCCGTTTGTCTCTGAAGATTTTATAATTTTCAGTTTGTCTGATATCTTTCGCGTGTCCGTCTTCGTTAACCTCAATTTGTAGGAATCTCTTGACCATGTTCCAATTTGTCGATTTTCCAAAGGCGTGCGGCGCTGTGATTAACAAGTAGTTATATCTGAATAATTCTTCAATTAATAGGGATTTATCGATGAACCCTGTAGTTTCGACTATTTTACTGAAATCGTCGCTACCTAGACAGAAGATTGGTTCGCTGTTTATCGATTCTGGTCGAGAAATGCTGACTGTGAACGATTCTTTTTCTGAGTATGGATGCTCTTTTATCATGAAACTTTCCTGTTCTATCTAGAAAATAAATTATTTTATTCATTCGATGGTATTAGCGTACTCCTGGGGTCACTAAATCTAACAATCTGACTTCCACCTTCTACTCTAATGGTAAATTTGAAACTAAACACTAATAATGAATCATTAAATTTGAAATTATTGTACAACGTAGAAATCAGAAATCTGTTACTCATGTATACAGGGTTGTTGATATGTATGGAAAGGATCGATTATCTTCTAAAGTAAGATAACTAGCGGAAAAATGTTTTAGGGTTCTATAAAATCTATATATAAATCGTTTATTTAGTCAAACAAACTATTTTTACATGTCTATACATCTTCACATTTAAAATATAAAAAAATATATAAATATAGAATCAAAATACATAATATACAGTATACTTACATGTTAACTATACAAAACAATAAAAGAACAAGAAAAAAACGTCAATTGGTCAGCAAGTACTCACTCAGTTTTCTTTTAAATATTGCTGCGTTTGAAGAACATTTAATATCTTCAGGGAAATCATTAAAAGCCTGTACACCTTTAAAAAACACTGAAAAAAATTTCTTATTTCGTGTATTGTGTTCATGAACATCCTGATTATAACTTATATTTTTTAAATATACTGGGGAGATTCCTGATTTAATCTTAAATATAAATAGCAGGGAATAGAATAGCAAATATTTTTTAACAGGCAACCACTGAAGCACATTCAACATGGAATTGATTGGTTCCAATCTCAAACAGCTCAGTATTATCCTCATACCTCTATTCTGCAACTTTTGTAATTGTTGCAACTCATTCTAGTTGTTATTTTCATCTAAATATATATTTTCAGTTTTACAATGATTATAGAACTAGGAAATAAAAGTAACATCTTGACAATCATTACAAAATGTAAACAAAGCTAGTGCAGTTTGTAGGCGCCGTGACAATACCGATGTTGACGTCATAAAACCTGCGCACCGCTTCACCTATCTTACACCATGGTCTGGACTATTTTTATTTGACACTGAAAATAATATTTCTTTTAATTCATATGCTGCGTTTGAGAATCCACATCGGATGCATCTGAGATGTAAAAAATCTTTGATCACGTGGTTCAGTATACGTAAATGTAATGGGACAGATGTGTCCGATGTGGATAAAAAAACGTTCGAGATGTAAAAAATGCATCCGATGTGGATTCTCAAACGCAGCAATTATAATAGACGGAAGACATCTTGAAGTTGTAAGGTCGTTGGAAGATCTTTGCGCCATCTATAAGTTTACATAACAACTAATAAAATAAAAAAGAAAACTGTAAATTATTATTTTGGCAGTCTGTTTACGGTTACGGCGTCGGTATTCATTTTTTTTTCTTTGACTTCTTCATTAGTTGTATGTGCTCAGTTTTTCACCATCTCTATCTACTTAGTGCCAGGTCCCAGAGTCTTCTTTTTCTTAGTCATGTGTGTCATGTCAAAATTTGTAAAAACATAAAACAAATTGAGGTTACAATCTCTGGTTTTGTTTTTGAATTATTTTTTGCATTTATTTTCAAAATACCAACTTAGAAACACAAAGAAAATTATGAAAAGCAAAGTTAAAAGGTAGGTGTGCACCTTTTGTTAACTACTTTAAATTTCAAAGTGAATAGATGTATTTATCATTGTTTTTATGTATTATTATGTTCTGTTGTTACATACATAAAGATTTACAAAAACCCCTAAGTATGTACCTCTTTTTAATTTGTTAATTGCTTTATTGCTGTATTTATAACAGAACTTACCTGAGTCGGACTTAGGTAAGTCGTGTTTAAACTAAAATCGGTTACAACGTTTCTAAAGTTCTAGGTGGTTCTGGTGTTAGACTGTAATTTAGAGATGGATATTACCAAATCTGTAACTGTTATGTAGATTTACGGATTTGTTACTACCCATCTCTAAATTCACGTGATATAACCGATATAACTTCAATTTTAGTTCAAGTACGACTTACCCAAGTCCGATTCAGCTGAGTTTTGTTTATAAATACGGACCTTAATTAGTGGTTGCTGGAAATGTTGTCTGGATCAATGTCCCAACAACTAAAAATCTGATGTGTCCAACATATGACTTTCCTATCTAGTTATTATAGGCTTTTTCCGGTTATTTTGTACAACCTATTGCAGCATCTCTATAAATGTTTAGAGGATAAACTAAATATATACATTGTCCAGTTGTCCACATACATCTACCTCGAAACATTTTTCTATAGATATTCATTGAAAATGAAAATACTGAAAAATTTAAATTTAGCACTTTTCCATTACGGTCCATTTTAGAAAAATCATGTATAAACAAAAATTATAGAGATCGATATCGCAAACAACTTTTAGTTCAACAATTTTCATAAAAATCAGAATTTTGTACATTTTGTCAAATTTCTCGAATACGGACCATTTCAGAAAATTTTGACAACACAAAAATTATAGATAATAATATTAGAAGTAACTTTTATTTGAACAATTTTCTTCTCCAAACATAAATAACGGATATATTCCATAAAATATAAAAACGGCCTCCCATAAAGTACCCCCCTAGATGTTCCGACTTTGTCCAAAATCTAATAATTTCACGTCAGGCCGAAATAAACCTTAAGTTTAAAATTTAATGTTTCTTTTCTTTATCCGTTTTTGAGTTTTCTTCAAAATTCGAAATTTACATTTTCTCAAATATCTCGAATACGGTCCAATTTAGAGAAATTATGTATAGAATAAAAATTATAGAGAATTATATTACAAACAACTTTTATTTGAACAATTTTTATAAAAAAATATTTTTTTACATTTTGTCAAATTTCTCGAATACGGACCATTTTAGGAAAATTTTGTAAAGAACAAAAATTATAGATAATTATATTAGAAGTAACTTTTATTTGAAGAATTTTCTTCTCTAAACGTAAATAACAGATATATTCTATAAAATATAAAAATGTCCACCTATAAAGTACCCCCCCCCCCCAGATGTTCCGACTCTGTCCAAAATCTAATCAGTTCATTAGACGCTGGAATAAAGCTTAAGTTTAAAATTTGGTGTTTTTCTGTGTATCGGTTCATGAGTTATACGACATACAGACACACACACACACACACAGACACACATACACACACACACACACACACACACACACACACACACAGACACACGCACACAAACACACACACACGCACGCACGCACACACACACACAGACAGACATCATCGCGAAAATAGTCAAAACGGATTCAGGGGACCTCAAAACGTAAAAATCCGTCGAAAATTCGAGGTCGAAAAAAATCATGATTCCTATACTTTCCTTATATCTGTAAGTAAAAAAGAAGGGCAAGAAAAAAAGAGGAAATTTATACTGACACCGGTGTAACTTTAGACAGATTGCCTAAATAATAATTTACAGTTCTCTTTTTTATTTTATTAGTTGTTATGTAAACTTATAGATGGCACAAGATCTTCCAATGACCTTGCAACTTCAAGATGTCTTCCGTTGAAATCATCTATTAATTAGTTTAAAATTTACTAAAGTTTTAATTTCACTTAAATAAGGTATAATCGGATAATTATTAATGGAAGGTAATACTCATTACCTACAAAGTAATAATTTAAAGCATTTGGAAAAGTAAAATCCTCACGATTGTCACAAATATTGTCAAACTCAATATTAGTATTTGTAAAATTGCTTGCGATATTAACTGTTGGAATGAAAGATTTCAAAGTTTTCCACATCTCAGTAGGGTTACCCTTGTTTAAATCTATTTTAGACAAATTAAGTATACAGGGTCAGCTAAAAAGTCATGACGAAACAAAGTTTCTTTTTCTTTAATACACCAGGTATATTCCATATTTCTAATGCTATTGTTTAGAATGTTGAGATAAATTGCAATATGATATATATACAATATATAATATATAACAAAAAATACAAGAAAATACAATTTAGGCTAAGAATACTTATGTTAAATTGAAATAAAAAGTATGAACAAAAAAAAAGTGTAGTGGGACATTGAAAACATTAATTACATGAAAAATTCTTCAACACTATAATTTTTCTATTAGGTACTGTTTTAGTTTGATTTTAAATAAGCTGTAAGTCACTATGTTTTTAATTGAGAGAGGGAGATGATTGAATAAGCGTGTTCCGTGAAAAAAAAATTACGTTGTTTTGTCTTTTTGATTGACCCTGCATACTTAATTTGTCTTTATTGTAATAGATTTAAAAAAAAAACCTTTAACTTTTGTATTTAACATTTTTCGCTAATTATCTTTAGAAGATAATCGACTGTTTTCATATATATCTAGGACCCTGTATGTACAGGATATAATGATAATGCCAGCATAATTTTAACAGATAATTTAATTAACCCTACGACTCCCAAGGATGACTAACAATTGACCACATTGTGTTTATATAGCCACATTTTGCATAAAAAAATATTAAAATTTGAAAAATTGTCTTAATATATTCTATGATAAGATGTCAACCTTATTTTCCCGATTTAACTGCATCAAAAGCGCCAACTGAAGAAATGGAGGAATAAAAAAATTGTAAGGAGTAATACAAAATGTTCTCAAAAAAAATTGAATTTCGCGTGATATTTGGAAAGATTATTTCGTATGCAAAAACTAGGTAACTTTTTTTGTTGTTTCGAAAAAATCAATAAAGTATTACTTATTTTTTTTTAAATAAACTTTCTCCAGACATATTCTAATATGTCACCAATAATAATACTTCATTGATTTTCTTGAAACAACAAAAAAAGTTACCTAGTTTTTGCATTCAGCCGACGATTTAACACGTTGACTGCCGAACTCGCAGTTTTTTTTACTAGCCATATTCGTGTGCAACAATTAAATTCGTAGTATATTAGTGTGAATAAAAATAGTTAGCTTCTGGAAACAGGACAAAAAATCAGGTCTGGCTTACACGAACAAAAAAATGTATTAGTAAAAATATAATATAAATGTATTCAATATCAAGAAACAAAACAGTATTTGTAATGTTTCTGATTTACTACTAACGAATTCAGATGTATACCTCTAACTTAGGTGTATGTATTTGTTGAAATTAAAAGATAGAAATTTAAAGTGACCTCTTGTATTACTGCGAATGAAAAATCGTTTTCTAATCTAAGAAAAAAGTTGAGTTGGGTCTTAACGTTTTGTTTTTAATTTCCTAGTTACAGTTTTAGTCTAAGATCCCAAGTAAGGTCGACCTTCACCCATCTGTTTAATGGATGAAAGTTTATTTTTATTAAATAAAATATGTTTATAAATATACCGCAAATAGGTTGTCTAAGAAAATATGGTCCAGACTATTTATTTTCTTAAAGTAAAAAAAACGACACCCTGTAAAGTATTCCCTAGATGCTTCTACTATGCCCAAACTTTAATCAGCTCACCGCAGGATGGATTTAAGCTTAAGTTTAAAGTTTGGTGTTTTTCTCTTCATCCGTTTCTGAGTTGTCTCCAAAATTCGAAATTTGCACTTTTTCTCAAATATCTCAAATTACGACCATTTTAGGGAAATCATGTATAGGAACAAAATAATAGAGAATGACATCATAAGCAACTTTTATCATGATCCCTATACTTTCCTTATCTGTATACAGAAAGGAAAGTAAAAAATGGCCGTGTCCGTATTTTCTTAGGCAACCCATTTGCGGTATATTTAAAAACATATTTTATTTAATAAAAAAAACTTTTATCCATTAAACAGATGAGTGAAGGTCGCCCTTACTTACGGATCCTGGACTATTTGTATTTTTCTTTTTAACAGGCTTCAAAAAAAGGAGTTCTCAATAATTCTTTTTAATATTTTTTTTTATGTATGTTCAATGATAATTCTTTACCAAGTTATCTGATTTCAAGGACTTTTTTGTTGAAAGGGGATACTTCAGAGGGGGTCCAATATAAATTTGGTCAAGATCTATCAATGGCGCCATAAGAAAATCATCAAACTCTTAATTTTTTGTGTTCAGTGATAATTCTTTAGTATGTTGTCTGATTTTTATGATTCTTTTTTTTTAGAAAGGGGATACCTTGGGGGTGTTCCCATATACATTTAGTCAAGATTGATCATGATGAAATGAGCACAATCAATTTGTAATGGCTTCTGTACGGTTTTGAAGTGGGTTTTGTAAAATTACTATTATTGCATTTTAAGTTCAAGTATATTTGGTCTATTCGAAAATACGTATACCCTTTCAGGTGTAATATATAAATAAAAAATATTACCAATTTTAGAGTGAACATTTTTTACCCACACTTTGGAATATAACTTAGTAGTTAAATGGTTAATGAAGAAAACTGAAACATTAAAAGTCATAAGATTCTGAAATAACTTTTGGTCTGTTAAAATTATGAGGGCATTACCTGTAACACACATTTGTCTACTATTTAAAATATTTGAAATTTACCTCTTCTATATTAATATCTTCTGCAGTTTCATCTGTGTCTTGTTTTATCTGTTTCATCCGCTTTGCTTTTGGTCCATCCACAAAAAGTATGTACCCTATTAAAATACAATATTACATTTATTTATGGTAAGTAGATTTAGAGTTTTTTTTATTTAGTTCATACAATTATTGTAAATCTGCGAAAAGTACGGAAATTGCATTGTTTGATGTACCTAACCAATATCATTGACAAAAGGTTGAAACAGTGGTGGCCCCAAATCAGAGCCTTGAAAAATACCCTAAGTTACTCCCATCAATTAACTACATAATAAAATCAAAAGGATTTGGAAAAGCTAAAATCTACTATGGCCAAATGTTCATACCATACCATATACCTATATTGGAACAAAAGTGATAAATTCAAGATCCAAGGAATTATAAAAATATTAAATTAAAGATTATCCTCTCTCATACAGTATCGACTATCAAACACCTTCCAATACACATTGCACTACTGCTTGTGAAAATTACAGAGTTAGCATTAGAGTGAGGAGAAAATGAATATTAGCACACTAGTTAGAAAGTGGCCGGGTTGTATAAACTGGCAAAGCTGATATTATTCATTTCCTGCTCACACTAATACTAGCTTTCTGTAGTTTTCACTTGCACTTGTGCAAGGCATAGTGGAAAACGTTTTCAGTGGCCGTACTGTGTATATGAACAAGTTGATATAACTTTAAATATTGTCAATGACACCAATTTAGATTTTCCAATTTTAAAACATAGAGTAATTGAACTAAAATTATTTCTACATTTTTATGTTAGGCACATGTTACCTACATGTTTACATTAAAAAAAAAAATGAGAATAATATGGGTATTTATTCTGTGAATTTTAGGGTAATTTAGACATAAACGAAGAAATAAAAAAGGACTATACCATGTATTTGCTTTTAAACTAAAGAGAAGTAGTCAAATAAATTACATTTTATATAATATCATTTCTAATTCTAACCCAAACAAAATTTTAAAAATCCCAAAAATAAATTTCAAAATCAAATTGATCTTCGATAATCGATAGTGACTTAATTAGGGGGGGAAACTAAGTTATTGAATCGATTATTTCTTTTTACCTTCATTTTGCAGATCGTGTGCAGCCAACTGGTCGGGATGCGTTCTTCGTAAATGTTCCTTTAAGTTTGTTGTGTTACCGAAAAACTTCATTTTTTTGTTACAAATCGTGCACTGTACACTACCTTCTTCAAGTAGCCTAATAAAGTGATCCCACACTACGGAAACTTTTTTACGAGGCATAACAACAAAAAATTAGTTTTTTAAATTAACTAACGATTTAATTTTCAATCGAGAGGTTATCGATGTTATTATGATGCTGTTGGCGATTGAGTGATGGTGGATTTCGTTCGTTTTCGTTATCTTTCGAGAATCGCTCGTTCCTCGATGCGTTTTGCGGTGTTGACGTTTACATGAAAATTTACCACGTGTGACAAGAACGTAAATTTATATACAATTTTTTTCGATTTTTAGTCAAAAATTGTTTATTTTTCTTATTCATTTTTAAACGAAGCGATTGTAATGGTTTTATATCTCATAATGTCTAGATTACATGTTTTGCGATACTTATCCTCAATAAAACGCACCAATAAATCACGAGATATCGAGATATGGCAACATCATGAATATCATGATCAGAAACCATTTGCAGCGATGCCAAGAATCGAAAATAGTACTTTTGCGGGGGAAATTTTAAAATAATTTGTCTACGTGTTTGCAAAAAATTTAATAAAGAAAATTTGGTTAATTAAGATAATGTAACGTAATAGCTATTTATGAAACCAGTTACAAAATGCCTTATTTTATGTATTGAGTGAATATTTGCGGGACAAACAGAGCGAGGTCCCGCAACATGAACGAAATACATAAAATGGTATTTCGTAACGTGTTACATTCAATATTTTTTCTAATTTTGACTAGATTATTGTGTTTTGGTAAAATATTACTGACATCTAGGCAACCAATATTACTACTTTCTTGTATTGTTAGTTGCATATGCATCATTTTATTGACAAATAGAAAATAATACCTATTCGCTCCGTGCGCGACCGCAGCGCCAATTCGTTTTGGTATTAATGGACTATATTTGTGTATACTGACAAATACAATTTTTAATAGAATTCGTAATTAAAAAGTATATATGTTAGTTTTAATAAAAGTATATGGATTTGTAAAACAAGTAAAACATTAATTTTTTATTATTATTATATATTTTTAACGCTTAAATTAAAGAAAATTATGTATAATCAATGAAAATCAATAATAAAATATAGGCAGGGAACAGTATTTACTGGAAAATGTATGAGAAGTTGCCTAAGTCTGAAGAATTAGCCTGTTGTCAAAATAAAAAAATACCATTTAATAATAGCATGAAGTTAAAATGTATAAAAAAAGGATCGCTATTTATATTTTTATTTCTGTTCGAAAGAAAACATAAAATGAATGATTAAAATTGGTTTCTCATCAGTAAGTCACAAAATTACATTCCATCCACATATAATAATCAAAGGCAGAAATCTTGAAATCTAGTCCTTACTGAATGAACATTTAAGAATAAAAGGACATTAAAGAACATCGTAAAATGATAATTTATTGTTTATTTAAAACCTTTCAAGTTTCTGATGTCTACTCTTTGCAGCATTACTGTTATTATTACAAGAATAAAGCTAATTTTTCTTTTTATTGTACATCTATCCATTTATTTCTTTGATTTAATTTCCACTTTGCTACTGATATTTTTTCACTGTTTTTTTTTTTGCTAGTATTTGTACAATTGTCAACACAGCAACTCCGGTTGCTTATTGTATTGTCTGTACCTACTTTTTTGAAAAAAAGTAAAATGTATACGTGTATTTGATATGCCAAAATTACAAAATATCGCCCTAAAATGCACGAATTATCCGCAGCTAGCGCTAGTATCGCTTTTGCTTCCCTTTCCATGACTTCGCACGGAGCGAATGTATTAATTAATTATTTTCAACGACTTGTAATGTATTTATATGGCCTAAAAGTTATTTAGTTTTCAAAAAAGTGGGTTATTTTGCCGTGTTTTGTGTTTTAATTATTTTGTTCTGATTTTTAATGGAAAATAAGGACCATATCAACATTATTACTAGGTTGTAAGTTTAACCAAATTATATTTCTCAACCTGCCCTTCTTATTTAACATAAACTTTCAATTTCAGTAAATGTATATTAGGTACTGATTTTAAAACTAAAAAAAGTTTATTTTTAGTTGTTTTCATCGTCGGTAACGTAAGCTTCGTTCGCGGAGCCGATCTCGAACGTATTCTGAACGTTAAGGTAAAAATTATACTGCATATTATAACTGGATTTGTATTGTATAAATGGTTATGTAGGCTTGTGTGGTTTACCTTAGCTTTCAGAATACGTTCGGGATCGGCTCCGCGAACGAAGCTATTATTAGTAAAGTAGATAATTTTGACACTTGCAATTACAAAAAAAAATTAGAAAAAATTATTTTAAGCAGTTTCAAAATGTTACATATTTTAATTGCGGCGAAACACGGCAACGTAGGAACGTGATACTGTAGACAGCCGCATTCGTTTTCCGTCAAAAGTGGCTCACTCTACCGGAAGAAAAGTTTTCTTTATAAATGAAAGACGTCAATTCTTCCATTTGTAATTCTACTTTGAGATGGTGAGTACTTGTTTTTTATGATTTCTAAATATTTTAGTAATCCTTCAAATTTTTTGAGAAAATTATTAATAATTCAATTTATATATTTGGTTACATCAAGTCTGCAATAATATTTAACTGTAATCTCTATAATTTTTACGTAATTTTAACATGATGATTTAGATAATTTTCTGTTTATGGTTTTTACCGAATACACAATGTGGATAGTATTCTAGGGCGGTCTGATACATTCAACCTAAATAATTAACTTTGAATTTAACCAAACGATATGCTAAAAATGATTTATATTTTAGTCTCACAGAAAGTTCAGTGCACCACGTCACGGATCTATGGGGTTCTACCCCAAGAAAAGGTCGCAAAGGCATCGTGAAAGGTAAAGGCTTTCCCTAAGGATGATCCCTCGAAACCTGTTCATTTAACCGCTTTTATCGGTTATAAAGCTGGTATGACCCACGTTGTAAGAGAAGCAGACAGGCCCGGTTCAAGTGAGTAATTTTCCTTTTTAATTTCTACAATTTTTAATTATATATTGAGAAATATTTTCATAAATGCCTTTTTCTTTTAGAAATAAATAAGAAAGAAATCGTAGAGGCTGTTACCATTTTGGAAACTCCTCCAATGGTTGTTGTAGGAGTAGTTGGTTATATTGAAACTCCACATGGTCTTAGGGCTTTGGCCACAGTTTGGGCTGAGCATTTATCTGAAGACTGTCGCAGACGCTTCTACAAGAACTGGTAAGTACCATAGACGATTTTTGAGTAATAAAATAGTAATTATAAAGACAAATTCTCCTGTTTTTAATCAGTCCGAGTCTAGAGTCACTAAATGAATTTATTCAATGTTCGTATTAGTGCTAAAGAAACTCGAAGAAGAATGATACCAGCTCTTATGCCCCAACCTTGTTTATTTGTATAGCATTGTTGGGTACCTTGCGAGGCGACAACTAATTTTTGTCAATCATTAATGTGAGATGTAATGTAAAGAAATGAGGTTTGACATAGATTAAGTCAAAATAAATGTTAAAGTTTGGTGCCATTTTGTAATCTATTTAAAAAATTACTCTAAACTTCTTACGATTTAATTAAAACATCCTTATCTCTGTTAAAAATTTGTAAAACCATCCTAAACTACTTGCAATTTTATATTTTAGGTCCAGAGTTTCCAGACGCTCTGTAGTTTTATTTTCCCAATTCTCCATTTTGTAGGTCTGTTTTTGCCATTTCTTTCAATTTTTTTTACTTCTTTTTGATGCATTTTCTTTCCTCTCTACTGAAATATTTAAATTATATATTTGTCTTTTATTAGTTTAATTATCTCCTTTTTTCTGACTGTTTAATCATTTTGTCTAAACTTTGCTTATAGACCCCAAAATACAAACTAATCCATATAATTTGTTCCTATACCTTTAAGGAGAATTTTGTCTTTTATAATTGGAAAAGTTTTGAAAAGTGTATATGTAACTAATTGTCTGCAAAGTTCTCCTCTGTACACAAGAGAACTCCTTGGAACTGTATACTGAGCTGACTCTATCACAGCTCTTTGGAGCTTTTGAGTTTACCAGCGAAGTGTATTGGAGGGGAAAGTCTCCTCTAAACTATGAGGCGATCCCTCCTGTTCTTGCAGAATCCAGAGAATTTTTTTACCAACTTGATGGATTCCTTCTAAAGATTATTGATGTGTGAATGCAGGTACAAGAGCAAAAAGAAGGCCTTCACTAAGGCATCTAAGAAATGGACTGATGATCTAGGTAAGAAGTCCATTGAACGCGACTTGAAGAAGATCATTAAGTACTGCAAGGTTGTCAGGGTGGTTGCTCACACTCAGGTTAGTACTTTTTGACTGGTTTAGATATTCAGGGTATGGTCTGTTATTAATCAAAATGTCGGTTACTCTGTCCAAAACTAAATGCTCTGATTGAATTTCCTGAAAAATCTGTTAAATTAGGGACGCAGTTGTCTGAAAATTGTGCCTCAAACGTCAATTCACTAACTACTATATTTTTACAGTTACTATTAAGCTGAATCCTAGTTTTAATAATGGATCATACCTCTTAATGTTCAGATATTTTTAATAGTTTGATTAACACGTTGACTGCCAAGTTGTTTTAACCAGTCTTATAGTTTTACTGAGTGTATTAACTTGCTATATAACGTTAAGTGTGATGTGTTACTGAATTAGTATTTTAATGGTTTATCAATTTTTACTAAATGGCAGCCCCATATTAATCATTTCCTTATCAATTTTTTGATAATTTCTTAAATTTGTCCAAGAGTTATTTTATTTTGTGACAAATGTACTTCAAAGTTCATGCAATTTATGATCCATATTGTGGACCTACTTTTTTCTTCTATAAATCAAAACTAGCGCTTTAAAAATTTTGTTTGCAGTTTTTCTGTGGATATAATTAAATGCATTTGGCTAAAGGACTACCTAGTTCTTTTCCACTGGTTTGTATAGGATATTTAAGTTTTTCTCGTTCCTTTTTCATTTTTAAATTTGTTACAATTTATTTTCAGTAAATAACTAGTATAATTTCACGTTTTGTTGACTTTTATATCTAATTTAACAAACATTGAGTTAATGTGGTGAAAAGTATACTAAAAACATAGAATTAATGTACTTCTCATAAAAATCTTAAAATGCTTTTAACTATACAGGGTGAGTCGGGAGGAGCGCAGCAAACTACGAGAATATTATACATGTGAAAATAATGTAAAAAAACTCATATGTTCTTATCCGATTTTCATTTGTTTTCAAGTTATAGCATATTAAATAAACAAATTTACACATAAAAATTGTCTTGTTCTAAATTTAAATACGTATCTGGCATTTTGCAACACTAATAATCACATAAATTCGAAATTAAACGTTCAGTTACTGTACACTGACAGTTCATCAACACGTCAGAATTATCAAATGCCTTTGAGCCTAGAACATATGGCATACTTTGATAATGTTAAAATTCAAAAGTGGAAAGCTAGATGAACATTTTAATTACGCCATAACTTGAAAACAAATGAAAATCGGATAAGAACATATCAGTTTTTTACATTATTTTCACGTGTATAATATCTAGAGTTTGGTGCGCTCCTCCCGACTCACCCTGTATAGAAGTCATTAAAATAAAAAACTCAATACATGTTCATTTATTCCAAAATTTATCCAATACAGTTCTGTAAATATGTGTGTCCAGGCCCGGATTACGATTTTTAATTCTGTATTTTTATTATTTTTGAGTTTTTTGAAAGTTATTTTTTTACTATCACCATCCAAAGTAGGCTTTTGTACTACGAAATTCAACCGCAAAGTTAACGTTTTTCACGAATTGACATTTAATGATTTTTAAGTTATGTATTTGTAGTTACATATTTTTTGTTTTATATTAAAAGTAGTTAAGATTGATTTTAAATATCAACCCTTTTCATTATTAACGTTGATATAGGCAATACATGCTATATATTATTCTTAAAATAATGTGATTCTAGAAAAAAATTAAGATATTACTTCAATAAATAATTTTGAATTGAGTTGACGCCGCAGTCGACGTGTTAAAAACGTTTTCTATTAATATTGACGCGATCAGTGTCGGAGCTTACCCTCCAGCTGGCGGCCTGGGACCTCATTTCTGTGGGGTTTCTGCCGCAGCGTCATAGACAATGTGCCCTTCGGGAGGCGCAGGAAGCATATTCCATATTCACTGTGTAGTCCCTGGATGATGACACTTTGATAAACCATGCTTTCTACATTCCTTCATTTAATCTATACATTATGTCACTTCAAAGAAAATACTGGCAAAATGAAGAGCCCAATTTGTGTCGATAATTTAAATTACTTAGATACATTTATTTCATTTTTAAAATTACCCATTTTTATTAGCGAACCTAAAAGTGGCGCAGTCGGTAGGATTGCCTAACGGCGTGACAAAAATCGTGTCAAATCTGTCTTAATAGTTTAAGAAAATCGGGGAGAAAAGACTTGATCCTATTGATATGACGAAAATTATCCTAGGAATTGCATTCCTCACAGTCATTGACTTCACAAACTGCAAACTGACAACCAACATTCCATAATTAAATTAGGAAATAGTCTAAATATAATTGATTACTGGTCATTTGTAAGAATTTTCGACATTTCCAAAGTTTCGGTGGGATATTGGATATTTTTAATCCGTTTTTGTCTTTCAAAAAATCGCCATTTTGAAGTATATTTGGTGAAGCTAATTACGTTTAATCGACACAAAATGAGCTCTGGTTTTAGTCGTTTTTAAAAGTTTCTGAACACCCCACATAGTATTTTTCATATTGTTGTATATTAGCAAAACAGAGAACATAAGGTTTGAAATTTCAGATGAAATTGTTGAAACAACGTCAAAAGAAAGCCCACATCATGGAAATTCAACTTAACGGTGGAACCGTAGCCGATAAGGTTGCATGGGCCAGGGAACATCTTGAAAAACCAATCCCTGTTGCCAACGTCTTTGCCCAAGATGAGATGATTGACTGCATTGGTGTCACCAAGGGTCATGGATACAAAGGTAAATTATGTTTATTTGAATTATTTTTAACAGGCTTCAAAAAAGGTTTTAAATTCAATTTTTTTTGTGGTCAGTGATAATTCTTTACAATGTTGTCAGATTTCTGATTATTTTTTTGTTAGACAGGGGTAGTCTTACACTCTTCATTTTGAAATCTTTTAAAATTACTTTTATATTATTACTATGATGAATCTACATGGATTGTGCTTCTGATATCTTTGAAGATACAACCATGCTGCCTTCCTACTGAACAAACTTCAATTCCTTCAAAATGTTTACTCCAAATTTCATCTTATTAATTTTCGTCATTTTTATTTTATAGGTGTTACTTCTCGTTGGCACACAAAGAAGTTGCCCCGCAAAACGCACAAGGGTCTTCGTAAAGTTGCTTGTATTGGAGCGTGGCATCCTTCTCGTGTATCGTTCACCGTAGCCCGTGCTGGTCAGAAAGGTTACCATCACAGAACTGAGATGAACAAGAAGATTTACAGAATCGGAGCCGGAATCCACACCAAAGATGGAAAGGTAAGCACTTTTTTCACAATTACCCTCATTTACGAGAATACCGGCACAACTTAGAGAAGTGTCATTGTTTCTGTATAAAGAATAGAATGTACATTCAATTAAAAACCTTTTTACAAAAAAGACTTCCAAAATCAGATTTTTTTTTCAGGAAACAAACTTCTTTCAGAGTATGAATATCTGTTTGTGTTACTTTTGTAGCAAATCACAATTTAGAATGGTAAATACACCAATTGGCTACTAATTATGACAGTTAACTCAATTCTGTCATTTTTGGACACGTTTTTTGAAAAAAGTCCTTATTGGTGCAATAATTTCTGAATTGTTTTTGAATTGTGCCTGTATTCTCGCAAATGAGTTTGTTTTACTTGATATATTAAATTTTTAATGATGATAAACTTCCAGAGCCAAAAGGATTATGAATACTCCGTGATTTTGAATGATAGGACTGATAAAAATATTTATATTTTTAAATTTTTCTTTGCAATTATGTACTTTAGAATAAAACTATTTCTTTTCTTTTTTAGGTCGTCAAGAACAATGCTTCCACTGCTTATGATCTTAGTGAGAAAACCATTACTCCAATGGGAGGTTTCCCTCACTATGGTGAAGTGAACAATGACTTCGTCATGATCAAGGGATGTTGTATAGGACCCAAGAAGCGTGTCATCACCCTCAGAAAGGTAATTGTTATTTTAAATCTTTATTATTTTCAAGATAGACCAAATATAAATATAGAAGGAACTTGAGCATCAACAGTACATTGTATCATAGTTTTTCTCACAAACGAAACAATATATCTTTATGTCCTAGTATTCTGTTATTTTTTCCATATCAAGTTGCTCTAAAAAAGGAACTAAATACCATTTTACTATGGTTTCCAGAATAAAACATTCTGTAAAACGAACCAAGAACATTAAGGAACATGAATCTATTTAAAACATTAAGTTTTTCTTTGGTCTATCTTTGAAATAAATCCACCCAGAAGTAAAATGTATTTTTCAAATGATGATAAATGCGTAGGGACATATGAAATCTCTGATTACTTACGCGATGGGAATCTCTCTGATGCAACCAAATCTTAATATACCTAAATTTTTGAATAAAAACAATTACTAATACTTTTTTTTTATTTTTTCAGTCCTTGTTGGTCCACACCAAACGTGTCGCTTTGGAGAAGATCAATTTGAAATTCATTGATACCTCGTCTAAATTTGGACACGGTAGATTCCAGACCGCCGCCGATAAGGCCGCCTTCATGGGTCCGCTCAAGAAGGATAGAGTTAAGGAAGAAGATAAGACCGCCGCACCCGCTGCGGCAGCAGTTTCCAGTTAGATTTGTATTTTTTAAGATTTTATTGAGTTGACAATAAACTGGAATTAAAAAAATATAGCAATACAAAATTTTTCGTTTTTGACTTTCTGTAATTTGAACATGAATCGCCGCATTTTGAGTTGGAGGCGGCTGTGACGTTCATTGATTTCAGTAGGTATTGCTCCATAATAAAACAAATAAAAAAAAAATAATCTGCTCCAGTCACAAAAAGTATCGCATAATCTAATAATGTTAGGTACCTACTACAAAAGATGTATTAAACTATTAAAACTATACCAACTACTTAGGTACCAATTTTTTTGTCATTATTTTATGTTGATATAAGTATACAAATTAGTTTAGTTAAATCACTTTTTTTCTACGCACATGTCAGTAAACGTTAAAAATCGCACTATCAACTGCACATAATGAGATGTCATATCATACACGTGCGTTTTGATAAGAAAACATTTATTCATAATGCTGCACAAACTGGAATCGGAGACGAGCAACCTTTAAAACAGATTCTGACCTGGTGCTGAATTGCAGAATGCGCTCTTCTAAATTTTTTTTAATTTTAGTTTTTGAATGGAATGAACTAGAAAAATATAAAAACTATCGATGATTACTTAAAACACTCGATAATTTTCGATAGTATCAAAGTATCCGATCACTAGTGTTGAAATGGTATGATAGCTTTTTTAGGGGTAAATACACGTCAAAATTTACCTGTATTTCGGAAATCGCCTAAAATTCGTGCGATTTCGCCGAAATCTACACTAATTTTATGCGATTTCAGTTATTTCTTCCTTAGTTTTATAGGATTTTCGTGAAACCATTGAATAAAATTTCCTATTAAGTCTTCGAAAGTTGAAAATATTCACACATTTTTTTTTTGAACTTTTCTTGTGTTTTAAGATGGATTTATAAACTGCGTTCAGTTCACAAACAGTTCCGAGTTCAACATAAAGCAAAATGACACGGTAAGTATGTCTGGATAAGAAATTATAACGGATTTATAATTATTTTATAACCAACACCATCTACAAATATAATTAAAACAAAATATAATTTATTTTGTGGAATTTGTCGTTGTCTTGTCAACTCCAACTGAACGTAGTTTATAAATCCACATTTAATCCTCAAGGTCATGCGCATGGAGAAAGTCGTACCATTGTATTTGTTGTACGTTTATAGTTCTGAACAATAAATTGATTTCGGTAATTTAGAAAGAATTTGAAGATTTCGAGTGAAAACTTACCAGCATTTCGAAAGTGGTTCCTCCCTCTGCATTTTGGTACCATGATTGAATCAGGATAACGGAAGACCGTAATTTTTCTGCTAATTTTAAAATACCGTCTATTACCTCGATAACAAAATTTATGAATCAACAAAATTTCAAGAGAGAGACAGAATTAAAAACTGTACTAAATAAATAAAACGAAACAATAGTAACAATTAAAACTTAAGGACCATTTACCTGTTTATAGTAGGAGCAGAAAGTTATAAAGGCTTTTGCTTCATGGGCTTTTTGGCAGGTAGAGAGGAGGTGAACGTCAAACCGCGTCGGACGGCTTCGAGAATTTCGTAGTAATGTTTACCTGCCAGCAGTGTTGGCGGCGCTCTCTTTTTGAAGCCAGATCTCTCAAAACGCACACAAAACAGCGAAAAACGCACGCAAAACAACGAACAACGCACATTATAACGTACAACGCTAAAAAAACAACGCACGCAAAACAGCACACAATACGACACACGCAAAGCAACGCATGTAAAAACAACGCACGTAAAACCGCACACAGAACAACACACACCATACAAAAAACAACGCACGCAAAATAACACCCAGAAAACGACGCACAACGTACAACGCATACAAAACGACGCACAACATAAATAAAACAACGCACACAAAACAAGGCATGCAGAAAAAGAATCTTTATCGACTCGCGCGGAAAAAACTTTTTTTAATTTCAATATTTTTTCATGAATCCATTTTTGCTCGATATTAATGTAAAACGCACGACGTACCTAAAACAACGCACATAAAATAACGCACGCAAAACAACGCACATAAAACAACGAACAACGTTCATAAAACAACGCACAACGTACATAAAACCACGTACAATGCACAACACATGCAAAACCAGGAGCTTTATCGACTCGCGTAGAAAAAAACAATTTTTTTTTAAATTTCAAAAATCCAGTTTTGCTCGATTTTAACGCAGGAACTTAAATATCTCATCGTTCTTCTGCTATCGTGATACCAAAATTTTGTCAACGAAATTGCAACTTTTAGTAGTTTGAAACGGAAACCGAGTAAGTATGGAAAAATGTTATTTCTGCTATTATCTTCATGAAATTCGGCACTACGTTACAGTAAACGATTTAAAATATCTTGCTGGTGTCTGCGTCTCTCTATGTTGGATACTTTTTAAGAAATGAGCCACAACTTTTTAATTAGTCTTGTTAGAGGGGAACAGAGTATCTTTTTGGGATCCTGACGTTCTATTCTATACATACGTAAATTTGTTTAAACTTTTATTTTCCCAAAAAAAAAAAAGGAAAGGGTATATAGCCTTCCAAATTTTTTGAGAAAAAATTTTTTTGTCTCCGATTTCAATGAAAATTTGGCTACATATCAAAGTGAACAATGCAAATTAAGGAGTGGATTCAGTTGCTTCTTATTGACAAGGGTTTTATTTTTTTTTAATATTCCTCAGTTATTAATAATCGAATCATTCTCTAAACTTGCTCAACACGTAGAGCCGAACAGATATAATAGAGTGCTCTTTGTAGTGCGTCTCTATCGTAAGCCTTTTAGGAGATATTCAAGTTTATATATCCGTCGATTTTGCGTTACCCTGAATGGCGATGACAATTTGATAAAGAAACTAAATTTTGCGTTACCCTGAATTTTATAGTAATTTGACTGAGGAACTTAAATATCTCATCGTTCTTCTGCTATCCTGATACCAAAATTTTGTCAACGAAATTGCAACTTTTAGTAGTTTGAAACGGAAACCGAGTAAGTATGGAAAAATGTTATTTCTGCTATTATCTTCATGAAATTCGGCACTACGTTACAGTAAACGATTTAAAATGTCTTGCTGGTGTCTGCGTCTCTCTATGTTGGATACTTTTTAAGAAATGAGCCACAACTTTTTAATTAGTCTTGTTAGAGGGGAACAGGGTATCTTTTTGAGATCCTGACGTTCCATTCTATACATACGTAAATTTTTTTAAACTTTTATTTTCCCAAAAAAAAGGAAAGGGTATAGCCTTCCAAATTTTTTGAGAAAAAATTTTTTTGTCTCCGATTTCAATGAAAATTTGGCTACATATCAAAGAGAACAATGCAAATTAAGGAGTGGATTCAGTTGCTTCTTATTGACAAGGGTTTTATTTTTTTTTTAATTTTCCTCAGTTATTAATAATCGAATCATTCTCTAAACTTGCTCAAAACGTAGAGCCGAACAGATATAATAGAGTGCTCTTTGTAGTGCGTCTCTATCCTAAGCCTTTTAGGAGATATTCAATTTTATATATCCGTCGATTTTGCGTTACCCTGAATGGCGATGACAATTTGATAAAGAAACTAAATTTTGCGTTACCCTGAATTTTATAGTAATTTGATTGAGGAACTTAAATATCTCATCGTTCTTCTGCTATCCTGATACCAAAATTTTGTCAACGAAATTGCAACTTTTAGTAGTTTGAAACGGAAACCGAGTAAGTATGGAAAAATGTTATTTCTGCTATTATCTTCATGAAATTCGGCACTACGTTACAGTAAACGATTTAAAATGTCTTGCTGGTGTCTGCGTCTCTCTATGTTGGATACTTTTTAAGAAATGAGCCCCAACTTTTTAATTAGTCTTGTTAGAGGGGAACAGGGTATCTTTTTGAGATCCTGACGTTCCATTCTATATATAAGTAAATTTTTTTAAACTTTTATTTTCCCAAAAAAAAGGAAAGGGTATAGCCTTCCAAATTTTTTGAGAAAAAATTTTTTTGTCTCCGATTTCAATGAAAATTTGGCTACATATCAAAGAGAACAATGCAAATTAAGGAGTGGATTCAGTTGCTTCTTATTGACAAGGGTTTTATTTTTTTTTTAATTTTCCTCAGTTATTAATAATCGAATCATTCTCTAAACTTGCTCAAAACGTAGAGCCGAACAGATATAATAGAGTGCTCTTTGTAGTGCGTCTCTATCCTAAGCCTTTTAGGAGATATTCAATTTTATATATCCGTCGATTTTGCGTTACCCTGAATGGCGATGACAATTTGATAAAGAAACTAAATTTTGCGTTACCCTGAATTTTATAGTAATTTGATTGAGGAACTTAAATATCTCATCGTTCTTCTGCTATCCTGATACCAAAATTTTGTCAACGAAATTGCAACTTTTAGTAGTTTGAAACGGAAACCGAGTAAGTATGGAAAAATGTTATTTCTGCTATTATCTTCATGAAATTCGGCACTACGTTACAGTAAACGATTTAAAATGTCTTGCTGGTGTCTGCGTCTCTCTATGTTGGATACTTTTTAAGAAATGAGCCACAACTTTTTAATTAGTCTTGTTAGAGGGGAACAGGGTATCTTTTTGAGATCCTGACGTTCCATTCTATACATACGTAAATTTTTTTAAACTTTTATTTTCCCAAAAAAAAGGAAAGGGTATAGCCTTCCAAATTTTTTGAGAAAAAATTTTTTTGTCTCCGATTTCAATGAAAATTTGGCTACATATCAAAGAGAACAATGCAAATTAAGGAGTGGATTCAGTTGCTTCTTATTGACAAGGGTTTTATTTTTTTTTTAATTTTCCTCAGTTATTAATAATCGAATCATTCTCTAAACTTGCTCAAAACGTAGAGCCGAACAGATATAATAGAGTGCTCTTTGTAGTGCGTCTCTATCCTAAGCCTTTTAGGAGATATTCAATTTTATATATCCGTCGATTTTGCGTTACCCTGAATGGCGATGACAATTTGATAAAGAAACTAAATTTTGCGTTACCCTGAATTTTATAGTAATTTGATTGAGGAACTTAAATATCTCATCGTTCTTCTGCTATCCTGATACCAAAATTTTGTCAACGAAATTGCAACTTTTAGTAGTTTGAAACGGAAACCGAGTAAGTATGGAAAAATGTTATTTCTGCTATTATCTTCATGAAATTCGGCACTACGTTACAGTAAACGATTTAAAATGTCTTGCTGGTGTCTGCGTCTCTCTATGTTGGATACTTTTTAAGAAATGAGCCACAACTTTTTAATTAGTCTTGTTAGAGGGGAACAGGGTATCTTTTTGAGATCCTGACGTTCCATTCTATACATACGTAAATTTTTTTAAACTTTTATTTTCCCAAAAAAAAGGAAAGGGTATAGCCTTCCAAATTTTTTGAGAAAAAATTTTTTTGTCTCCGATTTCAATGAAAATTTGGCTACATATCAAAGAGAACAATGCAAATTAAGGAGTGGATTCAGTTGCTTCTTATTGACAAGGGTTTTATTTTTTTTTTAATTTTCCTCAGTTATTAATAATCGAATCATTCTCTAAACTTGCTCAAAACGTAGAGCCGAACAGATATAATAGAGTGCTCTTTGTAGTGCGTCTCTATCCTAAGCCTTTTAGGAGATATTCAATTTTATATATCCGTCGATTTTGCGTTACCCTGAATGGCGATGACAATTTGATAAAGAAACTAAATTTTGCGTTACCCTGAATTTTATAGTAATTTGATTGAGGAACTTAAATATCTCATCGTTCTTCTGCTATCCTGATACCAAAATTTTGTCAACGAAATTGCAACTTTTAGTAGTTTGAAACGGAAACCGAGTAAGTATGGAAAAATGTTATTTCTGCTATTATCTTCATGAAATTCGGCACTACGTTACAGTAAACGATTTAAAATGTCTTGCTGGTGTCTGCGTCTCTCTATGTTGGATACTTTTTAAGAAATGAGCCCCAACTTTTTAATTAGTCTTGTTAGAGGGGAACAGGGTATCTTTTTGAGATCCTGACGTTCCATTCTATATATAAGTAAATTTTTTTAAACTTTTATTTTCCCAAAAAAAAGGAAAGGGTATAGCCTTCCAAATTTTTTGAGAAAAAATTTTTTTGTCTCCGATTTCAATGAAAATTTGGCTACATATCAAAGAGAACAATGCAAATTAAGGAGTGGATTCAGTTGCTTCTTATTGACAAGGGTTTTATTTTTTTTTTAATTTTCCTCAGTTATTAATAATCGAATCATTCTCTAAACTTGCTCAAAACGTAGAGCCGAACAGATATAATAGAGTGCTCTTTGTAGTGCGTCTCTATCCTAAGCCTTTTAGGAGATATTCAATTTTATATATCCGTCGATTTTGCGTTACCCTGAATGGCGATGACAATTTGATAAAGAAACTAAATTTTGCGTTACCCTGAATTTTATAGTAATTTGATTGAGGAACTTAAATATCTCATCGTTCTTCTGCTATCCTGATACCAAAATTTTGTCAACGAAATTGCAACTTTTAGTAGTTTGAAACGGAAACCGAGTAAGTATGGAAAAATGTTATTTCTGCTATTATCTTCATGAAATTCGGCACTACGTTACAGTAAACGATTTAAAATGTCTTGCTGGTGTCTGCGTCTCTCTATGTTGGATACTTTTTAAGAAATGAGCCACAACTTTTTAATTAGTCTTGTTAGAGGGGAACAGGGTATCTTTTTGAGATCCTGACGTTCCATTCTATACATACGTAAATTTTTTTAAACTTTTATTTTCCCAAAAAAAAGGAAAGGGTATAGCCTTCCAAATTTTTTGAGAAAAAATTTTTTTGTCTCCGATTTCAATGAAAATTTGGCTACATATCAAAGAGAACAATGCAAATTAAGGAGTGGATTCAGTTGCTTCTTATTGACAAGGGTTTTATTTTTTTTTTAATTTTCCTCAGTTATTAATAATCGAATCATTCTCTAAACTTGCTCAAAACGTAGAGCCGAACAGATATAATAGAGTGCTCTTTGTAGTGCGTCTCTATCCTAAGCCTTTTAGGAGATATTCAATTTTATATATCCGTCGATTTTGCGTTACCCTGAATGGCGATGACAATTTGATAAAGAAACTAAATTTTGCGTTACCCTGAATTTTATAGTAATTTGATTGAGGAACTTAAATATCTCATCGTTCTTCTGCTATCCTGATACCAAAATTTTGTCAACGAAATTGCAACTTTTAGTAGTTTGAAACGGAAACCGAGTAAGTATGGAAAAATGTTATTTCTGCTATTATCTTCATGAAATTCGGCACTACGTTACAGTAAACGATTTAAAATGTCTTGCTGGTGTCTGCGTCTCTCTATGTTGGATACTTTTTAAGAAATGAGCCCCAACTTTTTAATTAGTCTTGTTAGAGGGGAACAGGGTATCTTTTTGAGATCCTGACGTTCCATTCTATATATAAGTAAATTTTTTTAAACTTTTATTTTCCCAAAAAAAAGGAAAGGGTATAGCCTTCCAAATTTTTTGAGAAAAAATTTTTTTGTCTCCGATTTCAATGAAAATTTGGCTACATATCAAAGAGAACAATGCAAATTAAGGAGTGGATTCAGTTGCTTCTTATTGACAAGGGTTTTATTTTTTTTTTAATTTTCCTCAGTTATTAATAATCGAATCATTCTCTAAACTTGCTCAAAACGTAGAGCCGAACAGATATAATAGAGTGCTCTTTGTAGTGCGTCTCTATCCTAAGCCTTTTAGGAGATATTCAATTTTATATATCCGTCGATTTTGCGTTACCCTGAATGGCGATGACAATTTGATAAAGAAACTAAATTTTGCGTTACCCTGAATTTTATAGTAATTTGATTGAGGAACTTAAATATCTCATCGTTCTTCTGCTATCCTGATACCAAAATTTTGTCAACGAAATTGCAACTTTTAGTAGTTTGAAACGGAAACCGAGTAAGTATGGAAAAATGTTATTTCTGCTATTATCTTCATGAAATTCGGCACTACGTTACAGTAAACGATTTAAAATGTCTTGCTGGTGTCTGCGTCTCTCTATGTTGGATACTTTTTAAGAAATGAGCCACAACTTTTTAATTAGTCTTGTTAGAGGGGAACAGGGTATCTTTTTGAGATCCTGACGTTCCATTCTATACATACGTAAATTTTTTTAAACTTTTATTTTCCCAAAAAAAAGGAAAGGGTTATACCGTATTATAGTTTTAGCTTGAGTTGAAACAAACTTTACATATGATGAATATATTCCTCTGATTTGACTTTTCCTTTTTTGCCCTTCTTTATCCAAAATCGTTCCAGTTGAGACTTTTGAAGGAAAAACAGGAAAATACAAGTAAGCACATCGAAAGAAAATATACCATTTTTTTGAACATTTTACTACAATAACGAGTTTCATGGAAGTTTTCCTTTTCATTGTGATCCCACCATACCTTGGTAAGTCAAAGAATCTCATCGATACGATAAACAAGTAAACGCCAAAAATAAATAATACAGTCCACATCATTTTCGTTCGGGAATGAATCATCTTATTTTACTAAATTTATCACTTTTGCTGTGCTCTAATTTCATTGTTAAAACAAAAATGAAATTTTTTTTTTCTTTTATAACATCTTTAAATTTTAGTATATATTCTTCAATTATATTAAGTTTAGAATAGTTATTAATTTAACTTCATCTAGATATTATAAGATCGGAAAGAAAACAAAAATATGATATTAATATTTAATAAATAATACTAAATAAATGAATTTTCATGGTAAATTAATAAGATTACAAATATTCTTAATATCACTGTTTTACACCGAATACAACACTAACAACCACTACACGGAACAAAAAATCGAAGGTAAATTGTTCAATATGTCCCAACATGAATGTGAACACCAAAAGGAAATTAGGCATCCCAAGTCGCGAAAATATCACTAAAAACTGTTAAATTTTGCATGCGGTAATAACCTATTACCGCACGATGTTGTAAACAATTAAAATAGTGGTTTTAACCTTGTTTGGTGTTCACATTACGACATACATAAAATCGCTATACGAATGTCAAATCAATAATCACTCCACAAAACAAAATTCAAAGAGACCAGCTGCCAATGTCATTACAAACTTAAAATAAAAAAAAATCACCTTATTTAACTATTTCTCACTATTTTAAATCGTCACAAATAAAATATTTATACTTATATCTAAGATTCTCTTATTGCACTATATTAAAAAAAAAAACTTTTAAACTTTCGATTTTTATCAGCAACTGGTCGAGATTTTGATACCAAACATTTACAACCTATTTACAATAATTACAATAAAAATATTGTAAATTATTTTACAAAGTTACACAGCATGGTAAAAAATTCGTGGACAATAACACAAGAAAATGTTTATAATAGGATCTCTGTCCAGTCACCAACGATATGTTTTAATTTTTATTTATGAACTGTTTTCATTTGAAACTCATCTGTAATAACAGAATTATTGTTATCAGCAAACGTGTTTCCATTATCTAATAAAGACATCTATCATGTAAATTTTCAGAAATATATTGCAAAACAACAATTGGCCTACCACAAGGATCGGTAATAGATCCACTTATTGTATGCTTGTATGCACATTCAGAAATGACAAACACTTCTTTCTTAGATTGAAATTGAAGCTCATGCAGCAAGTGGTTTGATTTCAAATGAAAACGAGTTATGTCATCTGTCAGTTGTCATGTCATAAGAATTATCTTTTGATTATGTAATAATCTTTATAAAACTAGCTAGTCAAATCTGAAACAAGAGGTTAACTGTCATTATAATTAATAAAATGTCTTCTTGTATTATTGTTATTTTTCACCAATCGATAATTATAATATAATTTCAATAACTTATATTACTTTGTTGCCGATAGGATTCAATTAAAGAATTATTTTAAAAATTATACGTCATAATATGTGTCCTCTGTACATGTTTGTTCCATAAACCAGCATTCCAATTAACTAGTTATTTGCGTCATATTTTTTTTACTAAAATCTATATAATATGTATACGTTATCTTAAATATTAGAGAAAAATAAGTCTATATTGCATTAAATTTGACAATACTTTTCCATTAAAATTAAAATAAAAAAAAACATTCAAGTTCTTGTAAAATAAATAATTGCCACAGGTAAATCTGTCAAACTTAATGAAATAGACTTTTTAAAAGAAATTTAATAAAATGTTTAACTAGTTTGATTATAATAAGCAGAAATAAGAATGTTAATGTATATTCATAAAATTTTTCATTTTTGTAATATTAACCTAGATCGGTTGCGTAAATGTAGCCTTGTTGTTGAAGCACGAATAGACGTTTTTCAACGGCTTCTCTATCTGAAATGGAAAATTTTAATGATCAATATTCGCTTGATTCTCGACCAATAAGTGTTAACAGAATCTGTCCCTTGTTGGGCGCCAAATTGTAACATTTTACTTACATTTCGTGAGGAGCATTTTGTCTTTCTGGTTTTGCACCTGCTGTGAAAGGCTGTGTAACAGAATTTGCGCGGTTTGATACCTCTGGAAACATTCTTCGGGGTTCCCAAACAGTTCGTCCAGAGCTGCAGACTGACACTACAAAAAAGTTAATAACAATTTAGGAAATCAGTTGGAAGATAAGTTAGCGAACAACTCACCATTTGTATGGCATGATTGTAAATAATTTTATCTGCTGTTATCGACAAACTTCCAACTTTGTTCAATAATCCGCTGCTATTGAGCTGTTTGCATTCCTGCAGGGTTGTTCTAAATTTAGTATTCATCGAAGATACAACTAAAAAGTAAAAATAAGGAATAAGTAATGAAGTATATTTTTAAAACTATTTAAGTTACCAGTTTTGACGGTACTGCTGGGTCTCAACTGCCCCGATTTTAGCTGCTTTGTGGCCAATGCCAGTCCCGAACTGAGCAATTGTAACGTCCTAACGAGTAAAACTAGTTGTTCGGCTCTTCGCGTCATTTCGCTAGGCGGCTGCTTCTGACAGGGATCCACGAGCGCCGACGATAATGGAGCAGCTCTTTGAGCGGCTAGCTCCAAAATGCAGTTACTCAGTGCCAAAACGAAGTTAATTTTGGCCAGAGTTTCATTGTGTTCTCTCTAAATTGAAAAATAGAAATGTGTTAAAAATACAAAGCATTTTAACTGTAAAAATAAATAAACTAAGTCGCTACATTTTAATATTGTAAGAATTTAAGATACATTTTGTACGCTGTTGCTATGAGAAAAAGGCATTCAATTACAAACCAAAATAAAAGCAGCATTAGTATAATTTCTAAAAATGGATTCCTTGAGAAATATATTCAGTTTCCATCCCACTCTTTTACCTAACCTTTCATAAAATCACATTGTCACGCACACAAAATTATAGTAATTAAGTAAATTTACAATTGTATAGTATTTCTAGACTCAATCCAACACAGGCGTTTGTACCGAGGTGCATAATAATTCGTGTTATATAAGCGCTGAGAATGCTACGAATTCTATACCCTTCCATTGCAAATAAACGCGAAGCGTCCCACTTAAGTTTTAAACATCAACACACCTACAGCTGATGTAAAGTCCACAAGTGAGCGGTCACGCGATTTCTTTGAAATTGATGGCGCGCCTGGCTACACTTTAGTTGTTCTATCTCTATTCAGTAGCGTGTACGGTTTGAAAAAATTTCCTTAGCGGTTTCTCAAAGCGTTTGTTAAACTTGTTTTTAATTTTCGGTGTTTCTGAAAAAGTTTGATTTGTAGTGTACGAGATGGCTTTTTGGAGACCTTTTGAGGTAAATGTAGATGCCAATGAATTACAGGTTAATGATGATATTCACATTAATAATGAAATTCCAATAAATAATGAGATTCAGAATGATGAAGAGTAGAAGGGAAATGAGAGAGCACACGGTGCAAACTCCCTGAGAGAGCAAAAGGTGCCAAACCCCCTGAGAGAGCAAAAAGTGCAAACCCCATGACAGAGCAAACGGAGGAAACCATCTGGCGAACACCTGCACCCGGTCAAAAAAAATATTGTTATAATACATCCATTATACCCCGCATATAATATTTACACACATGCTGACCATCTGGCATGTAATTTAATATCTCTGGTAATGATAACGACTTCATTTTCTCACGAAATATTTTTAACACATGTTGACCATCTGGCATGTAATTTAATACCCGCATATAATATTTGCACACATAATATCAGATGGTCAACATGTGTGCAAATATATGCGGGGTATTAAATTACTTACCAGATGGTCAACATGTGTTAAAAATATTCCGTGAGAAAATGAAGTCGTTATCATTCCCAAAGATATTAAATTACATGCCAGATGGTCAACATGTGTATAAATATTATATGCGGGGTATGATGGATGTATTATAACAATATTTTTTTGACCGGATGCAGGTGTTCGCCAGATGGTTTCCTCAGTTTGCTTTGTCATGGGGTTTGCACCTTTTGCTCTCTCAGAGGGTTTGCACCTTTTGCTCTCTCAGGGGGGTTGTACCGTTTGCTCTTTCAGGGGTTTGTACCGTTTGTTCTCTCATTTCCCCTCTTCTATGAAGTACAAATTAATGATGTAATACTTATTAATACTGTAATTCACAATAATGACAATCAAAGTGAAACATAATCTTGGGATTTCAAAAATCAGGACTTAGGTACATATTCAAGTTTAACAATTCATTTTAAATGTTTGCTTGTCTTAAATCAAAAATTACAAATATTTCACTCTTAAAAACTAAATATGTACAAACTATATTGGAATCTATCTTACTTTTTATCAGATCTTTTATACATCACACCAGACGAAGGGGTAAACTACATAATTGGCCAGAAAACGAATCGAATGGTATAGGCGTGGTGATAAAGTCGACTATTAATAAATCAGTCAGAGCACACAGTCGTTTCACTTTAAAAAAGTTAATTCCATCAGCGAATCGCTCAGATTACAAAGCTGGCGGAGCCAATAGAAGATGGTTTTGAAAATGCTTTTTGAAATTTTTTATAACAAGTTGTAACAATAAAACCAAACGTAACTAGTATTAAACTAACATTATTTAACCTGCATCAAGATAGTTCACTACATCAGACTGCAGACTACAACCAAGCAGACAGTACAAGGTGATTCCTACCTCAGATAAAACAATCAAAAAGGAGAAAACCAGAGAACCTAATCTTTTTTTCAAGCAAGTATAAACAAACAAATAAAAATAGCTCTTAGGTTTTTACCTCCAAAAGCGTTTCTTCCGGTAATTCCGGCGCCAAAAAGGTGATTGGATGCAGCTCGTTGCTCGTCGAAGTCTCGTTGAAGAACGGTTGATAATTGCCCATTTCGGATATTTCCGGTAACGTGACAGCTCTGGTGCAGAACGGTATCACCGGTGATCTACCGAGATTGTTGTTGTCGCTGAGATTCGGACTGCTCAACATCGGAAGTCTAGCCAAAGGACCGCTCAAGATTGGAGGTGAAGTACCTAGAGGGTAGACGTTAAGAATAATTTTGAGCATATACATACACGAAATGTTTAGACATGTACACGTTTTATTAAATTTGGAAACGTACCTGATCGCCTTAAAGGAGAATTCATGGGCATGTTTTTAGAAGCAGATATGGGCGATACGGTCCATATATTTGGTGGAGGTGGTGTCTCGCAAAGACTACCTGAAGTAGACCGCCTTCTACCACCTGGAGGAGTACCAATCACGAATTGTACCTGAAGGAAATGAAACAATTATAGAAAAATAAAAACGTTTAAAAGTAATGTTAAAAAAAAAATAAAGTTATTACAATTGAAGTGTACATGGAAAGGAGAGTAGAAGAACAAAGTTCCATGACCGAGCTCTCTCATTGCTATTTTATGATATAGAACTCTCAATACATAGCCTAGACTTCATGGCCCAAAAGTCTCAATACAGTACCTTGATTGAGAACTCTAATTGCTATTACATAGCCTAGACTACATGACCCAGAATTCTCATTGCCACCCCTAACTGATCCAGTTCTCTCTTTGTTCTTCTATTAAAGAGGAAAGTCAAACAAGTTCGTTTAAAAAACAAAAATTCCAAGATTGGGACATTTGTCATTCTCTTATTTTATGACATACATAAATTTAACAACTTTTTGACTCTTCCTTATTGCCTTGTACCCTTCAAATTATAATGGTGTAGATATTTTGAAATTGCACTCACTGATGGAGGTGACATAGAGCTAATGTCAATGTCGGATGTTTGTCTTTCTGGCCTTTTCTTCATCGTTATTGGCTGGGATCTAGGTACACTACCACCACCATTAATCTGAAGAGAAAAAACTGTTTTCTAACACTCATCCTTTATTGTAATTCAGGGATAAATCATATTTATTCTTGCAGGACTGATAAAGTATGAGTGTCTTTCTTATCCTCATACAAAAAGCACAGTTTTGTGATACAGTATTTAAAATGTACCATTTTCTATCTATATTTGTACCAAATAGAGCTTTTATGTTTTGTAATAATAAACGTTGGATATTTGTGTATTTTTCAACCCTTTAACGAGTGCTGGAACTTTTTTCTTTAACTTTTTAAAGAGTGCGCTGGTACATATATGTACCATATGCAATTATGGACAATTTACTCGCTACATTCGATCCTAATATCCACTTTGATCAAGGTTGCGTTAACTGTTAAAATGTAGTACATATTTTTGTCAACTAGAACTTTTGTGCTGTATTTTTAATAAAGTGAACAAAAGTTAAAAAGTCAAAATAAATGTTGAATATTTGCGTTTTTTAAACCTTTTAACGAATACTGGTACATACATGTACCATATGCAATTATGGATAATCTACCTGTTACATTTGACTGAAATTTCAATCCTAATATACTTTGATCAAAGTTGCGCTCTAAAATAAGCAATAGTTAGACATGTTGAAATGTGGTACGCATTTGTACCAGATAGAACTTTTGTGCTGTATTTTTTACTAAAGTGAATAAAAGTAACACAGTTAAAATAAACGGTAGATATTTGCGTTTCTTAACCCATTGACGAGTGCTGGTACATATATGTACCATAAACGAATATGGATAATCTATCCATTGCATCTGGTTGAAACTTCGATCTTGATATCAATTTCGCTCTGAGATAAGCAATAATTAAAATGTGGTACGTATTTGTACCAGATAAAGAACTTGTGCTGCAATTTTAATAAAGGGAACATTTTTTAAACCCTTAAAGGAGTGCTGATACTTTTATGTACCATAATTAATTATGGATAATCTACCTATCAGTTGTATTTGACAGAAACTTAGATCACAATATCCATTTTAATCAAGATTGCGCCCCGAGATAAGCAATAATTACAACTGTCAAAATGGGGTACGTATTTGTACCAGATAGAGCTTTTATGTTTTGTCAAAATAAACGTTGGATATTTGCGTCTTTTTCAACCCTTTAACGAGTGCTGGTACTTATATGTACCATATGCAATTATGGATAATCTACTCGTTACATTTGACTGAATCTAATATCAATTTTGATTAAGGTTGCACTAACTGTCAAAATGTGTCAGATAGAACTTTTGTGCTATATTTTTAATAAAGTGCATTTTGATTAAGGTTGCTCTCAGAGCTAAGCGATATTTACAACTAACTGTTAAAATGTGGTACGTATTTGTACCAGATAGAACTTTTGTGCTGTGTTTTGAATAAAGTGAGAAGTAAAAACAGTTAAAAAGAACGTTTCATGTTGCCTCTTTCTTTAACTTTTTAATGAGTGCTGGTACATATATGTACCATATGTGTTTATGGATAATCTACCCGTTGTATTTGACAGAAACTTCGACCCTAATATAAATTTTGATCAAGGTTTCGTTCTAAATAGTTACCAACTAACTGTTCAAATGTGGTACATATTTGTACCAGATACAGCTTTTGTTTTTAATAAAGTGAAAAGAAATAAAATAATCAAAATGAACGTTTCATATTGCGTTTTTTCTTTAACTTTTTAACGAGTGCGCTGGTACATATATGTACCATTTGTGATTATGGATAATCTACCCGTTGTATTTAACAGAAACTTAGCTCCTAATATCCATTTTGTTCAAGGTTTACGTTCTAAGATAAGCAATAGTTACAACTGTTAAAATGTGGTACGTATTTGTACCAGATAGAGCTTTGGTGTTATATTTTTAAAAAAGTGAATAGGAGTAAACAAAAACATAGGTCAGCGTCTCATTGTAAATAGTTACCTTTGATGATACACTAGAAAAAACAGAACGAAACTAAGTTAGTTATCAAATATGGATTAAATATTTACGTTTTGTTTGTCCTTTTTTCATTAACGTTCTTACAAAACATACATTTCTCAAATAAATGATTATAATTTGAGCGAATCTTTTAGCCTTCTGAGTGGTACATTTGCGTACCACAAAACAATGTTGGTGGTACAAATATGTACCACTTACGATTTTTAAATTATGATACTTATTATAGCATATTAAAGTTAAAACAATAGTATTTTGACCAATAAGTAATGATTTTTATTTGATTTGTTCTTTTCATATTTTCTTAATAATGTTTTTGTGATAAATATGTTTCTAAAATAAATGGTTAAAATTTGTGCGAATTTGTGCCTTTTACTGAGTGGTACAAATGCGTACCACGAAAAATTGTTGATGGTACAAATTTGTACCAGATATTATTTTTAAATACTGATATTCGTTATAGCATATTAAGCCAAAAATTATAGTATTTTGACCAATAAACAATAATTTTCGTTTCTTATTACTGGTTTTGTGAGAAATGTATCTAAAAATTAATGATTATAATTTTTGTGAACATTTTAAGTGTTTTAACTAGTGGTACATATGTGTACCGCAAAAAAATATTGCTGGTACAAATATGTACCACTTACGATTTTTTAATTATGATACTTATTATAGCATATTAAAATTAAAACGATAGTATTTTGAACAACAAACAATAATTTTCGTAGGATTTGTCCTTTTTCTATTACTAGTTTTACGAGAAATGTTTCTAAAAATAAATGATTATAATTTGTATGAACATTTTAAGTGTTTTAACTGAGTGGTACATATGCGTACCATGAAAAAATGATGCTGGTACAAATATGTACCACTTACGATTTTTAAATTATGATACTTATTATAGCATATTAAAATTAAAAAAATAGTATTTCGACCAACAAACAATGATTTTCGTTTAAATTGTCCTTTTCTTATTACTGGTTTTGCGAGAAATGTTTCTAAAAATAAATGATTATAATTTGTATGAACATTTTAAGTATTTTAACTGAGCGGTACATATGCGTACCGCGAAAAAATGTTGCTGGTACAAATATGTACCACTTATGATTTTTAAATTCTGATACTTATTATAGCATATTAAGCCTAAAATAACGGTATTTTGACCAAAAAGCAATGATTAAATACCTGTGTTGGCGACGCCGGTTCGTCCTTCTTGTCAGATTGGTTGTACATTTTTTGGAAAGCCTCTCGTTGTGTCGGTACAGGTATAGGATCAGAAATAGGCAAGAAACTCGGCCTCGTAGGACTAGCCAATGGTTCACGGGGTAGTGGTGGAGATCTAATCGGCAGTTTGAATCTAAAAAGAAAATTATAAAGTAAAAAAAAAAACGTAATTTATATTTCAAAATCAATACAAATGTTATTTCTTTAGTACCTATCTGTCACTAAGAAAACAGTTTGTAACTTACAATGGCTTCGCATCCAAATTATTTTCAATACTTCAGGGGTGCCTCAAAGGCCTAATTTAAGACCATTACTTTATAATTCTTTAATGAAAAAAAAAAAAAAATAAGAAGAAAAGAAAGGGAAATATTTAAAATCCCGATTGGAAAAGCTTGAGGAGGAATTCAATAAAAGGCATATAAAGAAGTGGACCAAGTTGAAAGGAAAAGCTGGATCTCAGATGTTTATTGAGGATAAAGATGGCAATTCATTAGGGGAAACTGAAGATATAAATGAAAATGGAATGAATATTTCAAAAATGTATTAAACGAAAGTATTAAACATGAACGAGCAACAAAACAAGCATGGAAAAGAAATAAGAAATATTTAAAAAAAATTGAAATTGGGGAAAATGGAATCAGTACATAAAAGCTAAAATGGGAGGAATAATATTTAATATTATTATTATTATTATTATTATATTAACAAAAATAATTTAATAGTGAAAATTATAGTACACCTATTTTTAAATGTTTATTGTATCATATTTGCGAGATTTAATGCACAAAAAACAATACATACCAAAACATTTAATAAATATAAGCACAAAACTGCTGCCATTTGAAAGTTGTCATCTTGATTTTTTTTTCTGTATATGTTACAAAATAAAATGTAAAGTGTCTACTTAGGATAACCGGTTTTCAATGTGGTCTTACAGGTAATTATTACTTTTTTTTTTTTCAAACTTGATGGTTTCTTTATTTAGGTCAAGTTAAATGAACGTTGGAAATTTTCCAACAAAAATATTTTATTCGATATTTTTTTTCACGTTAACTATTGACCTCCAATCCGTAAAAAAATAGATTTACCTATTAATTGAACATTTTAATATTTTGAAATGCATCGGAAATCTTTTTAATTTCACCCGGTATAATATGTTTTTCTACTTAGATCGCCTATTAAAAAAGGGTTGTCTGCAATAAAGGTTTCTAGAATTCTAGATTTTGTATGATTACACTTTTAAATATCTTCAAAGGTGGATTGACAGACATTTCCATAAGCGAGCCTGCTAGATATCCAGAATTATCCCTGTTTGATTTCTATTTTTGGATACAAATAATTGAGAAATAATGGTAAAAACATTTTTTGAATATTGGATTTTAAATTTAAAATTGTTACCTACCTTTCTAGTTTGATATGTGGCAACGTTGCCCAATAATTTACAACAGACCTGCAAGGGCCTAACAGAAACAAGTAGAATTTCTAGGAACACGATTGGTTTAACTGAGATTGTAGTGATTTAAATAACCAATAAATAGTAATAATTTAAAAAACCTTCTGTGATTAGTTATTGCAAGCAAGGTTTTATTATTTTATTTTTATATAAAAATATCGTATTTGTTTAAAAAAAACTGTATACAGGGTGTTTTAGACAATTCTGCATATTTTTGGTCTAAGACTCAATAGCTTACCGATCTTAATAAGAGTGGGAGAAGCTATTGAAGGTGTAATTATTTAAATTGCTGTAACTTCCAAACGACTTATCTGATTTTGGCAAACTTAAGCTTGTTTGGAAGAGAAAGATAAGTACTCTTAATTGTAATATTTATTGGTACACGATAGTTCTTAATAAAATTGCTAGAGAGCACAATTTGTAATAATAAGTTTTTTTTAATTTTATGTCGAAAACTTATATCATACAGTATAATTATGATATCATAATCGGAAGGTAGATTAAATTTGCAGCCAAAACGTAAAAACCGCAGTTCAATATCTTCGGTCGTTTCAGAGTTAAATCCAAAAAATTAATTCCATTCCATGGTCTAAATATTTCACGATAAAAAAGATATTTTTAAACTTTATGGTTATAATCATGAAAAACTTCTAATTTATACATCTTTATTTTTATATAACGATAGGTTAAATTTATTTTAATTTTGGTGTTTTACAAAATAAAGTTAGCTATTAGACAAAATCGGCAGGTTTGGATGGAGATAAATAAACTGAAATTTTGATAGGATGCTGATAAAAGTTTCTTCAATTTTTTTTTTAATTTCTTCTTACCCAATCAAAATTTGTGCTATATCCTTCAAAAATGGCTTATACCAATGACATAATGTGAGATGTTCTGAATAAAGACACTATTCTAGAAGAGTATTTAACGCAAATGGGAAGTATAGACCCATTTCAGTTCTTATCAGAAAACGTATGATAAAGAATGAAAATAAATATTATAAAGGTGTTCCACAGGGAAGTAAATTAGGACCCCTGTTATTTTTAGTTTATATCAATGACATTGTTGATATCAAGTGTCGGTCTGACATTCACCTGTTTCCTTTATGTGATTTTATTGTAAGGATCTAGATAACTTAGTAAGGAAATGGCCGACAAATTTCTTTTTTTGAATAGCATCTATAAACATGGCGACCAATGCGTTTTTGAATATTTACTTTAGTTTTAATAACCAAGCACAAGTAATAATTGTATTGTGATCTGTTATATATATTATATCTATTATATGTCTGTGATCCATTTTGACGTATAAACGATTTGTTATATTTAATAAAGACATGTAAATACAGACAGTACCGTCCTATTTAATTTTTTCTTTGTGTTGTGACTTCTCGCTCGAAACAATGGATCTACACTCTATGCAGAAATATTCTTAGTATAGGATCTGTAAGTAAGGTCAACCTTAACCCATCTGTATAATGGATGAAAGTTTTTTTTTTAAATATAATATGTTTATTAATATGTTCACGGCCATTTTTTGCTTTCCTTTCTGTATACAGATAAGGAAAGTATAGGAATCATGATAAAAGTTGCTTGTGATGTTATTCTGTTCCTATACATGATTTCCCTAAAATGAACCTATTTCGAGATATTTGAGGAAAAGTGCAAATTTAGAATTTTGAAGATAACTCAAAAACGGATGAAGAGAAAAACACCAAATTTTAACTTAGGCTCTAAACCGTCCTGCGGTGAGCTGACCTAAAGTGGGCATAGTCGAAGCATCTGGGGAATACTTTACTGGGTGTTTATAACAAAGAAATAGTCATGACCATATTTTCTTAGCCAACGCATTTGCTGTATATTTATAAACATTTTATTTAATAAAAAGAAACTTTTATACGTTAAACAGATGGGTGAAAGCCGAGCTTATTTCGGATCTTAGACCATCCATTATATTATATTAAATTAGTTATAAACACAAAGCACATAGAGGTTCCACGTGAATTACATTTCTTATGCTATTGATTCCAAACTCTAGATGGGGCTATTGGTGAAATTATGATTTTTACTCCATTTTTAACTTTTATGGGTAAAAAACTTAACCAAAGAATCCAAAGATGTGACGTGTATTTATGTTTTTAGTTATTCTCATTTTTCCGTCTTATTTTAGTGATTTTTTTGTTGGCTTTGGCTTTTGGTTTCTGTTTATAGTTTCTTCTTAGTTATTTGCAAAATTGTGTTGTTTCGTTTTTTTAGTTCCTACCGTGTTCTGCAATAATTTTTTTCACATAAGAGTATACCATCTGTATTTGGAAGGATTAAAGATTTGAGATTGTATACCTACTTGCTCCAAGTAAGTATTCGTTAAATATGTATTATTATTTGTATTTAGTTTGTTCTAATATTATTTATTAATAAACATATTTTAAGAATGTTCTATTTATTATTTATTGATATATCTTATATCTATTTAATAATAATATGCAAAACCAACTCTCCAAATTAGACCCATTATAACAAATTAATTTCTTAAATTTGGCATATCGACCTAAATTATTTTGTAAAACAAAAGTTTCGAACTTACTAGTTCCATACTTTATTTTATAAAATAATTTAAAATTTAATTTAGAACTACTACCTACTACTAAAAATTATAATTTGAATTTACCGCCATCTGCCAACTGTCAATTTAGTTCCTGCTCCAAACACAAGGTGGCGCTAATTTGTTTAAAAGTCTAATATTGGCAAGGGGTCTCTAGAGGATACGTGTTGTGGTTATAAAGGTTTAATCCCTCTGTACGACCGTCTTGTAACCAGTGGCGTCCCTACACAATTATTTAATGAATTAACATTTCTCCAAAAATAGTAACAACCTGTAGGATAAATTATTTTTAATTGTATTTGTATTATCGAGGTTTTGATTTACATATACATATTAAGAATAGGACCAAGAACATCTGAAGATTCTCTATTTAAAAAAAAAAGAATAAACTAAATATGCTTAGATAAAATATTACTGGTTTCCTAAATACAGTGTGTTAAAGTTGAACATTCAAAAATTATTAATGGCTATAGTTTGTTTTATTTCTCAGTATAATTTAACTAAAGTCGGTAGTCATATTTGGTGTCATAAGATACACTTATAAGCAAAACAATAAGTTAAATAAATTTTTCCAGTGGCATACAGCATGGATAAGTAACACTTTCATTCTCTCTAAATTTTACGCTACTGTCCAATAGGTTTATGGGCAGTGGTGTAAAATTTATAGGGGATGAAGGTGTTACTTATCTATGCTGTACGCCACTGGCAAAGTTTATTTAGCTGGTGTATCTTAGGACACGAAAAATCACTTTTAACTTTAGCGTCTTGTATTTCGGAAACCAGTACAAAGGATGTTTCGTTTGTCTTATTTTTAAATAGAGAATCCTCAGTTGTTCCGTGTTCCATTCTTAATGTTTTTTTTTACTACATTTTGTATATTGTGATATTCGTAAACTAGCTTAATAAAGAAAATATTAATAAACGTTCTATGTGGAAGCGAATCCGCATTTAAGAACAATAGTATTTTCATTAAATGCCACTTAAGTGTTTCGAATTTTAAAAGATTTTTAAGCTGCATCCCAATTGTGCGGTTTTTCACCAGGCCCTACCACAAACTGATTTTGAGCATTTAGAACAGTGCTCCGCAACCTTTCCTCATCTGAGGCACACCAAACTGCTCCCTAGAATTTCGTGGCACACCAAAATCTAAAATATATTTATAGCAGTGGCGTAGCTAGGTCGGGGGTCAGTTCACTCCATGCATACTAATTATTTATGGATGTCCAAACTACCTTAGTTTTTTTTATTGTTTTAAAATGTGAAGAAGCCCCTTTCAGATTTGGGGCATCAAAATTTTCACTCAGGACATAATACATATTTTTTTTTTATTTTTTTTATTATTCAGATAGAATGAAAAATACAAATAGGTACATACATGAGAACTATACTAAATACTAGGTAGGACAGGTAGGTATACTAAATTTACTTCTGTTGACACGTCAATAGTAATAAATATTTTGACATGATGATGACTGATTAATGTGATACCTGCGCTTGCTTCGTTGAACACAAAAGTTTTATATTCGGCTCAATTTTAGACAGCGCAACTCTCATTTCTTGGTCAAGATCTTTTAAGCATGACCGTTTATCATTTTTAATTAATACAAGCGTTGAAAAACTTTGCTCACATAAATATGTTGTAAAAAACGGAAGTAGTGTGAAGATGGCCTTGTCGGTGATGCGTGGATATTCTGTCTTGATGGAAATCCAGAAAACATCTAACGGAACTTCGTCGAATTTAAGTTTTAGGGTCATATCATTACTTAATTCTGTGAACTCCTCTCGAGTTTGCAATGGCAGTGCTTCCGTGGAACTTATTGCATTGGTTGCGAAAGGATTTCGAATCCAATTGTATTGTTCCGTGTTGATAGAATGGAAATAGTATTCAAATTTTTGTTGAAGCATACTTAAATGTTGTTGGGCCAAATCCACAATCAACTGCTTGTTTTCGATCGTACTGTGGTTGGTCCTGTGATACATTTCTAGACATCCTTTTTGCAACTGTTCCTGCCAAAGTTCAAGTTTCTTTTTGAACCCTTGTAATTTATCGGAGCACGTCAATATATTTTCATTCCGTCCTTGCATTTTTTTATTAAGTTCATTCAGATGTTCGAATATATCCGCCATGTATGCAAGTTTGGCTATCCAGTATTCATCATGAAGGTGCTGGCATAGATCGTACATATCTTGACTTGAAAGAAACTCACGCACTTCGTAGCGAAGTTCAAACAGTCGAGCTAAAACTTTTCCCCGGGATAACCAACGAACTTCTGTATAAAACAGTAAGGATTCATGTTCGCTTCCCATTTCTTCACAGAGTATTCCAAAGATTCGCGAATTTAAGGCTCTCGATTTAATTATGTTTATGATCTTAATACATTCATTCATTGTGATCGAAAGCTGTTCGGGCAAATTTTTGACCATCAATGCTTCTCGATGTATGCAGCAATGTGTAATTTGTATTGACGGATTTTTTTTGTTTTACACAAGATACAAAACCTTTCTTACTGCCCATCATTGCAGCAGCACCATCTGTACAAATAGCAACGCAATTGGTCCACTGAATATTATGTATTTTAAAAAAATTATCAGTTACTTGGAAAATTTGTTCACCGGTAGTTCTCTCTGGAACCTCCTTACAAAATAAATAATGTTCTTTAATAGAGTCCTCGTCAACGAAACGTACAATAGCCATCAGTTGTGCTTTATTTTTAATATCGGTTGATTCGTCGATTTGAAGCGCAAAAATTCCAGCCGAAATGATTTTTTTAATTAGTGTTCCCAAAATATCACTTGACATATCTTGGATACGTCTTTTAACAGTATCGGCCGACAAAGAAACTTTACTCACGTCCTTAACTTCGTTTGGCCCAAGCATAAGTCTAACAATTTCCATGCATGCTGGTTTAATAAGCGTTTCACCGATAGTGTGCGGTTTTTTTTGTTGTGCAATTAATTTTGCAACAAGGTAGCTTGCTTCTAATGCCTTTCCAGAAACCGTAACCGCCGATTTCATAAACTGCTTTTGTTTCTTATTTTGATCCAAGCGCCGTTGGAAAAATTGAATGTCTTTTTTGACGCAACTGGGATGATTTGTGATCAAATGACGGTTTAGTTTGCTGGGTACCATTGCTTCATTTGACAACTGTTCACCGCAAATGACGCATTCAGGCTTTGGAGCCGCTTCGTCGCCACACCAAGTGAAACCATATCGAAGGTAGTCTTGATTGTACTTCCTTTTCAGCACCTTTTTTGCTCTTTTTGCAGCACTTATGCTGGAGCTTGTGCTAGGTTCTTCGTCATCTGCTCGTGATTTCAGCAAAAATTTATCCATATTTGAAGCACTATAGTTATTTATAAAAGTAGATACTGCAACAAAACTTAGTCCAGTTCACTTATTTATAAGGCACAAGAATTTATTTATATAGCAATTCACTATTTATTTCACTCTACGATTTATTTGTTTGCCCGCGTATTTATCTGATTCACTTGACTATTCGACTCTCTCTGAGTCTCTGAGCGACGACAGGCGCGCTTATATAGGCAGTGGCGATGTTCAGGAAAACATCGAGTCGCGCCTCGAACGGCACGGATCTTTCTAGTTTAGTCGCCTTCGAGAATCAAGCCGCCGCGCCGCGCCGATAGACGTTTACCATCGGCGCTGTTGTCAGATTGCTTTATTTTTCGCGGGTCTCGCTACAATACGAATCTGATTCGTATTGTCTGCAAGAGCGGCACACCTCAAGTCGGCTTACGGCACACCAGTGTGCCGCGGCACACCGGTTGCGGAGCACTGATTTAGAATAATGAGTGACTCACCTGCTAAATCATAAAGTTTAAAAATATTTTTTTATCGCGGAATGTTTGACCATGGAACAATAGTTCATAATAAACCATTACTTCCGCAATTAAAGTGTTAAACATTGTATTTTCGGCTATAAACGAACGAAGATATAAAACTGCGGATTTCCGTTTTTTCTTGCAAATTTATTCTATTTTCCGATTATGATGAAATTTAAAAAAAAAAAAATACAAGAGGCTTTTGAAGACTTCAAACGAGTAAAAGTTTCTTTTAAATTAGAAATAGATATTTATTATAAAGCATATATTAAGAAGACTGAACAAGAGATATCTAATAGTCCAAGTGAATTTTGGGGATTTATAGATGGTAAGAAATCTCAGCCCAAATCCCCTTAAATAATGCTAAAAACACTTAAGATATTCTCAATGGGTTGGCTGACTTTTTCAGAAAATCATATATTAATTACCTCTAGTCTGTCTATTGTTAACTCAAGCTCGCAACTCAGCGTACCAATTAGAAGTACTTACCTTTATCTTTCAAACAAGCTTAAACTTTAAATAGCTTCTTCCACTCTTATAAAGATCGGTACGCCAATGAGTCTTAGACCAAAATGATGCAGAATTACCTAAGCTTTCTAATGACGTTACCAAAGGCACACCTTAATGTGAGAATTTTTTTTAAGATTTAAGATTTTCTAAGACTTTCTAAGACTTTCTAAGATTTTCTAAGATTTTTTAAGTTTTTCTAAGATTTTCTTAGATTTTCTAAGTTTTTTTAAGATTTTCTAAGATTTTCTAAAATTTTCTAAGATTTTCTGATTTACCAAGATTTTTTAAGATATTCTAAGATTTTCTAAGATTAAGGCCACTTTAATATTTTTTTTTTATTTCTATGCCCAGTAATTTCCAAGATATGGTCAGTGGCCAATTTAAATGAAACACACAGTACATGTTCGAAAATAAAACAACGAACCAATTAAATTTAAATGTACTACACACCACCATTTTTATTACATTCAGACTTTGAAAAATATGGTTTGGATTTGCGAATACATTATTATGTAAACTGTTGGGAACTTAGGGCTATATTAATATTATTAGTAACATTTTTACATATTTTTCTATGGACTTACGTGATTTGTTCCTTCTCGACGCTACTCTCAGTCGATTGGTCCGATTGGATTTGAATATTTTGGGGCACTATAACATAATCATCTTCAGGACTTGAACTGAGTGCGTTTCTTGTAGATCGAGGTGATTCTACAAGTAATAAGCAAGAAAATGAATGATTGATGAGTTTGAATGCTGACCACGAATAAACTTCAAAATTATTAATATTATTTCATTCATGCTGATAAAAAATATTGGAAAAATCCAAAGGCTTTTTAGATATTATTTTCCAATAGTCTACAATCCAATCCTAAATCAAAAGTTAGTTTTTTCTTTATTAAACAGCAACCAAAATACAAAAAAAAAATATTTAAATAGTCAAAATAATAGAAATGTGGGTATAAATAAAAGAATGAATATTTTACATTGAGTTAGATAAAAAATAATTCATAATTATGCTGTTGATCATGTATGAAACTAAAACGCGAAATAGATACTAAAAAAAAATATTTAGATTAGAATAAGTTGAAAGGAACTTTTAAGGTTTTTACAAGAAATAAGTCGTTTTAAACTGCCACAAAAAGTTCCTAATCCACGCTTTAGCATTTTTTATGGTACATAGGAGAGGGTATAAGCTACAAAAATAAATAAACACAAAAAGAGTTTTCTACTAAAAGAGGTGAAGAAATTTTCAAATATGCAAAATTTGGTTTACCAATAAAAGTCCAAATGATGGCATGGAGGAACAATCCAAAAGTACATAGGGAGAGGGCAAAAGCTACAAAAAGAAATAAACACAAAAGAAAAGAGTTTTCTACTAAAAGGGGTGAAGAAATGTTCAAATATGCAAAATTTGGTTTATCAATAAAGGTCCAAATGATGACATGGAGGAACAATCCAAAAGTAACAACTGGAAAAATTATCGTGTCAAGAGAACTGGAGAAGAAAAGATAAAACTAAGAAAGGTGACAAGATTACAAGAAGATACAAATATATTAAATAGGGCTTCTCAAAAACTGAGAATAAATCCTAAACCACAAAGAAGAAATAGTCCAAGATCCGACCGTATAATTTCTATACTCATCTGTTTTTAATCAAAATACAATTTTTAAAGATTACTAGTTGTTGTCTACAGCTTTGCACCTGTGTTGTATTAAAAAAAGCATGATTGTCCAAAAAATTAGTGATTTTTTTAGGGTTCATGATATGCTTGTGCTACTATAGATTAGAGTTAAGTAAATTAATCTAATATTTAAATATCGTCGGTATAAAAGAGAAGGTGACCAAGTCCACCGATAGTAGTTTTAATTTATTACCCAACAAACAATAAATTGCCGGGATATTACTGGCCTTTTGCTGTAATTGAAGGGAAAATGAATGCGACGATTAAAAGATAAAAGCCTACTTTTGGCCTTTCGATAGTGGCCCAGCATTATGTTGTTTGATGATGGCCTTATGAAGGGTAAGTAACTGTATTGGGTAAAAGCATGGTAAAAGTCAAAAGGTTTTAAACTGCCGTAGACCCAACAGTCCAAGAGGGCTCCGTCCCGTGTTCATAGATGGAGACACCGATGATCGCTTGTTACATACCCAACGAGTGGACATGTACTATGAGGCCAGTTTCGCATTGCTGGTATTCACTATTTAGTATTTATTAATTTATTATTATTTATTAATGATGAGTAGCTATAATTCCAATTTTCAAGTTTCTACCTTAAACAAAATCGATACTCTCATACAAACTTTTTTCCCCCGTTTCTCATCCTTAAAATGTGAAAATCTAAAAACCCTGAAACTATTTATTTATGCTCACTATCTGTATTTTAAATTTCAAGTTCCTACATTTAAAAAAATTAATTCTTCCCCCCATAAAAACTTTCATTCCCTATTTCCCTCCCTGTTTTCCCAACCTTAAAATATGAAAACCCAAAACCCTGATATACGTCATTATTTATTTATGAGTAGCTACAATTCCAATTTTCAAGTTCCTATCTTTTAAAAAATCGATATTCCTATACAACCCTTTATCCCCCGTTTCTTACCCTTAAAATGTGAAAATCCAGTAACCCTGAAACACGTCATTATTACATAGTATGATGTAAATAGTAATTTAGGTTCTAGTAGTAGATCTTTTGAATTACGATTCATTTTGGTAGATTGTAAATATTAAGATGAAAGGTTAATATACTTCATTTTTTTTGAGGGGGAGATTTAGAATATCATCCTATATAATTATTTCGTGTTATTTTATATATTCAAATTGTATCACCCTGTATATCTAGTTTCTTTCTGTGTTTAATTAATTCACTCATCATTCAGTTAGTTGCAATAACCCTCAAATTAGGGTTAAAAATAAATTGCTGAGTATTGCAAATTTCCCCCCTCATTTTCCCCCTTTAAAATTTCTAAAAATCCTTTCTTAGCGGATGCGTACGTTATAAAATAAACATATGTTCCAAATATCAGCTTTCTGGATTTAGTACTTGTGGCTGTGCGTTGATAGATCAGTCAGTCAGTTAGTCAGAACAAACGATTCTATATAGATTATTGTTAGATAAATACGAATTTGCTGGATTTCCTATTAAAATATGGCCTCAAATATTTTGAATAGTACTTTTTTTTTCTACGTTAAGATTAATTTCTGTAAGTTTTTGATTATAGAACAAAATTCTTTTGGTCATATCCATTATTTTTCTAAAATTAACAGTAATAGAGAAATTTGAGGAAGTGCAAATATTCCTATAATGTTATCAAAATATTGAATACGGCCCATCTAATCAAAAAAGAGTTTAGAATATGAAATACAGACAAAATTTATTTAAAACATTATATCATAACTTCATTGCAAACCAAGATAGTGAAAAAATCAAATTTTGTACTTTTTCTCAAATTTGTCCATTACGTTATATTTTAGAGAAATAATGTATTTAACCAAAATTGTAGAGAATAACATCACAAACAACTTTTATTAGAAGAATTTTCTTCTATAATCATAAATAACAAAAATATACCTTAAAGTAGAAAAAAGTACTATTAAAAGTACTTGCGACCATATTTTGATAGGCAACCCGGCAAAATCATATTTCTCTATCAATAATTATCTATAAAAATTGTATTTTAATTAAAAAACAGAAGAGTGCAAAATCATATGGTTGGATCTTAGTCTAAAAGCTTCGACAAATACCTAGTATGGCTATCAGATGATTATATTCACTCCGGAAGACAACTAACCAGATAAAAAACCATTATTCCCACTGAACTCCTATCAGAATGGCACACAACTATGAGGATACATAAGCAAGGGTAATATTAACATGATACAAGTTTTCTGAAACCCTTCGCAAAACGCGCTTCTACTCGCGCTTAATCATGCTTTTATTTTGACGCAATTGATGCCAAACGATAGCTGACAGCCTCTTCTTTAACATCAACTAGAGTTGCCTTTGTTTGCACTAACTCCAAAAATGTAGCAATAAAAAACCTATACTTTTTTATTTCTAATTAAATCAGTAATCCTTTGAAAAGACTAAGACATAAACTTATTTTTACTAGTTCGTTGATCGTTTAAATTCGTACTCAGATGGAATTAGTGATTGTGAATGGCATGAATAATTTTAAAATGTATAGATGTATTGCACCAAAAATCCCATTAATAACAAATTAAATGAAATACCTGGTTGAGATAACGGAGGAGTTGCGACTTTAAGAGGTGTAGACGGCCTCAGAGGTATTTTAACAGCGCTGATTGGCGGCGAACCATAAATGGGCAGAGGCAAATCTAAAAAAAAAAAATTAGATAAAAAAAATATTATTAATATAGTGTAAATTCTAAAAACAAAAAAAAAATACCTAATTTACATTTATTTTTACCTCCTTGTAGAGGACTTTGCGACTGCGGTGGTTCGGGCCTTTTGAGAAATTTATGATTAAAGAACGTTTCGAAATTCATTCTGTCCCTAGCGTTTCGTTTTAGAAGACCCATAAGTAACTCACTCAGTTCTGGACTAGTTCCAAAAGGAATCCTAAAAAAATAACCATAATCATAATGTTTTCAATAAAGAAAAGGTATACATATACCGATCATGTTTCTTTTTAAATCGTAACAATAAAGAAATAAAAACTCAATCGATAAAACTAGATGACATGTACTTTTGAGAACAACGTACTTGTTCAAGAAACTATTTTGTAAACGTCCCTGTCCATTTTTGACTACTTAGAAATATGCTTTCGACCCAACATCGAGGGCTGGCCAGAAGTCAAGTCAAACATTTCCTTTTTTCTTTATTTCTTATGCATTTCTGGATTTTCAATCCACTTAGATCGACTGTGTATTATTGTGTAACTGTGTTTTAAAATAAAAACCTTAGTTCTTAAATCAGTTCGTTTATTCTTCTACATACTACTTAAATAATAGAGTGAAGCGTTATTTGTTATTAACTGTTGTTACTCTTTGGTAAAGGGCTGCTGAATAAAATGCTCGGCAAGCACAGTTTATTTACGACTTTCTAACGTTTGCGGCTGCGGAAATTCGAAAATTTGTTACGATCTGATTTTAACATAAGTCGAGCTGGCATGCGTATATCTTTTTATTCATTCAATTTTATTTCTCTTGTGGGTGAGTGTCACCTATACTGCCGTCGACGGTCAGAACCACAACCGAACACGCTTCAACTACGACAGCGTCAACACTTGACCTTCCAAACGTCAAGTCAGTTAAGTCCAGCTGTTTATGTCAATATTAACATTATAAATTAATCGAATTACGAACTAAAGATACTATATACACAAAAGGTAAACAGAGGTCCCACTAAAACTATCTTAATTACACATATTTTTAGAACAATTGTACAAAGATTCTATAACCTCAGTGAAATATAGTTTTCACCAGACTGAAACTATGAGGTATGGCGATACCCAAAAGAAAAACAAAATTTATACGCACGTCAAATCCACTTATGGACGAAGTGAGCCTAAGTTAAGTTAAAACCTCGGATCGTTTTAGGCGTAAAGTTTGTGGATTAATCACATGACTATCAAAAAGTAAGTAATTAGATCATACTGTCGAACTAGTTAGATTTCAACTTTTTTGGTAGATTTTTTTGGCTAGTTTTAGTAAACAATTTCTTTTTGGTAGATTTTAGTAGATTTATATAAATTATTAAAAAATTCCAATTACTCAAATAAAACTTTATATTTAAATAATTTTGTTGCTAAAAATTATTGCTAAAAATGTTAGGGAAAGGCGATTATCAAAATAAATAATGTTATTTTAGATTAATCGATATCTTAAAAATAATCGATTCTTTACGATTTATCGATTATTTTTGATTCTTTTCGCTTAACCCATTATTTTCGAGTAATCGATTAATTATTTCTTTTCAATTCATCGATTTTCCGATAGATCGATTATTTTCGATTAAACGATTCTTTTCTATTTTCTTTTGTCGATTATTTTCAATTCTCCTCGATTCTTTTCAATTCGTTTTCATTCTTTTCAATTCTCTTTGATTCTTTTCGATGCGTTTCGATTATTTTCAATTCGTTTCGATTTTTAGTTATTTTAGATTAATGGATTCTTTTCGGTTAATCGACTATTTTCGATTAATCAATAATGTTTGATTAATGGTTTATTTGGATTTATCGATTTTTTCGAAGATTCGATTATTTTCGATTAGTAGATTATTTTCGATTAATCGATTATTTTCGATTAATCGATGTTTTGGATGATTCGATTTTCTCAATTATTCGATTATTTTCCATTAATCGATTCTTTTCGATTAATCGATTATCTATTATCGATTAATCGTTTTTTGATTATTCGATTATCTATTATCGATTAATCGTTTTTTGATTATTCGATTCTTTTTTTATAAATAGATTTTTTTCGATTAAGCGATTGTTTTCGCTTAATGGATGTTTTGGATTATTCGATTTTCTCGATTATTTTCCATTAATCGATTCTTTTAGATTAATCGATTATTTCCAATTAACCGATTATTATTGATTAATCTATTATTATCTATTATCGATAGCAAAGTATTAGGAAATTCGATTCTTTTCGATTGTTTTCGATTTGTTTCGATTCTTTTCAATTCTCTATCATTCCTTTCGATTCTTTTCGATTATTTTCGATGCGTTCCGATTCTTTTATATTCGTTTCGTTTAGACGTTTTTCGATTAATCGATTCTTTTCGGTTAATCGAATATTTTTGATTTATCGATTTTTTCGATCAATAGATTCGTTTCGGTTAATCGATTATTTTCGGTTAATAGATGTTTTGGATTATTCGATTTACTCGAGTATTCGATTATTTTAGATTAATCGATCCTTTTCGATTAATCGATTATTTTCGGTTAATCGATGTTTTGGATTATTCGATTATTTTTCATTAATCGATTATTTTAGATTAATCGATTATTATAGATTCATCTATTATCAATAGAAAAGTATTAGAAATATCAAAAGTTCCTAGAAAAATGTAAAATAAAACTTAAGACGCAATAAATATTTAAAAAAGTTGTTTTTACTGATAAACCATCCTGTGACATATATATTAATATGGGAAGTACCTCAAGGTAGCGTATCCGATCTTTTTTCTTTTTTAATTTTATACTTTAATGATAACTTTTTGTTGATTGTGAATTTATTGATCTTTTTGCTGACGATACTTTAATAGCCTGTAGTGATACGAATTTGGATAAGGACATAGAGAAAATGAATGCTTTATTATCATCTGTAAATAAATATAAATAGACGAAAATTAAATATAAGAAAAACAAGAGCAATATATTTTTACAACGAAAGGTAAATATAGTTTTATTGATGGTAAAAACATGAATTTGAACATTAATAATGAACACATTGAAGTTGTTTCTAATATGAAATATTTGGGATTTCAATGATTTAAATTTCGATAGCTGCTTTAACAATATTTATAAAAAATATCAAAAAAAAAATTTTTTTTTTCTTTGGTAGAATTTCCTAGAATTAATTCAATAAAGATCTATCTACCTACCTATCTGTCTATCTATCTGTCTATCTATCTATCTACCTATCTATCTATCTATCTATCTATCTATCTATTTATCTATCTATTTATCTATCTATTTATCTATCTATTTATCTATCTATTTATCTATCTATTTACCTATCTATTTATCTATCTATTTATCTATTATCTATCTATTATCTATCTATATCTGTCTATCTACCTATCTATCCATATCTATATATCTAACCATTTCTATCTATCTATCTATCTATCTATCCATATCTATCTATCCATATCTATCTATCAATCATACACTCTCGTCACTTAATACATTGATAGGAATCGGCAGCTGGGACGTTTCATTTACATAACCTTACATTATTACTTACTTTGGTGAAAGGTTAGCATTTTTTTCGTAATATTGTTTCAGCGCCTGAGGCGTGGTAGCCTGAAAAGGAGCCTTTCCTGTTAGACATTGGAAAACTATGGTACCCAAGCTCCATAGGTCTGCTTTGGCGTCGTACTGGAGCGACATGATGACTTCTGGTGCCTAAAAATATTATTCTCAAAAAATAAATCTCATAAATATTACATGGATTTATAATAATTAGAAACATCGAATCAATGTTTGAACAAATAGGAAATAATTATGAAACACGAGTAATATATAGGAGAGGAACCAAGAGAAGCATGGATACGTAGAGGAGAAAATTCTTTAATTTATTAAATTAGGCCCAAAATGATACAATTTTAGATGAAAAGGATTTAAGGCAAAAGATAATCGAAACATTAAATTATTAAGATTTATATAGGAAAATTATCAATGTTGAGCTAGTACTCTACTTTAAAAATTAAATATGAAGTAGAAAGATCTTTAAATGTGATGGAGTGTATAAGACCTTTCCAAATTGTCGCCAAACACCTATTCAGGTTCAGGTGTTCCGCGGAACATATTTTAGAAAACGCTGCTCTAGAACAACTATCAAACTATTTTCTTGAATGAAGCCTGAATTAAATAAAATAAAGTTGCATGGGACGTACTCATTTTATTAAATTCATTGGTAAAAACCATATTTACAGAACTGCAATAAATTTAGGTAAATATGTTAACAAATTGGAATCTAAATAGAAAATTAATAAAAATATAAGGCATTTTTACTTTAGAATATTTAAAATAAATAATATGTATGTAGAGAATAATGTTTGTACACAAAAATATCTACACAAATAACACTAAATAGAAAAATCTAATTGCAAGGAAGTATTTAATTTTTAGATATTATCTTACCATATACATCGGACTTCCACAAAGTGTAGCTGCCATAACACCATCTTGTAAAAATCTGGCAAAGCCAAAATCAGCTAAAAGCAACATATTTTTTTTTAAATGTATTCTAGTACTTTACCAAGTAGAGAAAAATACTTTTAAACAAATGATTAGATTTAAAAAATAAAAACGTACGAACCTATTTTTAGTTTTATTTCAGATGGTTGAGGATGTGCTTTGGTTCCGCTGTGAGAAAGTAGAATATTTTGCGGTTTTAAATCCCTATGGACAATACCCTTTGCATACAGAGCTTTCATGGCACCGGCTAAAAAACAATGAATGCTTTAAATTTATTATCAATAACACACGAGTGGCTACAAAAAAAACAGAATGATAGCTTTGCAGATAAACGGTGAGGGCGTCAAGGTCAAATGGAATATCCGTGTGTCACGTACAGGCCGGATTTACGTCCTGTAACCGAATATAATCGTCATCTATTACTTTATATGTCACGTCATAAGTCACTTCATATGTCACGTCACTTGTCAAATCGAGTTGAACTTTTCGAATGTATCCCGTATATACCTAGGTTTACGTGTACGTGTGTCATTGAACAAAGATATATTCGTTGAATATACTGTTCACGTGAACGCATGATGAACCACATACCTATTTGCAGAATACAATGATTAAATAAACAATCCAACGAGTACATATAAGTTTATTAATACACATTAGTGTATTATGTACAATTGGCGCAATTTTTGAACATACAGTGTGACCCATTTAGATTTTAAATACTACTGTAAAATTTGAAGTTATTAACCGATGAATTTTCTTTAAATATTGCTATACAACTCGAATTTTGAGCTTCAGTTAAATGCAACGGTATTTTTGAAAATTTATTTGTCAATACTTTTTAAGAGCTGTCAAATTTGAATGCGACGAAAGACTTGCAAAGTCTAAATAACATCATTAAATTTTTAGTTTCGTCAACAATTGTATAATCAAAATAACTGAAATGAACTAGCAGTATTTTTCACATGCTATTTATATCATAATTATCACATAGTTAGGATTGAAGCTGTCAAAAAAAATTTTAAAAATATTTAACCTACAAAGTTAGTAGAATTTATATACTATGCCATTATTAGTTTTTTGAAAACAAAGGGTTTTACTAAAAGAACCTACATTATTGAAAAAAAAAAAAAGGTTTTCTACAGTAAAAAATATTTTTACAGAAGAAAACAAGAACCCGTTGGACTTCAGAAGAAACATACAATGTATATTTATATCAGATATTACACATTCCACACTCCTATTGACTAAAATCAACCTTAATGTGCCCCAATAATATAACAATAGAAAGGGAGGATTTAACTTCTAATTTTAAATAAAATAAACATCTTAATTTGCAAGTAAATTTTAACTACTTTTGTAAATCGTGTGACAAGTTTGTAGATAAGCTAAATGGCATAGTTTACATAATTTTCTTACAGCCTATTGTAGTAACATTCATTCATTCTTCTAAATGAATTTTATTATATGTATTTTGAGTAATTTATCTGATTTTATACAAACTGCTTTCTCATTTCCCCTCGGGGGGGATATTTATTCAAGCAAACGATTATATTCACACAATTAAAAAGAAATGAATGAATTCTTCAAATTATCCACAATTCGAGAGATTGCTTTTTTACAACTAAATTAATAATGAACTCTTTTTAATGATTTTTGTAAAGCTTGCGGAAGGTCCGGAGTCTATGAATGGCTATTTTCTTATGTTTTTTCCAGATAACTCTCCCCTCCCCGGTACAAAATCAAACGAAAGCAAACAGATTCAAGAAGCGACAAAAGAAAAAAGAAAAAAAAAGCTATGTAAACAGGTGATATGTACATTAAAAGCCTATTTATTCGACAGGCAGTATAGGTTGACCTTCTCAAGTATTTTGAGTTTAAGCAGTGGGTTCACAATATATTATGCAAGGCTCTTATCATTTATATCAACAAGAAAATGCGGTAATGTAAGATTGTGATGCAACAGTTTAAGTTTAAATTTCTAAAAATTAAAATTTTGTCATAAATGCTAGAAATAAGTCTTTGTTTATTTAGGAATGAATAACAGTATAAGTAAAAAAAAAGATTATACTGAATTGCATGGAATTTTTCAGAAATAAGAATGTTTTACCTACAAAAATGTACTAAAATTGTTTGATTTTCTTATCTAATTTTAGAATGCCCATCATATTTATCTCGATAAAATAAATAAAATTATCTTACCTAATTGTATTAAGAAAAGTCGAATGGTATCTTCACTAAGTGTTCCTTTAGCATGCAGGTAATCAGCTAAGTCACCGCCATTGCAGTACTGAAAAAAAAAACATTTATTTTAGACTAATAAATGCACGATGTAGGATAGCCTAAATATGTCGTTCTTGCGTTAACTGAAAATACTAAAAAATGGACAGGAGACACTGTAGATGTACTCCTGCTAAATAGCTGGTGAATAAAATATCCACCAGTGGACACCACATCGTCGACAGGAAGGTGTAGTGGATTTTACACCGGGCCAAACGAAAGGTATGGGGTGACGAACGAAAGAACCTAATATAGTATGTTGTATAAGAGAGCGGAGAGAGTGGCACCTTGATTTATTATTATTATAATTTGATAAAAGCAGGGGCCATAAGACCCATAAGCCCATATTAACTGAATATAAAACAATATTACTAAAAACTAAATCAATAACAAGTACAACGGTACTTTCTCAACTCGTGCGTTCGCAACTCGGGCGTAATATAAAACTACCTGAATTCGTCGCATCTCGGGCGCCCTCCAAAATTGTGCACCTGTGAGTTCGCAACTCGGGCGGGCGTCGACGGGATATGAAATTTGACCATAGTTTATGTACCCTGATTCTGATTACAATCTGATTCAGGTAGTAATGCATTATCGAAAATTTAAGAGAAATAAATGACATCGCAGAATAAGCTTTGATTTTAACAGATAGCGAGCACTGAAAAGTTAGTTGATGTAAAAAAATTGAAGATTTTTCCATTACGGTTTATTTTAGAGAAATCATGTGTAGAATAAAAAATATAGAGCATGATATTGGGATCATTTTCAAATTATTGGCGATTTCTAAAATATTTCCGAAAATAATTTGGTCACTAGGGGTATTATAAGTGAAAATGAGAAAATTCGAATTTTGCACTTTACCTCAAATTTCCCGAATTCGGTCTATTTTAGAGAAATGTATGGAACAAAAATTATAGAGAATTACATTGTAAGCAACTTTTATTTGAAGAATTTTCTTTAAAATTCGAATTTTGCACTTTTTGTCAAAATTCTCGAATACGGACCATTTTAAGGAAATCATGAATATGATAAAATAATATATAAATATTACGAAACGCCTCGGAAACATTTCTAAAACATTCCTAAATTGTAAAAATATCCTGTAAATGTAATATTTCATATATTTTATAAATAATAATTTGAAACCTATCAGAAATATAACATACTAATATTTCAGAAATGTATCAAACAACAGACGCAAACTTCCAATTATTTAGAATATATGGTTTTCTCTAATATAAAATTATAGTACTTAAAATAAAATGACTACAACATAACCCATCTTCTTTCTCTTCTTACAAATGAGAAAATTTTCAAATCTTGCCCATTTACAACATAACAAACATAAACCAACTTAATATTTCAAGTATAATCAATGAAAATGTTTAAAAATATGATTGCAATAAAGTAGAATAATTAATATTTTTAGGTAAAATATAAACAAAACGTCAAAGTGTTTCGATACAATAACGTTTTTATTACGAGTTTTATGTAATTTAAAGAAACGTTAATATTAAACGTGTATGTATCTTAATATCCAACTTTCGGTTGAACCACAATTACATAATAACATTTAAAAAGAATATTAAAATAAACTAGAATAATTAATATTAAATTAACGTAGATATTTGGTTTACATTATTAACCAAACGTTAAAAAGGTTGAAATACAATAATATTTTACATGTTATATATATTTAACAAAATGATTAACTTTTAGTTACATAACAACGTTTAAATATAATATTAAAATATAGTTAAATAATTAATATTCAAATGACGTATATATTTAGTTTAAAAAATAAACTAAACGTCTAAAACCTTATATGCACCCATTAGATATCAATTTTTATGAGTCGTATACGATTTGTCAAAAAAAATATTTTTGGCCAAGAGTAAAGTACATTCATTTTTAAAAAACCTCGTATACGACTTATACAATTTGATATATGATGGTTGTATTTTAAGGTCTGAGATCACGCACAATTTTTTATGAGGACATTTTTTTCATAAAATTATTAATAAGAAAAAGTTTTCCATATACTGTCCGGTTTTAGACCATCCACAACTCTTTATGCTAAATAATTTTTTTTTGATAAAACTAATAAAAAAAAGTTTTCCATATGTAGCCAACTTACACAGACATCCTACTTAAAAAATGTATTAAAATAAAAATTGAATAGCTAGCCGAGGTAGGTACACTATTATTTATCAATCTAATTATATAATAAATAAATTACACTTTTTTCAGTAAAAACTACAATTTCAAATGTCATAACAATGTAATGTAAAGATTATGTTCGCAGAGAAAGATAAATAAAAAATCTTGTTTTATGAAAGTTACATAATATTTAAAAACTGGCAAGCTCCTCCTGTACGGCACTCCGTATATAATTTTAAGTTTAAGCCGAAAGCACCTTCTCAGGTACCGATCCTTGAACGCCCGAGTTGCGAAGGGTATTTAATCTACCTGTAGCCTTCCGCCCGAAATGCGAAAAATTAAGGATTTCGCCCGAGTTGCGACGCACGAGATGCGCATAAATCAGTACAACCGATGAATAAACAATGAAACAAATAAAATGTTAATTAAAAAATAGAAAATTATCAAGTTCGTTCTTGAAAACATTGACAGATGGAGCATTTACAACATTCTCCGGTAGAGAATTCCAAGTGTAGAATATTCGATTAAATAAAAAAATTTGCCTGGTTTTCGTAAAAAATTGTTCTTTTTTCAGCTTCCATTTATGGCCACGTAGTCGATTTTCATTGTCCACGATGAACATACATTTTAAATTTCCAAAATTATGTTTTAAAATACGAAAACAAATTATCATATCATTCCGCAGACGGCGATTTTCAAATGTTTGTAGTTTAGCCATGCCATATGTAGTCTCTCTGCGTAATTAGATCTCATACGTCCGAAAAATAGTCTGGTTGATCGGCGCTGCACATTTTCAAGAATATTTTTATCCCGCACTAGTTCCGGACACCACACAGCTCCGCAGTACTCGATGATCGGACAAATGTATAATTTATACAGCCGGATCGAATTTTGAAAAGACTTTTGCGAATGTTTTCTTTAATAAGAACATTTTCGTGTTCGCCTTTTTTGACACTTGAAGAACGTGCTCAGACCAGCTGATTTCACTAATTATAACACCTAGATCATTGTAAGATTTAACTTTATTTAACGTATGACCGTTTAGAAAATAATTATAACGAGGATTATTTTTACCAATATGGAGAACTACACTTTTATTTGTATTTAGAGGTAGCATCCAATCTGAGCACCAGTTATAGATGGAGTCAAGGTTTGAAGCTGTTGGAAGTTCAAAGACGGGTCACTAAATATTTTAGTGTCATCTGCGTAAAAAATATTGTTGCACTTGATATGAAATTGAAGGTCACTGGCATATATTATAAATAAGAGTGGACCCAGAACTGATCCCTGAGGAACTCAAGTGAATGCGAATTTCCAACTTTAACACAGTACTTTCTATCAGTTAAGAATGACTCGATCCATTTAAGTAAATCACCACGTATACCAAGGCACACGATCAAAAGCTTTCGCAAAATCCAGGTAAATAATGTCTATAGGTTTTTTCCTGTCTAATTAAACTGTCCACTCATTTACACACCAAAGCAAATTGGTCGCCCTTTTACAAATCCATGTTGCTGTTTGGGAATGACTTCTTCCACTAAGAGAAACTGAGGAACGTGCTCTGTTATTATGGAGTCTATAACTTTACAGATTATGGGTGTGATCTGATTGGGCGGTAGTTATCAGAGTCTAGTTTGTATCCTTTCTTGAAAATAGGCGTTACAGAAGCTGTTTTCCAGACAGAGGGTAATGTGTCTGTATTAAAAAACAAAGACATTATAATAGATAAAGGAACTGATATGGTATTACAGCATTTTTTTAAAAATAGAGTAGATATTTGATCTAGACCCGGAGAGGAGTTGTTTTTTAATTTAAAAAGGTGTCGTTTGACAATTTCAGGAGTAAAATTGAGCCGTTCTAAGGAAGAAGAGATTCTTTCGGGTGAGATATCTAATAACTGATCCTAGGGAGGTTCATTGGTGAAAACTTTTGTAAAGGTATTAGCTAAAAGTTCAGCCGTTTCGAACACAGATCTAGAGTGTTAGGAGATAGGCGATGATCATCTGCAATATATTTTCAAATAAGTTTATTATAGGGCGCCGCCATGTTGGTCAAACTTGGGATTGAGGAGTTTGCGCAGTAAAACAAATTCAATTTCATGTGTCAGTTGCATCAGCTGTCATGATTATTTATCGTTTTTCTGGTTTATTTATCAGTTTTTATTAATAAATTGTATTACTGAGTGTTTTCTGGTATTATTTTTATCATTTTAATATGATTAAAACATGTTTAGTCGTCAATTATGATATTAGAGGTAACCTGCCTTGTCACAGGTAATATTTATTGACTTTAACAGGGTCGTACTCATGTGCTTCTATTGGATTCACGATGCACCAGTTTACTTCTTTGTATTAATCTGTTGTAATATAATATAATATAAACAAAATAGTTATTTTGTCTAATATTTTAAGTTCAGACCTATTTACTCCTTTCTGCGCATGCTCGCTAATCCCAAAAATAAAAAGATGGCGGCTCACTATAATAAATTTTCTAATACTCTAGATCTGTGGTTTCGAAATTATTTTGTTTAGTAAAGAAATGGATACTTTTGATGACAGTGAAGATCTAATATATTTGTATAATTTTTTACAGTTTTGGCTGCATGCTATCGACTCTTCATATTCTTCTCGGGCCTCATTTATAAATTTCTTTAGGTCCTTGGACAAATTTTTGTGATATTCTAGATCGACAATATTATTTGATCGCTTATATTTACGCCATAATTTACTTTTATGTCTAATCAAGGATATTAGTTCTCCGTTGATCCACGGTTTTAATTTATTTTTGTAAAACACCTTATTTTTAGAGTATTGGATTTTATGAGTAGCAATAACGGTTGCGAACTTATTCCATACTTCTGCCGGATCTCCCGAGTCACCCAATGTTTCTATCCATTCGATGGTAGATAAATGACGATTTAAGTTATCGACATCGATGATTTCATATGATGTAGTATGATCTTTGTGAGATGGGTTCTCTATGTTGAACTAAATACGACTTATGATGACTGCATGATCCGATATTCCTATCGGAGATTGAATGATAGGGTCAGATAATAATTGTTTATCATTTACAAATAACAAATCTAGCGTGGAAGGAATATTGTTGACTCGGAATCGTGTTGCATCTGTTATAAGTTGTTGTAAATTAGAGCTTAGAACAAAGTTCAAACATTTATTTTTTGAATTTACAACTTGGAGTGAGAGTAACTGGCCACGAAATATCTCGGAAATTGAAATCATCAATAAATTGCAGTGAAACTTGGAAAAGTAGGGTTGTTTATTTTAACACTTGAGTTCTATTTTTAAGGAAGTTTTTAATAAGGCATATAAGACCATCAGGCACATTAAGTTTAAATTCAAATAGAAGACCGTTGAGCCAGAAGCTGTCAAATCCTTTTTAATGTTGAACAGGAGAATGGCGAGATTTTTTTAACTAAACTTTTCGTAAAATGAATAACTGTTTCTATAAATTTAAAAGTTTGATAGCGCCGGATACTAAAATTTATAAAAATAACCATCTCCAAAATTATTCTTCACCACTTCCTTACTCGTATTATCAACGTTTATGCTTTAAATTACCATTTAATTATATTATAGAATCTATCACCCAGTTCACAAGTAAATAACGAAATATCTTCGTATTATTTAAGGTAATTTCATTTTTACTCAGTTGAATCTTCATTCATTGCCTCGAAGGCAAATAAAAAAGTAAAAATTAAAAATTGCGTGTTGAAAAAGGAAGCTTTTAATATGTGAACAGTCGGTGGTATTGTGTTAATCATAGTCCTTGCTAGCAGGTAAGTCGATAACAGAAACAAAATATATCATAAATTAGACATAGTAGTCGATAAAAAGCTTTAATGTTAAATTTTAATGATAGACACTTAAATTTGCAAAAAATCAAGTATTTCATTGAACTTAGAATGTTGTAATTTTGAGGTATTTTATCGATAATTATGCACATATGTCTTACGAGAGTCAATCCTAATTTATGTATATGTTACGGGCAATTTGATTATTCCAGGCATTATTCATAATGGCCGGGCAATTTATAAATTGCCCAATACAGTCGGGCCATTTAATAATTTTGTATTTGTCTACAATAATTTATTACACTGCCCGGTGATTATAAATACTGCTATTATTTTCTGGACACTTTGATTAATTTTAAGCAATTTGGTAACGTGCGTATAGTGTGATTCTCACTGGCCAATCAGCATCCATTTTTGATGGCTTGTCGCTTGTGCATCTTGCGCGTTAATGAGTTCTCGTTCTCGATTGTTTTCAGTTCTTTGCTGGGCTGTTAATAATTGTGCCACGAATATTTAATGAATTTTGCCCTAAAGTGACTTTATCGTTTTGTTTTAAGTGTTAGTGATTTTCTATAAAATAAAATGCAGAAATAGTTATTATTAACTGATGTAAGTGAGATGAAAAATCGTTTCGACGAACGGCTGAATGAATTGTGTTCATCAAAAGGTCAGAATACACAAATTCTGACATAACCTCAATACTTGGAATTAATAGAAAAGGTTAACACATCTAAAAGCAAAGTGGTAAATAAAAAACCCGAGGATTATCAGCGTTTACGCAGGTTTGACGTAATGACTATTGGAGAGAAGGAAAAGCTGATAGTTCCTGTAGAGGAAGGTAAATAACAGATTAGGTTTTACGTACATAGGGAATAGATATTTCAACATTTACATGATGCACATATTTCTATTGGGCACGGTGGTCGAAACCGCATGAAAAAAAGAGATCAATTTAAAGTATAAAAACATCACAAGGGAAATGATTGTAATCTATATAAATTTATGTATGACCAAAAAAAAAAACACAGTGTACCAAGAAAAGGTTTAGTTGTTAGGCCTATACTAAGTAAAAACATGAACTCAAGATGTCAAGTCGATTTAATCGACATACAGTCGCAAGCCGATGATCAATATAAATTCATACTTCTATACCAAGATCATTTAACTAAATTTGTTCAACTTCGACTATGTACCATGTGGCCCGAATTAAAGATGGTACATGGGAAGCCCAGACACACTCAAAGTCAGGGCTCCGTCGAACGTGCGAATCAGGACGTGGAAAATATGCTTTGTTAGTGGCTAGAAGACAATAACAGCAAGAAATGGTCAGAAGGATTACGTTTTATTCAACTTATGAAAAACAGAGCTCATCATAGTGGCATAAACTGTACTCTGTATGAAGCCATGTTTGGAACAAGTTAAAAGTTGGTCTAAAAAGTCTTTTGCCTGAGGACGTTCTACCTAATATAAATTCTGAAGAGGACTTCATAAGTCTGGGGCCCACTTAATGTACCATTGAAACAACGCTGGCTTACACTTGGTAATTGTGATAAAAACACTAACTATGCAAATTCATCACACTCTGGCCTGTACTTCTATTTTTACTACTTAGAGTGTTCAGAAACTAAAAATGGCGACATGACACCTATCCGAATGGATGAACGACTAAACGAAGTATTTTTGATGAGATAGCGTCGCTTGCGTTGACACGTCTTACCCCAATCGTTTTAAAATTAGGTGTTCACATGACTTGTGACGTAGATACTAATTGTTAAAATTAAATAATGCTGTTTCAAGTTTTAATATGTTGAATGCTTCAACAAAAATCATTTTTCGTCGTTGGATCGTTTTTGATAACGTTTAAAATGTATTCTTCTAAACCTACTTTTCAATTTACCATTCTGAACAATTTAAATTCACTAATTGAGATAAACACACTACTGATATCACACACGGCTGAATTAGAACAACTAGTACATAATGAATCGCGATTCATAAGAGAAACCGAAACAAAAATAAAAACAAACACATTTAGTAATTAGCTTAACGTTTCATACACAAGTCCAGGTCCGGCTTTAGATTTTTAAATTGTGTTTACTTACTTGCGAGTTTAAAAAAAAAAGGTATTTGAAAGATGTTTATTTTAACGATGGTAAAAAAGTATTCATTTTGTGTGTGCAGCAAAAATTAGAATTGTTTAATGTAATTTTACACCTTTAATAATAACTCAATTTATATATTCTTCATTCTTTCAACATGATGATGACCAGGATGGCCGAAACAAGACGCTTCAACTACCAAGTTTTTGTTTTTGGTCCATATTAAAAAAAATTGACATTTCTTCGTTAATAAAATATTAAGTAGTAAATTAATTAATGTTTTCTTTGAAATAAGATTCAAATAGCTTGGAATACAGCAGGGACAATAGAAAAAATGTACCTATTATGGAAAAATGTCATAATTATGAATTAATAAAATGTTTATTTAAGTTTATTATTTATAATTTATTTACTTCGACAGGCAAACTTCGTTTATTTGTTATTTATATATAAAAATGCGGCGCACGGCACTGGTTCTCGTAGATTCCAATGATCTCGAACGCTAAAGTATTGCATCGGATAAAGTCTAGATAACTGTGGATTACTCGAGAAACTTCAGACAAGCTGTCGTCAATGAAGGCAGTACCGGACTGGTTGAAAACGGCTTGCACGACTTTAATTGATATAAGATATTGAATATTTATACATATGCAGTAAGCACTGAGTTAAATTTATTACGTGTATTACAAACACTTTTTTTAATGGCTGATTACAATAATTAAAGTGCATGCCATTTATTATCCGACATTTTAAATATTTATTCAAAGTGATAAAATTATTTTATTTTGCAGGCTTACAAACGGACATGTTGAAGATCTATTATTTGAAAGTGTAAGTACATAGTTTTAAAAGCAAATTTTAGTGAAAAAGAAATTAAAAATGTTTAAAAATAAAACTTCCCAATAAATTATTTTATTAGATATTTTTTTTAAAACTGGATTTTTATCTATAACAGATCCTAAGACGAGCATTAGTACTATTATAGCTATGTTAAATTATCTGTTAAAAAATTATATAACTATCATTAATAATACACAGGGCGACAAAATTATTTTGAACGATATAAAAATATGATACCAAATTTCAAATTTTGAAAAGAACATAATGATCTAAAACCATAATATTATGTCAGTTATTTTAATTAAAAAAAAAAAAAATATTTTAGGTAAAAGACGTTTGGATCGACCAGCAAAAGAGTGAACATTTTTCACCAAAAACATTGCTCGACACGTTATATGAGCAATACGATTTAGCATATCGAAATAAGGTAATGGATGATGGCAATCAACTACAAATCACTTTAAAACCTTTGACAGTGGACCAACATAATATAAGAAAACGTAAAGCTGACGAAGATTCAGGCAAAGGTAAACACCATGATCGTTCTGTAGTAAAAATGTAAAAAAAAATATTGTTTCAATAGCTGACAATGGAGATGAACAGCCATCACATTCTAACGGAGAATTAGACAAATCAGCAAAACAATACGAGGATGAGAACACTATTCATTTTCCTAGAGTAGAACCAACAACCGACAGCAGCTCCGAAGAAAAATCCACAACCGACGGCTCCGAGACAAAATCAAAAACCGACGGCTACGAACTAAAGCCAACAACCGTCGGCTCCGAGGAAAAACCAACAACCGACGTCTCCGAAGCAAAATCAAAAATCGACGGCTACGAAGTAAAACCAACAACAAACGGGTTCTTGGCAGATTCAAAAACGAACGGCTCCATGGCAAAATCAAATATTAACGGTTCCGAGGTAAATACAGATACACCAAAAACCAACAGCCTAGAGGCAAAACCAAAAATTAACGGCTCCGAGGCAAATACAGATACACCAATAACCAACAGCCTAGAGGCAAAATCAAAGATTAACAGCTCCGAGGCAAATACAGATATACCAAAAACCAACAGCCTAGAACCAAAAATTAACGGCTCTGAGGCAAATACAGATCCACCAAAAACCAACAGCCTAGAGGCAAAACCAAAAATTAACGGCTCCGAGGCAAATACAGATACACCAATAACCAACAGCCTAGAGGCAAAATCAAAGATTAACAGCTCCGAGGCAAAATCAAAGATTAACAGCTCCGAGGCAAATACAGATATACCAAAAACCAACAGCCTAGAACCAAAAATTAACGGCTCTGAGGCAAATACAGATACACCAAAAACCAACAGCCTAGAGGCAAAACCAAAAATTAACGGCTCCGAGGCAAATACAGATACACCAAAAACCAACAGCCTAGAGACAAAGCCAAACATTAACGGCTCCGAGGCCAATACAGATACACCAAAAACCAACAGCCTAGTGTCAAACCCAAAAATTAACGGCTCCGATGCAAATACAGATACACCAAAAACCAACAGCCTAGTGTCAAACCCAAAAATTAACGGCTCCGATGCAAATACAGATACACCAAAAACCAACAGCCTAGAGACAAAACAAAAAATTAACGGCTCCGAGGCAAATACAGATATACCAGTAACCAACAGCCTAGAGTTAAAACCAAAAATTAACGGCTCCAAGGCAAATACAGACACACCAATAACCAACAGCCTAGAAGCAAAACCAAACATTAACGGTTCCGAGGCAAATACAGATACACCAAAAACCAACAGCCTAGATGCAAAACCAAAACCTGATGACTCCGAGGCAAAACCAACAGACGGCTCCGAGGAACAACCAAAAACCGACGGCTCCGAGGCAAAACTAGATAAACCAAAAACCGGCAGCTCCGAGGTACAAACAGACAAATCAAAAACCGACAACTCCACGGCAAAGAGGCAAGAGGGTTTAGACCATCAGCAAAGCGGGAATGCTTTGGGCAAATCCAATGAACACGTAAATGAATCGGAGACTAACATCGATGGGATGAAAACCATAGAAAGTAACAGTAAGTTTATCTAGTTTATACTTATTTTGTTCCACTTAAAAAAATAAATAGGTCTGACTTTCCAAAATGGATTTTAGCGGAATTAAAAAAATATTACAGAGAAAAAAATAGCGCCGCACACAAGATAGGCGGTGCGTCGTGGTGTAATGGCATCTTCTCTAATCAGGTTGTCCCTATTTGTGTTTTTAGTGCACTCTTACTTTTTTATATGATGTATATACTACTTGGAATATTTTCCCTCTCTAATGTACATATTAGCTAAATAAATGTAATCAATGTTTTCAGAACCAAAAACCGGAGCGGTTAGCGAAGGTGGGCACAAAAACGACATGCTACTGATCGGTTTTTTCGTAGCGGGCCTGGTCGTCATTGTTGTGGCCTTCTCTTACAACTTCATGAAGAAAAGAAGCAGGGCGACAGTGGCCAGAAGTAAACTCTACGCAACCTACAGAACGGCCGATCCCGAACAAGATAACGAGATGAACCCTTACATGTAGAGGAAAGGATTAAGAAATAACATCGATTTTAATACAATGTTACACTTCTTTCACGTTATCAGATGCCTGATCGAATGAAAACCTGAGCTATTTTAGCATTGAGTTTTCATTTGATTCGGTTACTGACTTGACTCAAATTCATTCAGTTTAGTTTTAATTGTGGGTTCTGATTTCTGTTTGAGCCATTGATTCAACACAAATAATAGTTCAATCAAATAGACCTTTATATCAAAATTTTGGAGGAAATACAGGAATTTTAGAGTATTTGAAAACGATATGTAAACAAAAAATTGTTTTTCATGCCCCGGCAAATGGCAAAAAACGGCACCGAGGCAGGTTATTTAAAAACGGTAGGTGCTATAAAAAAAGTTCTTTATAAAAATTGTAAAGCATAAGATTTTACATAAAAATGAAATTTAGCATTTTTTGCAATTATTAAAATTAACAGAGTTAGGTGATATACCGGGTGTTCAAATTAAAGTGTTACAGCTAAATACCGCCGAAAATATGCATTTTAGAAAAAAAAGTTTCAGCCAAAAGTTTTATAGTTTTTTGGGGGAAACATTTTGGCTAAATTTATTTAAAGGTATATTTAATTGGACTATAAGAAATGTGCACGACTTACCAACTTGTTGTCAACTGTAACCACGTTGGTAAATGGGCGCCTTCAGCCGACGCAACAGTTGATTAAAACCGAAAACATGTTTCTTAACAGTATAAAAGTTGGTTCAGCGATTAGACAATACACATACACGTGGTGACCTCAAGTGATGATATAAAGAAAATCATTTTCGGTTACAAATTAAGATCATGTAAAAATATACTAAGTCATAATCAGTCATAACGGACATTTTTCATCATGGTTTAACTTCAGAATTTTAAAAACAAAAAAAATCATGTTCAAAGTTAAGAAATGTGCGGTTATAATAATATATAATCAACTCTATCCTCCTAGAGTGGTTAAAAAATCATAAAAAAAACACGAGAAATCTCTAAATTAAAAATTCCTTTAGTTTGCAACACTGAGTACAATACTTCGTTTACAAAAGTCACCATAAAATTTTCGTGGTGCCAATGTTGAGCAACGGTCGAAACTAACCAAAACTCAACAAATAACGTTCAGAAGACCCAACAAGTCACCATACTCAACTATTGCTTCGGCTGAACGCGCCCATTGACTTCATGATTATGATAGGACAGAGATGTTAAACTTGTAAACCTTCGGTGATTTTCAAAGTTTTGTTTTGATACGATATTGAAACATTGGGTACGTTCACCTTAAGCGCTAAACGGCTGTGCATTAACATCCGACAGCAGATGGAAATTGGCTGAACACTCCGTTGACCGTTGAGTCTCTGTCTGTCACAGAACTGTTAGATTAGAGTGTTGAACATAACCTTATATTGTTTGCAATTACTGGCCGATGCTAATCCTCGTCTGAAAACACCAAACTGTAGGTTGACAAATTTTCTGTATAAGTTTCCATAATACGTACGTTTTAAAAAATCAAGAAAGCACGCGCAACAATGAACTCGCATCTCACTGCGCATGTCTAAGCATATGTTGAGTCGGCTCAGCGCAAATTCATCGCGCTGGGTGAAATTTGCAGCAGATGACATTCAGCGTAAAGTCATCGTGCCTGCCGATCGCGATCACTTACTCAACTACTCAACTGTTGCCGTCTGGTGAACGCACCCATTAATAAATTTGGAATAATGTTTTTATAGACAGTCAAATAGTGACAGATTTAGGTGTCCCATTTTCGTATACAATCCTACATCAAAGTTGAGTAGAATGACAGAAAGTTTACGAGTAGCTCTTGGGGATAATACATGGAAAGTTTGATTTTTCTTAACAGAAATATTTTCCAACCTCAAAATGCATTTATCCATTCAAATCACTCAACCCAATATATTTTTCGGACTAGTGACGATGTATATTTTCATACACTCGATGGGCTTGTGTGTGATTAAAATCTCGATTTTTCCTTCCAAGATTACGCCCTCATTTCAACCCTTTGGCCTTTGGTTTTCCGAAACCTAGTTCTATTAGTTAATCATTTAATGAACACGGCTTGCGTGAAAATCTGGGCAACAAATACCTTCAATTTCTGTTAAGGAAAACCGAATTTTCCATGTTATTCCCAGGAGCCACTAGTAAATTTCCTTTCATTCTAGTCAGGTAAAAAGAGTGTCATGTCTAGGACTTGGAAAATATGCACTTAAAAATGGTCTAAATATGTATTCATTTATGCGTTAACAATAGACAAAATATACTTTTAAATATGCAAAATATAAAGACAGTCATTTTTGAATATTATCGCTAACCAGGTTACAAGGTTACCTGTTGGTAAGCTCGATCAAAATTCCTTAAATTGTATCACTCTTCAATTGACTACGTCAAATCGCACGACAAAGAACTGTCAAATGTCACCTATGCGTGTTAAACTGTCAACTTTCACTTGAGAGAGACTTGACAAGGATAAGATTTGAAATAGATAGTTTTTATTTTAATGTATATGTTTGATAGAGATGATTTTAAATTATTTAAAGTAGTTATGTAGAAAACAAAATTATGGCGTACATGAAAGTTTCTTTGAGAAAATAAGTTATATTATTTAAAATCGAAATATATGTTATACTGTGTTCTAATTGCATTGTATTTATAATTTAAATATAATTTCTTAAAGCAAAAAAAAATTTGATTCATTTCAAGGACGTGGTATCAATCAGATATCCCAACAAGTTTACATCAGAGCTGTCGGTCTCTATCGACTATAAATAAAATTAGTGCAATTACAGAAATCTTTAATTGTAAATAGGTATTAGCATTGTATAAGTAGTCCTAGTAGGTCAGTCCTATGCATTTATTTATTTGATACCAAAAGGAGACCACCCCCAGGTGGCCAGTCTAATTGAGTCTCTTTCTTCTTCTTCTTTCTTTTTTTGGGCTATATACTACAGGACAATTTACCCAGCTATCAAAACGGAAGAGTATCGTTGTCTTGCTCTTGGCAATTGGATACCCTCAAGTAATATAATTAAAATATGTATTTAAAACTTCTTCACAGGATGCATAATCCCATTAAGGCTAGATTCACTAATCGATGGACATTCTTATTTAAGATTTTTACAGCAACACATACACACATGACTCCCGATTCTGAGACCGCCATTCACATACTTTGATTTTCTTTTACTATACGGAGAATGGTCGCACTGCGCAGCTTTCTGAGTGCCTTTTAAAAGGAGATAGAACACTCCGCCATTTTGAACCCTTATTACGTGTTGCCTATCAAGTTGCCCTGGGATATCCAATTAGTACTAATTGTTTACAGTGAGGTGAATGTAAGTATATAAAATTAAAGATAGATACTATTACTGAGGGTAATATATCTAAATATATTCTTTTACTATTACTAAGGGTAATATATCTATATTTGTTTACTATTAATGTCCTTTCTTTTAGGTATTTAGTTCATATATACACAAGATAACGATATTGTCCAGGCCGGGGATAATAGGCTGAGGTTCCAGCTCAGCTTATTAGCCTTAGAAGAATAAGGAAAGTTCTTACTTGTTTGTAGCAAATCCAAGTTGTATGGGGTGGTCTCGCTTTAGGCACACAATGGTCATGCGTGCTAATAATAAGTAGACAGCAGTCTGGATGTATCATCCACAAATACATGTGCCTAGGAACTAGTAAGCATACAGTTATGGTCCAGCAAGTAGCTATTAATGGAGACAGGCAGTAAGACTGACGTCCAGAGCAAAAAGCAGGTAAGCGGTAAGCGTTAATCTTTAAAGGTTCTAATTTAGCTCATGCAAGCAATTTATAGGTCTCTAAACCCAATACTAAAAGGCCGAATATAAGGTAGGGCCGTGCTAGGAACTACTTTATTCACAAGAAGTGCTGTCAAGACTAGACAATGTAATTTCCTAGTGATAGTTGTAATTGTCTCTTAATATATATGGCTTTATTCCGAATAAAATTCGATAAATCTGAACAGGCACCACATGGACCCAACAAATTCATGCCATCAAAGAAAGAGCCAAAAAGGAAGGAAGTTCCTTGATTTAATGGCCGACCAATATCGCCAACTATTGAAATTTTAGGGGAAAATTGCATCTGTTCAAATAATAAATCATAACCTTGCCATAGAACATTTAAGAAATGAAATAGGTCCTAATTACACTAGAAGAAGAAAGGTCAAGGTTGACAGATGATTGTCAGAATTAAATGATTACATTTTCTGTAGGTTAACCAAACTTTAAACTATTAAATTATCAACTTCTAAATCTGTTTTATTTTCAAAAGGGTAAGTTTCATTCAACTTTATATAACTTGTGAAAATGTATATCATTTAATCGATTTATATATTTATTTTCTGCTATTTAAATTAAAACCGTAACAATAGGGCACTTTCCATAGGACTATATAGTGTGATATGTGTCACTTTCCTAAGTGGTCGTAGGAAAAATAAATATGCGGACCCAACGTGATCTAGTAGAACAAGAAATTTCATAATGAAAACAGCCGATCTTTTAGTAACTTTTATAGAGTTCTGTTTTTAAAAAACTTTAATATAGCATGTTAGGAGACCGTTATGCCAGATACTATCAAAGACTACTTTAATGTCCAACAGAAGAATGGCAGATTTTTTTATTTGTTAATAGAAATTTTAAACTTTTCCTTTTTTTGTAAATATAAAAGTTTGAAATCGCCGAATACAAAAATTTCCAAGCACATGTTATAACCCTTTCCAAACTTACTCTGATCTCATTCTCTACCAACTTCCTTACTCGTATTATCGACGTATTAGAGTTTGGGTTTCAAATAAATATTTAATTTCATCTAGTAATGTAATATAGAATCTATCACCCAGTCCATAAGTAAATAACAAAATATCTTATCTTATCTAAGGTAATTTCATTTCTATTCTATAACAAGTCGCTAGCGATCATTCAGTTGGATCTTCATTCACGGGGCGTAGAATCACATGCCTTGAAGGCAAATAAAAAAGTTAAAAAAAAAAATTGAAAATTGCGCGTTGAAAAAGGAAGCTTTAATATGTGGAAAATCGGTGGTATTGTGTTAATGATAGTCCTCGCTAGCAGGTAAGTCCGCAATAGACACAAAATCTATCCTAATTAGGCGTGTTAGTTGATTTTGATGATTCGACGATTTCAATTTTTAATTGGACATTCGTTTGCTTAAATGTTTATTTTTGACGAGTTAGGGCCAATAATAAAACTCGAATTTGAAATTTTATGGAAAATTTTGCTCATATATGCATTACGAGATTCCTAGTATACAGAGTGACACATTTAAATAGTCATATCACATAAACTAAAAATGATACCAGAAAAGTAAGACCTAATAAAAATAATTTCATTTGTATTCCTGGACTAGAAATATTTAATTCAGATAAGTCATCAATACCTATGAAGCAAATATCTTGGAGACAATATTATCTATCTAGCTGTAAAAAAAATATATCTAGCTATCAAACTTGAGATCCACATTATAAGTAAGCAGTATTTAGTCAATACTTGTGTCAATCGGTAGAACTAGGAGGTCAGGTATATGCGTGTATACGGCTTTCGACAGAAAATCTTTTTTGCCTTGGCTTCAGTGACATATATCTTTCCTTCTTTAAATCATATGTGCATCAAAGAAAGCAATATATTCATCTGAATGAATTCTCTTCAAAAATTTATACTGCAACTAGTAGGGTTTCGCAAGGATCCAATCTAGATCCCATGTTTTTTTTATTATTTATCAACGATTTGTTTGATTCAATCGCATGTGTGAAAATATATTGATGTTCACAAAAAGATCACTACTTTATATTTCCCATATTCATTCAAATAACATAAACCTAGAAAGTACTGAAAATATTAGAGATTTGGGAGTTCATTTCGATAATCAATTAATTTTTAATATTCATATAAATCAAATAATTAACTGGACATACCGTACTTTGGCAATATTTGCAGAAATTGTAAAAATATATGAAACATTTTGGCACTAATATCTCCATAATTTAGCTTAGATTTAAATTGAAATATGGATATCATTAATTTGGAATCCCTTTTATTGTAAAATCGAGAGGCGCTAAAATGGTGGTCCCCACCTTATCGAGACTGAGGCCCACAAGGGTAAACTCGTAGGGTAAAACGAGAAATGATTGAACTTGGAACGAAATACCGAAAGCCGATAGTAGTATAAGGACGTTGAATATTTTGGTTTGTGAAGCATTGGCATTACTTAGGTTAAACCATGTGATGATTTTCACAAGCCTTGATTTTTAAAACCATTATATATCGCCTTTTGATTAGGGTTTAAAAACTTGTTCGAGCAATTTATTCAATAATAATTGGTCCCTTTACCTCTTAAGCCTGCTCATATAAAATATTTGGGCTCCTTACTTCGCCTATTTATATTCTATTAATAAAGGACAGAAGGATGAGTATTGTAACTAAGTTAAAAGAAATAAATTGGCTTTCAGTTCAGAATTATGTTCAGTACATGACTGATATTTATTTATAAAATAAAAATGACAGTACCAACGCATCAATCTATTAGAAAAAATTCAATATAATTCGCAATATCACAACAATAATACAAGAAGCTAATCTGACTTTTATGTACGGCAAGCCATCACTAAAAGTTCTCAAAATACAATTTTTATTAAAGGTTTATAAAGTTTAATATACTGCCTACAGATATAAAAAAAAACAATACAAGTATCCAAAAGTAACCTCAAACAATACTTGATAAATAAACAGAACGGATATACTTTCTTGTGATAATACTCTTTAAACCTGCCCATTTTAAGTATTGCCCTTAAATTATTGTTATTTTACCCCTCGTTTTACCCGCATTTATTATAAATTATTTCTGTTTTGAGATCATGTACTTTCTTTTCAAAAATTACTTGATGTTATAATAATACTACTATGTTTAAATTATTAATAGTTTTGCGACGATAGGTTATAGCAACTTATAGCCACAAAACTATTTTTGTGTTAAAGTAGATCCATAGAGAGCAATGTAATTTACAAAGGCCTTCTTTCAACATACAAATAAATGATAACTTTATAATTAAAATGAAAAACACAACAAAATACATCGGTATCATAATTGATCAAAATTTGAAATGGGTTGATCACATTACGTCATAAAAATCCCAAGATAAGAAGATTCATTCAAATTTTATGAATTGAGGAAATTTATGACTAGGAGTTTACTAATTATTATTTACAATTCGCTGGTTGAATACGTAATCCAAAATCGTATAATTAAAATTATCTACAAAAAATCAGCATTATATCCTACCTCTCTTTTATATAATAAAAAAGTGCTTTGTATTAGAACATTATATTATCTGTCTTGCTGTACCTTTATTTATGAAAAGCCTGAATTGAAATACACTACAAATTATTTGCAATATCAAAAGCAGCATACATTTTTAAATAATTTGACATTTAAAAGCCATTCACACATCACAGTTGAGATCTTGATACTTGACAGTCACAGCCAAGCATGATTTTTGCCAAATAAAATGGCCGGTTAATTCTATATTGTTGCGACAGAGAGCCAGTAAATTTGATCAAGGTGTTTTTGTGGCTAGGGGCGAAATAGTAGTACGCTTAAGTTAGCACCACCATAAAAAAGTCCCCATAGAAAGGGCCTAAGTAATACATATTTTCAGAAAAGGTTTCTACAATTTTTAATTTTTAAAATTGGTAAAATCTATTACGATTATAGAGGTTATGCTTATAAAAATTTATGAAATCAATTTGATTTTGTTAGCTTAGAAAAACGAAGGAAGAATGATACAGCTGACAGTTTGGAACAGTAGCGTAGCCAGAAAATTTAAAAGTGGGGGGAGGGGGGTTTGGTCTAAATCTGACAAAAACAAAAACGAAACAAAAAAGAAAAAATAGCTATTTATGAAACCAATTGAAATGTTTTATTTTATTGTTTTGGTTAAACGTTACTGACATTTAAGTAACCAATATTACTTTCTTGTATTGTTAGCTGCATAGGCATCAGTATATTGACGATTAGAACATATTTATTCTCAACGACTTACAGTGTGTTTGTATTATTTATTAAAGTAGGTTATTTTGTTCTTTATGGATAAAAAATTAGAAACGCTATTTAAAGAAACGTTTATTCAAGGTATGATAGCAGGGATGAGAAAGTGACTTTTCCGGAAAACTTAAATATGACACAATATCTTCCCCTTCGAATCTTACTCGACATATTTTTTTGCTTTTTGCAAAAATCAATCCTTTAAAAGTTACATCAAATGGATACTTTTATCTGAAAAGTACTGTACAGTGCTAGTCAAAAGTTAAACAAGTTAAAGAAACGAAACTTTTTTAAACAATTAAGCAAAGCCGGACTTTTGAATTTGTATTAATTACAGGGAGTCCCAATGAAAAGTACCCCATTTCCAGAGCTTATATTTTTTAAACGCCTAATCGTAGAAAAGTGCGGTTTTTGCTGATATGTTATTTTGCTATAAGTTTTGCTTCAGTGACACAGGGTGTTTTTTTAAAAAAATCCTCTTTTAAATTCACCGTAACCAAATTTTATCAAATGGAACACCCTGTATATGTTTAGGTCATCTGAAAGATACATTCCTCTACTTTTCAAAAATGTATAATTTGTACATGGTATTTTAGTACAGGGTGTTCCATTTGATAAAAATTTGGTTACGGTGAATTTAAAAGAGGAGATTATGGAACACCCTGTATATGTTTAGGTCATCTGAAATATATACTCTTCTACTTTTCAAAAATGTATAATTTGTACATAGTATTTTACTACAGGGTGTTCCATTTTATTAAATTTTAGTTACGGTGAATTTAAATGATTTTTAAAAAACACCCTCTATAAGTAATACATAATTTCTGTGTCACTGAACCAAAACTTATAGCAAAATAACATATATTAGCGAAAACCGCACGTTTCTACGATTAGGCGCTTAAAAGTTATAAGCTCTGAAACCGGGCGGGCTACTTGTCATTGGGACACTTTGTATTATAGGCTAAATTTAAATTTTAGTATTTATTTATTTAGTACGTCAAAACAACCTTAAACCCAAATAAAATTGCGATGGATGAATAGATCTTTTAAATACGTTTCAAGGTGTTACTGGATCCAAATTAAAATTATTCGCCACACTGACACTCTGGCGCCATCTATAACGATAACGTCACTGGTTATCACTACAAAAGGAATTTATTTATTTTCACATTCCAGATTTCATTAGTTTAACCGTTCAAAATATACAGGAGGGAGGGGACTTTTGGCTAGTCCTGTATATTCAGTAAGTAGTATAATCAGCAGTACAGTTTCGGATCATCTGCAGAAATGAGTTGACTATAATTTAAGATAAAATGATAAATCGTTAGTAAATATAAGAAACAACAATAGTCCTAAAATGAAGCCTTGATGGACACCTGAGATTTTAATTTATATGAAAGGAACAAGTGGTAAAACTTATCAAAAAGCCTTTTGAAAATCGGTAAATTATAATACATCTTACTGTCAGTAAGATTAAAAATAGTTTCTGCAGTAAATAAAATTAATTCCATTGCTGTATCATTTCAAGATATCGAGTAATTAAGATAATTTGAATGAACCAAATCAATTAAAAATCTTAAGATGTATAAAACTCAAGGTCAATCATTATATTACGAAATAGGTCAAATTTAGCAAATTTTGAGAAATCCAAGAGAACAGAATTTTTCTTACATACTTATGCCGAGTAAGACTTAAATCTGAGTGTCCCATGCTTTAGTCATAATTGTCACAAAGCTTTGTCTTTTTATAATAAAACTTTTTAGCATATCAAGTAAGTTAAAAAAGAGGAATGTTTATTTAATACCTTTCAATATTTATTCATAAACAAATCAATCACACTTTTTGGGGAAATTAATAGAAACAACTTATTTTTCGTCATGATAGTTAAAACATGAAACTGTCAAAATTTTCGCTACATTCAGATGTTAAAATTCGTTAAATTTTCTATTTGTTGTTCTTAGAAATGACATATTTGTAAATAGAGAACCCTCCCAGTGTATTTTTGCTGATAAAA